TTGATGCAGTGAGCATGGTGATGCTGGATGAGCTCAAATCTGAAATAAGCCAGGCACCATTCATAGCCATTATGTTTGATAAAGCTACAGATTTGTCTAATTCTGCTAAACTATCTGCAGTGCTTCGATATGTTTCTAAAGAAGGACATTTGAATGAACGTTTTGTTGGCTTTGTAAATGGGACTGAGGTTACAGACTTGTATGAGCACCTCTATACATTTGTTGAACAGTTTGATTGTGGAGCTAAACTTGTTGCACAGACTTACGATGGAGCTGCAGTTATGCCAGGTGAGCTCAATGACCTGCAGGCCAAAGTAAAAGAGAAATATCCATGTGCCACCTTGGTGCACAGTCGTGCTCATGACTTAAATCTAGTGCTGTCCCAAGCTTGTGCCAAAAACAAACATTGCAACATTTTCTTTTCCACTTTGAACGGATTGGCATCCTTTTTCAGTTCATCCACCAAAAGAACCACAGCCCTTGATGTTATTGTGCAGAGACGGTTTCCCAAGGCACCTTCTCCTCGCTGGAACCACACATCCAGCCTGGTCCAAACAGCACAGGAACATTACAGCTCCTTAGTGGAGCTTTTTAATAATATCATAAATGAGCCACACAAATGGGATTCTCCTTCTGTTCTTGTAGCTGGTGGCTTTCTCCGCAATCTAGAGGATGATAAATTCAGGTTTCTTCTGCAAGTATTTGCTGACATTTTCGCTCATACTGATGTTTTGTTCAGTGTTTTACAATCCGAGTCAATGGACATTGTCCACTGTGTTACAGAAGTGAAGAGAGTCAAAGAACACCTAGAGCTCAAAAAAGCAGAGTACCATGAAGGCTATGCTGCGTTTGCCACAGTGACAAACTCTGAAGAAAGCCCAGCTAAGAGGGCCAGGCTTTCTGTCCACAATGAAGAGGACTTTCAGAAGCTGTACACCGAAATCTTTGCCACAGTTTTGCTTCAACTTGAAACAAGATTTGGATCCCTGGGTAAACTGAAATTCCTAGAACTACTGAATGTGGCTAAATATTCTAAGTACATAAACAACTTTCCTGAAACTTCTTTAGCTTTCCTGAAGGAAACATATGGACAGTTCTTTGACCTTGTTCTTCTTCGTTCTGAGCTTATAGTTTTGTACTCGTCATCCAACATGGCCAAGAAGAATGTTGCTGAGCTAATGACTTACATAATTGACAACGGGATCCAAGAGGCCATGAAAGAAGTTTATAAACTTTGCAGCCTTTTTCTGACCATCCCATCTATAACTGTGGCAGGAGATAGGACATCTTCTGTGCTGAAAAGAATCAAAACTTTCATTTTCACTGCTGTGGCTCAAGAGCATATGTCAGCACTGGGTTTATTGGCAATAGAAGGAGACCTGGTAACACAACTCAAGTCTGAGAGTACCTTCTACGATAAAGTGACTGAGCATTATGTGAAGAAAAAACACTGCAATGACTTAGTGTACAAGTAACACAGAGTTCATGTTGAGACCAAATGTAAGAACACTGTTCAAAATCTCTAACTTGTTAGCATTAAAATGTGTTCACGTAATTGTTTTCTACTTCAGTTGCATAATAAGGTTTGCTTTAATTCATTTCCATTGTGCATTTTATCTTAAAATGTTGCTTATTTGGGTAAGTTGGAGTGCCTTGTGTTTTGAGTGTAGATTATATTTATGGTTCAGAGTAATCATATTTTGTTACTTGCTAATAAACCACAGAAAAATACATTGAAACTTAGTGCTTTACCAGTGGTTTGTTGGAACACACCTGCCTGGCTGTTCTAAATTACACCAGTTTAATCCATTTTATTTATATAGCACATATCATAAACAAAAAGTTTCCAAAGTGCTGTACACATAATAATAATAATAATAATAATAAATAATAATAAAATAAGCACTCAATCAAAACCAGTAAAAAATAAAATAAGAGCAAAACCGTAGAATAGCAATAAATAAATAAATAAAAGACACAGACCAACCAAGCCGAATGAAAATGTATTACGTAAAAGAGACACACGGCGCAAAGTTCCGCTTGATTCCATGATAGTTAAATAAAGCATGATTATTATACTAATGCAAGGTCTTTAAGACACAACAGCGCAAAGATGGGTTGTGTTCTTGAGTGAGGTGAGTAGTCCGGCTCTCTTCTTCCATAGAGGATCTGCGCGCCTGTGCTGCTGACGTTCGTTGGTCCCTCACGTGACCTTAGGAATGTTAACAATGCGGCGAGTGTCCAACTTTGTGCTGCATTTCTGATCCCGCTGCAGTCTGCGATAAAATGGAGGCTCATTTCATCAAATTTAAGCGATTTCCACCACTCCTCTGATCTCGTCGAGTTAGCCACGGTTCAGATACAAACTTTGAGACCAGGCATCGGGCGGAGTTTACCCCAATTTCTGTGTTATTCTAGCTTCTTCTCTCACATGGTAAGTTGGGTATTACTTTTCCAGCGGAGGGGAGTGGTGGTGTAACTTATTCGCACGGCTTGTTGCTGCTGGGTAGGTCCGCTATGTTTGTTGGAGTAAAATAAATGAAGTTGAGAATAGTTTTATCTATAGTGAAGGGTGTTTTTAAAGGGTTAAAAGTGTAAAAATGCCTTGGATCGTAGCCCTCATTCCCAAGCCTGAGGTACAGCGGTGAAGGCCAAAGCACGTTAAAGCAGGGGTTTCCTGAGCTGTGTGTGTTCAGGGGCTCCGTGCAGGAACTAGAACAGTCTTGTAATAACTATGGTATAACATGAACAATTACAGCTATTACTGCCAATAATTTCAGTACATATATTCCTTTTAATGTGTTTCCATAAATGTAGATCAATAGTTTTATGATGCTCAGATTCTGGGTATTGTTAATGCTTGTCACTTTCTGTGTATTGCATTGTGCTTTCACTGTACTGTTTTCATTTCTATTCTTACTCTGTTACATACTAGTTGTTCTGTTCCACTGTAATCAGTAGCTAAAGTATGTGTGTGATATCACATTGTATTGTTGTGGTATTTAGAATATCCAATTGTCTGATAAACTTTAAAGAATATCTTATCTTTTGTAGTATATCTTGGCCACGTACCTACATAGAAATGTCCTAATCAGCACATAATGCTTAATTCAAACAGTTTGAAGTCGATTACTGCTTCTAGGTTAGAACTTATTACCTATCTTTAGTTCATATTTTACATCAGTTCCCTCTATAGAACACTGTAATGGATACACTTGCTTTAATGAAAAATGTTTGTTATAATACATAAATATAGTACAATACTTGTCTGTTATGATTAATGAGGACAAATGCAAAAAGGAGATATATAGGCCCTGGCTCACCTAGTAGAGCTCCATCCGTAGGTGACCTGGACCATTCAGGCTCCAACTATTCTTCCGCTTTTCATCCTTGATAGCAGTAGTAATAATCTGTGCTGTCATTATGAAAAATTAATTGCATCATTACTAGTCATAAAAATGCATTGGATTGATATAGCCCTTTTTTGGGGGGTGTTCAAAGATGCTTTACAGTGCATTATTCATTCACTCCATACTGTTGGTGGAAAGCTACTACTGTAGCCACAGCTGTCCTGGGGCGGATTGATGGAAGTGAGGCTGGCGATTTGTGCCATCAACCCCTCATATAACCCTTTCACTTTTTGAGCAATACTTAAACTTCAGTCATGATACACAAGCATGTTTTAGGACATTTTTGATGGAAAACAAAAATATAATTTGATTTGTGTTATCAAGAGATTAAAAAAATACATGAGACATTTACAAACAGATTACATTTTGTCACTGTCACCCTTCCTTTAATTCTACTAAATCATTATCATAAACATGTCATATATTTTTGCTGGCTGCACGTTGGGATTTTAATTTATTGTTTCCAGTTGTGAAAAGTCATTACTACCGTGTTTCAGTGATGCTAGCCTGTTATGAGCTGTTTCGGGGGTTCACTTTCTCCACACACTGGGGACTGTTGTGCTTTGTTTACTCTGATACAGCGCTGCGTTGCCAGGTAAGGGGCCACAGCTGGATCCAATCGTGTCAAGCATCTGTCAGGGAAAAACGCAGGAACGACAAACACTGGGCTGCAAACACATGCAGCCAGATGTGTGGGGACTGGTGTCCAGTGTAGCTTTCACTGTGGATACCAACATTAGAAATTGTATATTAGATGTCATTTTTTGTAATTAAACTTGGTCAAAGTATCAAAATACTGATATTGTGAATGTTATTTAAAAGATATGCAAAATTATTGTTTATAAAAAAGAATATTACAAAAAAAGTGTGGATTAAACATAAACAATGGAACGTTATAGAAAGTTATGAGTTTTTGTTTTTTGTTTTTGTTTTTTTTGTATATTTTACTAAATTATTTTTTGTCAGAGCTACAGTTTTGTTAGAGGAAGGAAAAAAAAAACATTTATGCAACACATTTGACATATTCACTGTTTTAATTGATTAAAATAGGTGTATTTCGTATTAATTTTGCACAGGTTGTGGTTTAATAAAGTCTTTTAGTATACTTATAGTTTACTGACCTGTATTGAAACAATTTGGAATATATTGTATCGAATCATATCGAATTGAAAGCACATGGTATCAAGATACATATTGTATCGAGGTATTGTATCGGCAACTTCTTAATGAAACCCAGCTCTATGGTAAAGAGTCTAGTGGTACTATGGTTTCTTGATTTGTCAGTCTGGTAGTAAGAGCATTGATTTGGATGGAATTTTAATTGAACACCAATCCACCATCTGGAACTAATGGTATTGATAAGTGTATAATGCCACTATTCATACTAAAATGGCTATCACTGTAGTTCATTCATTATATGTCTTTCTAATATATCATTAGAAACATCAATTATATGAGGCAGTTCTGTGTCACAAAATATCCTCAGCATGATTACCGTCAGAACTAATCTATTTTCTTAGTCAATAAGTATCTCAGTATTTTGATGCCAAAGATTTTGTGCTGTAGCGGGCACTACACAGTTTTTGTCTAAAATGTCTTGTGATTTGATGCACTTTCTCACTTTGTTGCATATCGCACATTGGCTGTTGTTATTCTACATATTATATAGGTCAGAGTTCATGATCAGCTGAGTTTAGGGCATGTTGTGGCATCTTCATCTTTATGTATAGTAATATATCAGGAGAGTTTTATAATTATATAGCTGACTGTCACAATATATTGACCTGCAAATTGCAGTTGCTGTCTCTTGTCAAAATGCATTGTTTTGTTGGACTAGCATGAGCAGAGGTGAAATTCAGAGGGCACTACATAGATAATAGTCCTTTGCTCTATGTCACTGTAGCCAGCATGAAGATATGACTATAGCCACACACAGCAAAATGTTTGATACTTAATATCAATATGACTATAAAGATAGACAGTAACATTGCACTGTGAGATGCTTATGTTACATCCTTACTTCTGACAACCAATTCCAATAAATATTTTTTTCTGGTATATTTTGGTCAGTATGGGTCTTGTGATGTGTTGTTGCTATGACTTTACTTGTAGTTACTTGAGGAATGGAATGTTATTCGTTGGACATGGCGCCTAAAGCATCACAGGAATGGAGTTGAGATCGCAGAGATGGTTCAACATTTATACACGCTACGCCCCTCACGACCCACTGTGGCCCACATGGACGGGGTTGCCATGCAGTTAATAGTACGAGTGTAATTATATCAGAGCTCTGTAATTACAGCTCAAGTATGCTTACGTGAAATGAAAACTAGAGTAACTTTTGTCAAAGGAGGTGGTTTATAGATTTGACATTGAACTTAGATCTGTTTCTATACAGTTGTAAGTAATCTGGAAGTTTTGAATCTCACTGATAGATATTTGATTATCCCTGTGCCATTTCCAATAAAAAATTGTATCTATGTTCATCTTTATTCTACTGCGGTAAACAACCTGAACCTGATTATTATTGGCCAATCTTCACTCTGTATGTTATAAAGGCTTAACTTAATATGAATTGAAGTGCTTCCTATACTTGCCAGCAGCTACAGCTGTAGGAATCCATCTATGCTGAGATCGGTATGTAAAGTTTATGAGCCACTCAGTTGGACAGCATAGCTTTAGGGACAGAGGAGGGTGGGTCACTAATTTGGTCCAGACCAAAAGATTTCAACAACTAATAGACACCAATAAATTGCAGCACAGATAGTCAGGGTTTGTAGGGTCCATAATATTGAAAGTTAATTCTACACCTTAAACAACGTAAATCAAAGTTATGTTGAGACAACAGAATTCTCTGTTATCCATCTTTCTGTTTCCTGACGCTATATCTTTCACACTACTCATATGTCACTTATTATGTGTCTGCTCTATGTTAGCCTTGTGGCCTCACGTGAAGCCTATAACAGGAACATGTGCATTAATCCCATGCGTGGCTCAAATGCCGCTGTTATGTGAATAGATGTGATAAGGACGTGCTGTGGTGTAGGATGTCCAGTCGTGTGGAGCTGCATCAGGAGGTCTGGACAGTACCGACTCTGAGCCGCAGTTTTGGGTGTTTACTGATGACCACGCAGCTCAACTATGCACTGACAGGGGCTGACTTGTGCAACCGCTGTTATGCACCAGGGGGTCGTGGGGGGAGTAATGTGTGTGTGTGTGTGTGTGTGTGTGTGAGGGGGTGGGCAGGTGGACCCATGCCAATCCTAGATGATGCATTAGGTCTGTAGCATATACTGTTGTGTCTAATATATATAATAATATATCAGGGCTTACCTGGAAATAAGAATCTATCATATGATCTTGAATCTACCGGGCATTCAGCTTAACTAGAAATGTAGTTGTGTCACAGAGTGGATTATTTGGTTTTGATAACAGCCCAGCTGATCTGTGTCTCTTGTGCAGGCGCAGTTTGGCAGCATCATGGTCTGGCTCAGCGGTGCACTTGTGACCGGCTCCATTTCTTGGAATAAACTGGACCCAGAGCCGTGAACGACGCACTATGGAGAGACTGTAGTCGACCTCAGCTCCTTCAAACACAACAGAAACAAACTAATAAGAGACTGATCCTGTGCTCAGTGATCTACTGTGGCATTATTTTTTTCACATCTATTGTCTTCAGGAGCAGCCTGTAGAGTGTGACTAAGTCATTGCCTGTTTCAGCCTCTGAGGCCATGAGGCCCAAGACTTTCCCCGCCGCCCCGTATGTGGGCAACACTCGGCAGCGGCTGCAGGAGATAAAGGAGGGCCTGAAGCAGCCGGCCAAACTGGTGAGCCAGGCTCTGCACGGGGGCAGCTCTCGCTCTGAAGGCAGCAGGGCCTCTGACTCTAAGGGCAATAAAGACACAGGGAACAGGCAGCAACAGCTCCGTCCACCACAGAAGTTCAACAACTACCAGAATGCCCTGAGGGAGATCCGCAAGTCCCTCATGCCCTTCGCCAACGAGTCTGGGGCCTCCTCCAGCTCAGGGCATCCCACAGGGGCAGGGGAGGTGAATAGGCAAATGCTGCAGGAGCTGGTTAACGCTGGCTGTGACCAGGTAAGACTAACAACACCACTGATACTGAAATAATATGTTGGTATTATACACTACTACTGTATGTCTACACACATACCACAAAGATCCTCTTATTAAGTGAGGGATAGTAGTGTTGTACACTTGAATGAGACAAATGTACAGTAACTGGACTGGACATGGCTGTTTTTATTAGTAGAAGGGGCTGCATCTTATTCCCATTATAACACTTGCTCTGGATCCTGAGTGTACGCTGTGGTTATGTAACAGGATTGAAATGTTGAAATATCAAGTGATTTCCCAATCAGTCCATTTGAATATTTATCTGAAGAATGTGAGCACAACATCAGACATTTTTCCAAGTGAAGGCAGAGGGGGCGGGACTTTTCAGAGAAGCATGACTGACATATTTGACCTTTGTCCTCAGATCTATGAGGAACAGCAAAGTCATGCGGATGCTCTTAATGCAAGGCACACATACACAGATACTCAAAATGATTACAAAAATACTACTTAAAAAAAAGAAGTGTACTAAATACGTATCATACGGACAAAAAGATCAATATTTTTGGTTTAATTTGCTTTTAGTGAAGTTTATTCTGGTACATGAGTGGTTAAGCAGCTCGCGGCCTGGCCCTGTGATAGAGCATGGCATGTTAAGAATGCTCTGCTGCTCAGACTAATGCAGTGAAGAAACTCTCTCTTCTCAGGAGTTATGAGGCTGCTCCTGTGGGGAGAGAAGCACTGCGGGCAAGTCGGTTTCAACTCACCACCACCACCAATGCCAAAGAGCTCACAAAAAAGACCTCTGAAAATATGTCACAGATTCTGAAATTAACGAAAAATAAATGTGTACAGATGGAAACGTTTGGTTTATCTGATGCTATATTTTATACTTTGATATAAAATGGAATTAATTTTGCCCTAAGATTTGGAGGATTGCTTTGTCCTAGTGTGTATTTGGTAAATATTTAACTCAAGATGCCATTCATGAAACAGTTCCCTCAAAAAATCCTGACTCAAGTTGGGACAGCAATTTTGAACACTCATTATGGCAGTAGAGATGATTTTCAAATAACTGTCCATGTATAACCATAACAAGAAGCTTCAACTATTAATGATTCATGCAAGTAGATGGTAAGATGGACCAGAAGCGAAAATAGTAAAACATTTTACTTGAACTTGAGCCATGTTAGATTCCTTACTATAAGGAGCACATACGTCTTTGTGGTTTATGTTGGCTGTAAGTTAGAAGGCTCTGGCGACCAGTTGCCGTGTGCGGCCGCCACCATTGTGAATGGACAAGAGCCATGGTGGCCGGGCCAGTGCAAACAGGAAGTGAACATTCAATGGCGGCAGGGTGGAGCAGTTCCTCACCGTTCAGTCCAGTCGCCAGTCACTGTGTCGCCTCCTCCACCTTTTCAGTCACAAAGGAAAATCAGACATAATATACAGCTGCCATTATTGTTAATGATATTTTAAAAATGTATGACCTTTTAAAGTGGGAGATACAAATCCAACCTCTTATTTGTTGAATTAAAATGACACTAAAAGATTTAAACTTAGCCTAAATAAAACTTTTTGTCTATCACCCAGTTAAGTTCTTTTCAGGAGTCTGCCTGTCATTCAGAAGTAAATTCTAGAGCAATGTGGCCCGTTACATAATATATTTTTTTTAAAGGAAATGTTTTGAAGGGGGTGTAAGGGAGGGGGGAGCTTGGGGGTGGCAATGGCATGCCACGCATCGAGATGACAAGGAAGCACAAGGAGCAGAGCAGGGTGTGTTTAGCATTTTTTTCCCTCTGAAACCTTCTGGCATTACAGAATCTTTGTTGCACGAGGTATGTGTGACTTGGGACGCACAGACATAGTAAAGGTGTCTTAAAGAAAGTTTGTGATGTGAAGAATGTGCAATTTCAAGTGTGTAGTTCTGTTAATTTGTTGATTCAATCTTGAAGCTCAATCCACACTTTAATGAGATACAAGAAACAATAAAACAGAGAGGTTTCTCCAGCTGAGCATGTTGGATGATGGATGGACATCCCTCTTGGCATGTCCATCCATCGCTCTGCTCAGGACCGTCCACCATATGGCTCTCATTTGTAAGCTCTCATAGAGGAATGTGTTTGAGAAATGGCTCAAAGTATCAGGGTCTTCCTTACAAACTTAATTTTTTAAGTTTTAAACTATTTGTAAGGTTAATATCTTTGACCATACTTGGCCAAACGAACTTGGCATATATATTCTTTTTGTAGTAGCACATACTGTTCGGCTTTGCGCACTTGTGATTATGTGTTTGGGATAACTCCATGGCTTGTGGCCTGTAACCATTATGACAAAAGTACAAGTGTGGCCTGCATATTTTCAAATGAGGAAAAGAAAGGCAGAGACTGTCAGATAGCTCAGATTCCTTCTTCCTGAGCGGAGGAATGTGAGCAACATCTGCCGCCATGACAGCTGGGTCACCACCAGGCCCATCCAAACCAGACACAGGCAGCAACACAGGGCAATAAAGAGGAAAAAGCATAGAGAATCACTCCCTAATGTGTAAATGTGTGACCTAAAGTTATGACTGTACATCTAAAAATGATTATAGGAGTTGTTTGAACAATATTGTCGATGTAATTTTAAACACCTCAGCACATAAGAGCGGGCCTTGATTTGCCAAGTACTTTATTTTAAGTGGATGAGAATCATTTTAGCCACATTAGCCCTTTCTTACTTTCTTGTTGATGAAAACTAGAAAACATAAGTTGGTCTTGGCTCACAAAAATAGAGCAAAAGCTGAGGATATGGAAAATTCTGTACTAACATTTGGACTTAAGCAACCAAATGCTTTAAGTAAGTGTGGCCAGTGAGTTGTGTCAAAGCAACGTATTTATTACAACAGTGAAATACAATTTATTGCCAATGGCTAACATAAAGAGCATTTTTATGAAGAAGTAAGTAATGCATTCAGTATGTGACCCAGTATAGATTTACCTCTGTACACACACATTTAAACACTGATTCTTTCAAATTGGTAGTTGACTACTCTACATGTTAACTCCAACTCCATCTCAAAATACCCTGTAGTGCCACATTTACAAAATACACCACTCTCCTTTTAACAGTGAGGAAATGGCTTGTGACATTACTGGGCAGCTCTGGCCGCCAGGACTCTGCTGGCTACGCAGGAATGTAACACACATCCACTCACAGGAAATGGAGTATAAACACTGTGTCGATGGGTGGATGGCTATTCTCTGACTTAGCTCTGTTTGTGTAAAAAATAGGGAGAGTGCATTTGAAATAGAAATGTCTACGCAATTCACAAGTTACACCTATATGGTCACTGTGACAGCCACCAAACAACACATCAACTACAAGTATGTGGCCTTGGCATTTCCTGGCTTTGGGAACTGGATGTACGCCTTAGGAGCAGTATGCTCTGTCCCCTACATTTTAATCATTTAAGTCTTCAAACACTTTTGGCAATATTATAGTTCCCATTCTTACAAAAGTCAATTGTAAGAATCTGTCCACAATATTCTTCTTAGCTAAATAAAAGTTTTTTGTTTTTTTCTGATTTGCTAGTTCTTTTGAGCAATAGGAAAATCTTGGCAAAATCTGAAGCTAAAAATATGCTTCTGACAGTGTTTTAAGTTCTAACTAAATCCCTAATTAGTAAAATTCTGTCTAGCTATGTATTCATAGCAGACTCATATTGCCAAATTGGACATATTAAAAACAGTGGTGTGGCCAGCAGGGGCGTCGGAGCAGACTCAATAGAGGCTCTGTGAGGGCTCGGGGATGAGATGTCTTTAGGGTGAGGTCATGAGCCATTTGTGGGGATTTCTTCATTGAGGTGTGGATCTGTGAGAGGGACAGAGAGAGGCAGACATACAGGCCATAGCATTAAACAACAAGTTTGTTTAGGTCAGTCACAATAACAAGTTTTAATTCATCATTTAGAAAAAATATTGTGATAAGTGATAATACTGAAACTACTTTATTCCATTGACACAATAAATCTAAAGCAGGCTAATCCCAGTAAACTGTAAAGTAAATTTAAAAAAAAAAACAGCAATTGAATAGTAGAATTAAGAAGTTAATAAAGTGAATCACAACTTTATATAGCTCAGATGTTATCATACTACATAAAAGGTGCATACGATAAAATATATATACATTTATTGAACCATATATTATTAATATAGTAATAATCATGACAGGCCTATGGATGTTTAGTTGTTAGTTTATGCTATGTTTCATTAAAACTGGCTTTGTTGTAGTGTGTGATTAAAAATGCAAATGATGTAAAGTTTTGATACTAGTCAGAAATTGTTAGATTTTTATATTATATGAATAGATCTGCTTTGAATTAAGGTGGGAAAGAATGATTGGCATAGGTTCATAAAAAGCTTAAAGGAATGTTCAGTGTGTTTCCTCCTTCACATTTTTGCAGCAGTGTCTTAATCTTACATTGCTCCTCACTTTGGGAAGAGACACTGCCAAAAAGGTTAAACAGCATATTTCAGATAGTGACCTACATACTTGTGGGCTCTTCCAATGACACACCTGTTAATTCCACCACCCGATCTGAATATGCTCCCCAGGGTGAAACAGGGAAGATCCAGTAAAAGTTCAAATACAAACACATGCTTGTTGTAAAAGGTGTATTGTAAAAACAAGTGGAATTGACAGGCTGACTCTATTGAGTGTGTAATGATTGGTTCTGTTTTTGTTAGACAAACTATTTTATACCTTATATCCAGGAATGTCCATGAAGATTTCAGTAACTATTTAAACACATTCTGTTTTTGTACAGGAGATGGCTGTGCGAGCACTAAAGCAAACAGGAAGTCGAAATATTGAAGCTGCTCTGGAGTACATCAGTAAAATGGGTTATCTCGACCCCCGCAATGAACTCATTGTCCGTGTGATTAAACAGACTTCCCCAGGTGAATATAATGCTCATCAAAATGACCACTATCTATTTAAGTTGTGTATTTAAATCCTGATCAATGTGTCCAACAACTTGATATTTTCTATCACTAGGAAAAGCTGGCATGCCAAACTCTATGGACCACCGACCACTTGAGCCTTCAGGGGAAGCTGCCGCTATGCCCCCTTACCATCAGATGGGGGTACCACTGTACGACGGTGCAGCTGCATACGGTCCTGAAGGAGAAATGTCCAGAGCCTACATGGGCCCAGGCCCTGTTATGAATTACATGCTGCCTCCCTCTGGGGCAGGACAGGGCTCTGCCATGGGAAACCCAATGGGTCGCACCCCAAACATGGGCAATTATCCCCCTGTCATGGCAGGCCAGAGTAACCCAGCCCCCAACATGTACCCACCAGGCGCTCCACAGAAGGGCTACCCTGGTGCTATGGAGCCCATGATTAGCTACAATGTCCCTGGCCAGCCGCTGCCCCCTGGAGGCCCAGGTGCACACTTTGACTATGGCCATGGAAGACCACACATGATCGAGCCCGCCAGCTATGGGGTCAAAAGGACCCCTTCTTTCCAAAACAAGATGGCTTCTGCGCCCATGGCTCCAGACCAGTACATGCAGGGTAAAGGCGCTATGGGGCAGAGTGTGCCAGGAGGCACTGCAGGGGGATATTCTGCCAACCTATACTTGTCCCACTCTCACCCACGACAGGCTAGCCCAACCTCCCACCAAGTCCACATGATGTCCCGATCCCCGGGAGGTGCCATGGGGCCTGACTTCCCTGAAATACCCCAAGGCCTGATGACCCCGTCAAGAGCCAGCCTAAACTTGGACTTATATGAACACCACTGGGCCGGACCCCCAGGACCAGAGGGAACCCCCTCGGCACGGCAGCCTCAGCCCCAGTGCCCCCCCTTTAGGGAGGTCCGTGTCCCAAGCAGAACCAACTCCTTCAATAATCGCTCTGCTGGTCCTGGGATCCGGCCCACTATGACTGCACAGGACCCTTCCCTTGGACCACCAAACACTATCACTGCAGTGACCTCTCCTCCCATCCAGAAGCCGGTCAGCAGCATCCGAGTGATGAGGCCAGAGCCCAAGACTGCTGTGGGCCCCTGCCACCCTGGCTGGATGACCACTCAAGGTCCTGACACCGACACACTGAGCTATGTCCCTGAAGAGTCTTACAGCCTGGAGCCTGCACAGGAGCCCCGCTGTCCGCCCCCTCCTTACCCCAAAAATCTGCTCATAACTGGAGCAGCTGCAGAGGCCACAACTGTGGATGGGGCTTTGTGTGGCCCTCAGGACCCAGGGGCCAGGAGCTCACACAGCGGCAGTGGAGGCAGCATTAAAGAGGAGAGCCAGCAAGTGAAGGAGAAGACCAAGACGACAAAAGGAGAGAAGAGTGTGAAAGACAAGAAACAGATCCAGACGTCCCCCGTCCCTGTCAGGAAGAACGGGCGAGATGAGGAAAAGAGGGAGTCACGCATCAAATCCTACTCACCATTTGCGTTCAAGTTTTACATGGAGCAGCACATTGAGAATGTGATGAAAACTTACCAACAAAAACTCACCAGACGACTGCAGCTAGAGCAGGAGATGTCCAAGGTAAGCTGTCAAGCCGATAATTTTGTTACTTTCTAACTGCCTATTTAAAAGCGTTATTCTAAATTAACTCAGGCCAATAGATTTGTAGAACTACTGTTCCTGACACAAGGAGCGTGGAGTGTTTAATGTCCAGCCCAACATGGATGTTGATTTTCCACAGAAGTGTAAATAAGTGTTAAAAGTGCTGGGCATGTGTGAGGGGCTTGTGTAACAGTCTAAATACCAAACATATACAGACTGTGAAGAATGCTCAAAGAGATGCTGATGTGATGAGGGCATGGATGCCTGAGATACTTTGCTGTAATTTGTATGACTAAAGCTTTACAGCGCATTTCTGATGACCCCAGTATATCTTGCTTCATAGAAAAGTATCAAAATCACAACAAAATTTTATGTATACTACTAAGGGGTAAATCAAACATATACATGTGTAATGGTGCATATAGTTACTGTATATGACATGCTAAGGTAACATTTCTATTAATGAAATAATTGAGGGAATCTTATGTAAATGATGAAAAGTTTACTACAAATACTTTTGCATATCTGACCTTATTTTCAACCCATATATATACTTCCGTTTTTCCTTTCCAGGCTGGCCTTTCAGAAGCAGAGCAGGAGCAGATGAGGAAAATGTTAAATCAAAAAGAGTCCAACTACAACAGGCTACGACGTGCCAAAATGGACAAATCCATGTTTGTCAAAATCAAAACTCTGGGCATTGGTGCCTTTGGTGAAGTTTGTCTGACGAGAAAAGTGGACACGGGCGCATTGTACGCCATGAAAACACTGCGCAAGAAAGATGTCCTTAACCGCAACCAGGTGATGTACTGTAGATACAACTTTTGTTAAGATATTGTTTTTGTTATTCAAGTATTTACATTCCAGTCTATCTTGTTGCAGGTGGCTCATGTGAAAGCTGAGCGGGACATCCTAGCGGAGGCAGACAATGAGTGGGTGGTGCGCCTCTACTACTCCTTCCAGGACCGGGACAGCCTATACTTTGTCATGGACTACATCCCCGGAGGTGACATGATGAGCCTCCTCATCAGGATGGGGGTGTTTCCGGAAACGCTGGCTCGGTTCTATGTGGCTGAGCTGACACTGGCCATCGAGAGCGTTCACAAGATGGGCTTTATTCACAGAGACATTAAACCAGACAACATCCTCATCGACCTGGACGGACACATCAAACTGACAGACTTCGGCCTGTGCACGGGCTTCCGCTGGACCCACAACTCCAAATATTACCAGAAAGGTCCAAAATACTATAAAATATATGACTAAACAGATGGACCACTACAGATACTAACTATAATTTTATCTCAACAGGAAGCCATGTTCGGCAGGACAGTATGGAGCCCAGTGATTTTTGGGATGATGTGTCAAACTGTCGCTGTGGTGACCGGTTGATGACCCTGGAGCAGAGGGCAAACAGGCAGCACCAGCGCTGTCTCGCTCACTCACTGGTGGGAACGCCCAACTACATCGCACCTGAAGTGCTGCTGCGTAAAGGTACGTCTATGAACAAGAGTGTGGTTTTTTTGGCCAAGATATGTGTAATCTTGAGTATTTGCTTGAGCAGATAAACAATTTTAAGAATGCTTACTTACCCCTTAATCTGCTCTGTGTGCAGGGTACACCCAGCTGTGTGACTGGTGGAGCGTGGGTGTGATCCTTTTTGAGATGCTTGTGGGACAGCCACCTTTCCTGGCCTCTACGCCTACTGAGACACAGATTAAGGTTGGTGACCATGGAAAACATTAATACCACTTTGTACTGATATTAAGTGGGGCATGTAAACTTCATGCACACACTTTATTATCCTGAATTCTGTATTTATCCTGTTTTAAGGTAAAATGAACTATTGTTGTATTTTCTGAATTGGCTTTAGGTTATTAACTGGGAGAGCACTCTGCAAGTGCCTGCACAGGTCAAACTCAGCCCTGAGGCTGTGGACATCATTGGTCGTCTCTGCTGTTCTGCCGAGGACCGTTTGGGAGCCAATGGAGCAGGTGAAATCAAGAGTCACCCATTCTTCTCTCAGGTGGATTTCTCCAGCAACCTGCGTCAGCAGCCTGCGCCTTACAGACCAAAGATTGCCCATCCCATGGACACATCCAACTTTGATCCAGTGGAGGAGGAGGGGGGTCCCGGAGCATGGAGCGACAGTGGAGACAGCACACGGACACTGGACCTACTCTGCTCTCCCCAGGGCAAACACCCAGAACATGCTTTCTATGAGTTTACCTTCCGCAGGTTCTTTGATGACAATGGCTGCCCATTCCGCTACCCCAAACCTCTGGACAATTATGTCCTGTCTGGAGCTACCGGGACAAGCAGCCCGGAGCAGGTGGAAGAACAGGAGGAAGAGGAGGATGAGGAGGAGGAGGGAGAGCAAGGGGAAGGCTGTGAGCCGGTCTATGTTTAAAGATAAACTGACCAGTGGTGTGTGAATCCCCTTCGGCATCTGCACTGCCCGTGCCTGGCTGTTCAGTAATGGCACACTGGTTTAGAACAATATTCAACATAAATATGAGGTTTATCAGAATTACTATATGCTTTCAAACTTGGTCTATATCAGTATGCCATTCTGAACACAGTTGGATGTCCAGTTGCAGTAGTGACAACATGTTCTCTTGCAGAATCTATATCCAACCTCCTATCATCCAGGACCAAGAAAAACTTTACCTTTTGTGCCAAAGCAGCCAGCTCATAGGGTGACAGTGTCAAAGAATGTAATGTCTAGATTTTCTGAGTGAAGTCAAGTCTAAAGGAGTCCCATTCCTTCCACCTTTAGTCTAGCAGAAAACTGCCCAGAGGGGACTGTTTGACACATGAGCTGTTCCTGCTCAGGCTGTTTTACACTCAAATGTTGGACATCTCAATGTGAAGAGTGGAGTCAGTTTACCTTCGTTCACCACAGGAGGGAGTGAGTGTGCGGGCTGAATAGGTAACATGCCATTTTAAACAGCAGCTGCAAAATAAGCTACAATACACATGCACACTAGAATTGCTTGTTCTCAGTTCAAAATGATGAAAAATATTTTGTGAGAGAGCGTCTTTGAATGACTCAGAGATCACACATATTTTATGAATAGTAGTTTGAGTAAGACAATGATGGCCCTCAACAAGACAGAGCATTTATGTAGACATTTGTATACTATCACATTCACAGTCTGTTTAGCTGCCTGATGGCTTCAATCCTCCAAAATAGGGATTTCAGACTGTGCCAACTTCAGTGTTAAGTGCCTTTCCCATTGTCTCCCCTAGAGGGTATTGTTACACAGTCAAAGCTGACTACAAAACTTAGATTAGAAAGTAGAAAGTACTGACAGATTTGAAGCACAATTTGATGATGTTCAAACATGCATCTATTAAAATAACGTGTTCAATTTATCCATATGCTGATGTGGATAGAAAATGTAGCAATATGCATGCGTTACATAAAGTGCATAGAGTTTACATTTTTGCTGAAATAAAATAAAAATACAATTGCACAGTATATCAGATACTGTAGTTCCTATGTAGTAACAAGTGGTCAACAAGATGTAATTTTGTGGCCTTTGACTGATTACAGTGTGCGACTGAATTAAAAAGTATTTTAGAAAAGTAATTTAAATATTGAAAGATATCAGTACTTCTCATAAAAGTGAGTAAAATATTAACTGTTTTGTTGAAAAGATCTTTATGTATGTTTGGGATATTTCAACTGAGAATAAAATGGCACTCACAGTTATATGCAGTTACAATCCAACAGTGACCTTATTTTATCTCATAGAATAAGTTACCAACATGTGATGATAGTCTGACTATGTGCAATACAGAAACATTATACTAAACACTTAGTACTGAGACTTGCTCTGTACAGAAACAGTATATTGATATATGTTTATTTCCTGTCAGTTACACCATGCTGCTTAATATTGTGTCAAATTGTTTTTTGTTGATATTATTATTGCTACTACATGTTTGTGCTTTTATTTTGAAAGTGGTCTTGTGTGTTTGGCTTTTTGAAAGTAGCGAACCGTGTGCATTTTGGAGTGGAGTGTGTTGTGGTTTTAGGATGATGGCAATGGTGGACTCACATGTGCACTCTGGCTGGTCCTGAGTGCACAAAATGAGCCTTAGAAAGAGACCAGTGTTGAGTGAGTGGAGCCAGCAGACTTTACAGAAACGCTTTCTTGTGTTACAAAACAACCACATTTACAAAGACACTATTAGTATCCAAAACATATGTATATCTACAAATCGGTGCCATGGTGAAATATTGCTCATTGACAATCAGTAGTTTTGAGTTTGTTTAGTTTGGTCAGTTCACACCAAACCTTTTTACAGTATTCTGAGGAGTTTTTGCTGCATTTGATTTTGCCTGGTGATGAAACGTAATGCCTTTGCAAAAGTGGCAGTATTTTACATATCTCTTCTATCTTATACTACAACTGAACAGTTATTTGAGTAAGAGCCTCAAACAATATGGCTATTTTGTAGTTTATGTGGGTAAACATACAGTACACCTTTAATGGGAATGGGTTACAATAAAAAAAGTTTTTTTTCATTTGGCAGTGAAAAAAGTCAGTGTTCAGGTCTTAGATCACTACAGTGATCCTCATTCTATCTTTGAGTAAAACATCTAGAAATTAAACATTTTTCTAGTGACTTGAATGAGTTATAAATATTTATATTTCAGATATTTTCCAGATCCAAAGAGGACACAGCACCTTTACAGTTTATCTTCTGCTTGTTTGTTTACTTTGTCTTCTCTCATGTTGTTGTTAGACATCTGTATGCCTCAGATTTGTCAAGATGGACTCTGTGAAATAGCTTTAAAAGCAGAGCTCTCTGCGTCAAGTGCCACAAAGTGTTCAAGGTTCAAGAGCATTGACTGACAATCGGTTTAGTTAATTTTGATTTCCAATTTTCTTGATTTCATTTTGTATTTTTACTGCAAAGCTTCTGGTTTTCTTTGATGCTCCTTAATGTAACATACAATCCTGTTACTTTTGAATTTATATTTATACATATTTTTGTATATCTTTTTTTTTTTCATTTCTTCTAGTGCAAATACTTTTGTCTGTGCAGTATTATAGACAATGTGATGTGGACAGCTCTCTTACAGCTCTCTTTTTTACTTTCTGAAAACAGAATTTGTAAAGATGCTTTCACAGTCCTTGTGTATAAAATGTATGTATAAATTAAATTAATCAGCCACAAGAGACTTGTATCGTATTAATTGAACAATCCCAATATCGGCACATCTTAAATAGGCTACACTGTATTGACATTGGGCACCATTAACCTCGCCTGAAAGCTTTATGATATTACATCCTGTGTGTGTGTATATATATATATATAGATATAGATAGATAGATAGATATAGATAAATAAAATGAAAGAGCCAGAATAGATTTAGGGAGAGAGGAGAAACTAACGTATGCATTTAAGTCTAATTTCGTTTGATTTAACCGCAAAAAAGTCAGACTGCACGTGGTACAGCTCCGGACAGTGACCACGAGACAAAGCCAGTCCCACACATAGACTGTATATCCAGTATATGCGTTCAGTGGGAATGTGATGTTTGGTCATTCTTATTAACAGGCACAAGATGGTGCCCGTGAGTCATGAAGATAAATATGTTTTTATTTTTTTTATCAGTTTTTCATCCTCAGTTGTTCTAGGTGTGCACAAAATAGGCTACTTAACGATTAAAAAGCCTAATAGTATAATATTAGGCCTTTCATATAAGCCTATTGGTTAGCACACCTGCTTTCTCTGTGTTGCTAAACAGAATGCATTAGCCTACTTTTCGTTTCAAAGGCGTATTGTTTTATGTAGCATCGCATATAGACGAATTAGCAACTGATTATTTCACAAGGCCTAAGCACATATCTTGCATGCCAAGGGCCAAAAAGACCATTTCTTTTAGACTGGATGATTATCCTAAAAAAAAGGCCATGTCGATTGTGAAGATGTTTACATCATCTATAGGTATGCTTAGCCTACACCAATAGCCTAGTTAAGTTATGTCATTGCATTTAGCGTCCCCTACACCCCCTCAATCGTCACACACGGATCCACCTGTCGCTAGGTGTCCTCAATCAAAGCTCATGTCGTCATTGTGAGGTTACCGCTCCGCTGTGCGCTGCATCCGCGCGTAAGCCCCGCCTTCTCTGTCAGAAATCACTTTTCTAAGACGTTTATTCCTCATTTCTCCCTCACATGGGGCTCTGACACGTTTCGACGCTGGCTGCGGATCGAGTTTGTCAATATGGGGATCTAAATTAATCCTGGGGTACACCGACGGGGGGGACGGGACCACAACAAAAAGGGTCCGGTATCTTTGATTTTTGTGCATCTTCTTGTCCTCCGTCTCCTTTACCTCCGCTGTTGCTGCTGCCAGGCTTGAAGGGACCATGAGACAGCTCCAGCCATGGCGCGCTCTGATGCTGCTCGCGGCGCTGTGTCCAGTGGGACTGTCCGAGAAATACGGTAAGATGCCAAAGATGGTTCGTCTCAATGAATCATTCATCTACTGTTGTATTATTTCTCTGTACTTTTGCTCTTTTCATAAATACACATCATCCTTGGAATTGCACAAATAGGCTCTCCAAGAAAACTGGCTTTCTAACTTACAGTCATAGCCTATTACAGCCTATTGGACTGAAACACATGCTTCACACCTAAAACCAATCAATTAATGTTACAATATGTTTCAGCCTACAACCTGAACAAAAGTAATTGGACCATTGACTTAGCTTAGCTTTCTGGAGAAAGGAAGTGGCAATTTTATCTCAAACTAACAAATGGTCAGGAGCGGTTTGTTGCTTCTGGGGGGAAAAAATCTAGTTCTATTGATTATTGATTTGTATTGGCTGCGAACAGGATAATGGTAGCTAATCCTTACTAAACCATCAGTTTGTTTAATTAATGGAAAAGTTTACCTGTATTAAAAGTTTTCAACATTTACTGTCATATCTGCTTTTAATGTATTTATTTATTGTGTGTGTGTTTTATTTTATTTCTGTGTCTAGCTTTTTTAAAAATATAGGCCTATTTTCATGACAAATTTTCAACACTCTTCACTGACTACAATTGTACATTGTAAATAAATGATCTTATGATTGTGGAAAACATTGGATTCAATGTTATTTATTTTACACTCATTTTCTATTTAGCCAGGATAGTGCACCATACTGGAAAAAATATATGCAAAGTAGGCCTATAAAATGCTAAAACCTGAAGATTTTCCTCATAAAAATACAAGGGGAGAATTGGATTTCATAATTTGCCTCTATATGAGAAATTATTTAAAGCAGTTCAACTTGCGTTTTTCCTCTATTAAAAGGACCAAGATCAAAATATTTATAACCCAAAACTAGTATGTTCATCCAACTGAATAGGTTATCACATCTTTACAGCATCCATAGCAGGATATCCAGCACCCTGGACAGAAACAATTTATAAAATGTATTTTGCAAATGTTTTGGAGGTCTTCGGTCTATGAATATAATTGGTCACACAGTTATCTTTGTTTTCAAGCGTCCAGCTGTGCATCTTTTTACATTGTGCCGACCCCTATGTGGCCTGCCACTTCCTTTCCCTTCCCCCATTCATTGTTGTCATGATGTCTATATGACAGTCTTCAAAAATACAAGGCTATTTGCATTGAAGAACATTAAATGAATGCCAAATAGCTTGTTGCTCCGTAAACAGCAGTGACGTCTTCGTCTTCAACAGTAATGAGTAAATCAGCTTGTCTGCATGCACATGTGATTGGCAATTAGCAGATGCCTGTCGTAGCCCCCAGAGATATGTATTGGCAGCTTTTTTGCACATTTTATGATGAATTAAATGACCGATAACTTGCTTGAACATGAACAGCTTTTTCCATACACAGTAAACAATGTACCTTATTAGTAATACGCATATTGGCAGATACTAGCTGCTCTTCTTGGCTCAACCTTCCACATTTTTCTGTGCTTAAAGTGGCAAAAGAGAACACATGCTTGTGCCCTAGTGGGTTTGGGTGTAGTTTGGATTCATTGCACACAGAATGAAACAAATGCTGGTTCAATAATAATGAATCACTATTATATAATAGGTCCTCTACAGTTCAGCAGTAGGATACATGGCTCCTGATACGATAATATCAAAAACTGGTGATTTGTGATTTTAAACCACTACCTGCATAAGCACCATCATTTTGTAAAATACACACACACAAAAAAACTCTCTGCAATATATTGACACAGTAGCCCATGCTTTCGAGTTTTGTATCACATATATCAATATTTTGTTATTTTAGCACACTCCTAATATGGATCTATTGAACTAAATTTATGTGTGCTTGCTTGAATTGTTTCTTCTCTATATCCATGGTTCTATATTCCTTCAATTTAATGTATGTGAAGTATATGTTTGGGTCTCAATGCAGTGCTGAAAAGTTACAAAGCATGTGAGTAATATGACACCCACTCATGCAGCCTGTGGATCTCTTCCTCGATACTCGCTTTCTCCAAACTCTATGTATTTTTCCATTGGTTTTGTACTAGAGCCTAAGATGCATTTTCTGTGTGCCCAAACAGAATAGTGCAGGCAGCTCTATCCCTGCATATTGTGCTTGGCCGCTATCTATAACCAGCCACCTGCTCCTTCCCACAGTACCTCTCAGGTCTTACTCACAAAAAGAAGGTACGGAAGGACCCAATATATACATATATATATATACATATATATATACATATATATATATATATATATATATATATATATATATATATATATATATATATATATATATATATATATATATATATATATATATATATATATATATATATACATATATAGGTGATACAAATTACAGCATCTAATTAATATGAAAAAGACTGAAATGGACTGAATGACAAACAAAAGGGTCATTTATTAATTTATTTTTATTATTTTGTATTGATTTGAATATTAAAAAAAAAAGAACACAAAAGTGGGATTTAAGTGGTATTTTAATGGGGTGCATGCTTTTATTTACTGCTCCAGCTGTTGTTTTAGCTCCTATGATGAGTTATTGTGAACTAGAAGTAAGATTGTGCTGTTTCAATTGTAAAACCCTGCTGCATGGAGCTATCTGAGACTTAACTTGTGAACCAATAGTTTCTGATTGTAAGGAAAAACATATGATCTTTAAGAACGCATTGCTCCTAAGCATGTCATTTGTTAGAGGATGTCTGATGATTGAAACTATTGACATGTAGGAGAATGTGGTTATGTAACAGGCTTGCAGGCAAGACTTGAAAACTGTAAAAATAAATAAATAAATACTTAAATGTTATTATTAGAAATTAGTTTTGCAGATTTTATTAAATAAGGAATTATGTTCATCAGTAACACAGTGATTAATGCCTCAAACTGCTTGGCTTTCCATAATATTCAAAAATATCAGTATATAGAAGAAGTATATACTCAAAAGTATTTTAAGTGATTTTGTTGGAGTGAAATAGGATTCTTTACATTATCTTACTGGTTCTTGTTTGTTTATAATGCATTGCTTATTGAATAATGTTGTAAAGATCTCAAACTTCCATTACCTATAAAAAGTTAGTGCACTTAATAATTTAATGTTTCAAAAAGCTATTGTTTTACGGACAGAAATAACATTAAGTTTAGAGTGCTTTTCAAACGTTGTGTGGGTTGACTTTTATAACAGCAGCCAATAGGAGTACTTTTTATAATGCTACTGTATGAGCAAGGGCTAATTAGGATGACTAAGCGCGGTTAAGTGTACTTTTTGTTTCATTTGGATTTCTAATGGGATCTGTTTCCATGGAGATAGCGGTGATAGATTTTACCTGTAACCTGTGTTTTTGTTCGTCTCTCTCCAGGTTGCCTTTTTGAGAGAAAACTGTGCTCAAGGGAACAGTTCTGCTCAGATGGTAAGTGTGAATATTGTCCATCTAAGGCACCTGTAGATTTGAAATATTTTACACCATGCTTCAGAAGGCATCACAGAGACATCACCTTGACTTTGCTTTGTTCTATTTTTTTCTGCAAACATCAACACATGTATAATTACAGATCTCAGCATAGAGTCACCTGTTTCTTATAAGTAATACAGTCCCCCATGTTCCTTGTTTTGTGTTATGCTTGAGATTTTTTTCAATTTCTCATTAAAAATGACTTTTAAAAGGGGCATTGCATTTTATTTCTATCACTTAATCAATAATAAAGTGCTTCGATGTTGTGTTTTACATGCTTGTATGCCTTTGCTCACTCTCACAGATTTAGATTCATAATGATAAAATACATTTTAAGAGTAAAAAGAAATAAACATAAAATATGAATACTTTTTAATAGTAAAAAAAACAACAACAACAACAACAACAAAGCTTAGTCTGTAATTAAAACAATCTTATCTCTAATCATATACATGCTTTGAACCATGAAAGTCTTAAGCCCTTACACACACATGTACCAACAGAAGCTTGAGAACCACTCCATTATTACACAGTTATTTGCTCTTTTCCAGAAACAGCACTTACACTCATCCACAGACATCCATATTTCCTATCAGTTCATCTCTCTCATTTCTCATCACCTGCTCCCTCTCTCCTCTACCTCCTCTTTTCCTCTTCTCCTCCTCTTGGTCGAAGCCCCGCCCTGTCCCCCCGCTGTCTCCATGGTAACGCTGACATCATCGCGGTGAGGTCGACACCCCCACAGTTGTTGTGCTAATACAGTGATGAGTCACGGACACACACTTACGCACGTCTCTGGAAATTGCATTTACGCACACAGCCGCACGGAGCACATTGGTTGGAATACAAAATGGGCCGCGTAGACATAGGGCACGACATCAATATACATTTGAGATATTTCCGGGTTAGTCCGTCGTGCAGTAACAAAGCAGAGCATGGTATTTTTATCCCAAGTAATTGAAAAAAGTACTTCTAATAAAGCTGGGTTGTCTTGAGTTTCTAAGCCCACAAGAGACGACAAAAACACATGAATAGAAAAACATGTCATCCTTTTGGGTCTTTATTAACTGATGCATCCAAGCAGCACTCTACATAATTTATTCCCAGACTTCCAGAACCAGACAAGTGTCAATCTGCAAGGATTTTATCTGACATTTAAAAATGACAAGATCCAGTCTTGCATACAAGACATGTTTTGCATAGTGATGTGAAGATGTTGGACTTCTGTTTGCGAGTGACAATTACAAATAAGGCAAGGAATAAATACATCGAAAGGGACAGGTATTGTTATGTTTTACAGATTCTGTCAGAAAATACTTCATTAAAATGCTTTGGACATTTACACAGAGGTGTAGTGTAAGCATGGTAGGGCAGACTGATAGCTTTTAGATTAGCAGTTTATTGGAAGAATTGCTAATTATGCAAGAGGTTTAGATTTAGAATTTTAGAACATGTTTGTAGAGGTCAAAACTACAGTGTTTGCAGGTTTGATTATAAGACCCCATGGTTCTTATTCTTTTTTACAAATCATTGCACCCATTCAAATGTACATTAATTTGCAGTCTTAATATATGACTTGAAGGATACTGTTTAAGTTGGCTCTGACTTTATCTTGCTTTGAAGGGTCGTAAAAGGTTAGATGAGGAAAGGAGAGGCAGATGTAGAGAAGCCCTCTTATTGCATTACGTTGTTCTGAGATCCCATAACTTCTTTATCTTGTCATTTCGATCGGACATTAGAGCTGGTTAGTGCCCTGTCTGCACTGTGCTGTGAGGTCAGCTACAGTCAGAGGAGATCCAGGTCTTTTACTCTTGTCCTGTTTGATCACATGACCTGGGTTCATGTTTTGTTTGTATGGCAGTGGTCAGACAGCAATAGCAGCTCGTTTACACAGGCTACAAAGAGGTATCAGGACATTACATAGAAATTTGACAGAATTATTTAAATTAACAGAGAGGTTTTTTTTTATTGTGTTTCACTAATTTATTTATTCATTGATTGATTGCTGAAATGTACTTTAACTATTACTGCACATAATAATTTTAAAATACTTTCTAGTAATTCAATAAATAAATGCCCAAATGCAGGTTCTGTATGTTCACAGATGAATTCAATCATGCATGAAATTTGAAAATAGAATTGTTGGATGAAAATGTTAGGCCAACGATCAATATGAATGTCTAATCTAATCAAAATATGAAAATTATGATGTATTAAAGGGATAAACATTGTTGTTGACTGTTTCTACCTAATGCATCTGAAAATGGCAACTGCAGAAGATGATGAAATGATAATGTTTACCAAACTGTCTCTATGTTATTGATGTATTGCCATAATATTCAGTCAGTTCTGCTCTATTTATATCTATTTCCAGTTGATAGATTGCTGTGTATCAAATTCCTCTCGTCGAGGGGTGCATTCCTCTGGCTCTGTAAAAAAGCCATTAACAGAAATAACCCTGGCTCCAAAAATAGCCCCAATCCAATCCCAGCATGCAGTGGTGCCGTCAAATCTCTTATCCTCCTCCACACCTCCTTTGTGTCATCACCACAAAGGGAATACCACGCAATATTTATACTTTACCAATACTAGTGTTTAGAGTATCTGTACTTTTAGTTGTGTAATGTAAACTTTTTTGTCTTAACATTTTTAAACATATTCTGATAAGTGGTTAATTTTACATGGCAAAATATTGAGATAATTTTGAATGGCAACTAATCTGAATAAAGATCACAAGAGAGCAAATGCTATGAAAACACTGGAAGTACATAAAACAGTACAATATTTGTGTCATCTTTAATTAGGGCCACTATACCCACAAGATACCTGTATAAATTGTTTGATTTGAATTAGGTTATTTTTATTTATTTATTTCAAAATCCATACAAAATTTTTGGATAGGAAAAAGTTTAAATGCATCCATTAAATGCATAAATATTAAATATTTTCAGTCCAACATGCAGTCAGTATCTTAAAATAATTCAGCTGCATTGACTGAGTTTTAAAAATTCACCAATATAATTTATTTTATACAAGAATTAAGTTACTTTAATTGCCATTTGTAGTTTAAAAATACATTGGAAAACTTGTGGACACAGCTCAAAGTGCACCACAATACTTGAGTAACACACATAAATAAACAATGGACATGCTGCATGTTGCAAAACTTCGCTATCAAGAAACCCTTACAGATTGAAATAACCAAGCTAAAAAGATAGGATTTTACTCCCAACATATTCAGAAATGGCTTTATAAATAGTCTGAAGGGATAAGCTAATTAAAATTATGATATCTGGCAGGACACCTCTTAATGTCAAAATATGAGGCGGTTTACGTCACATTTGCAGCTGTAATCCGTAGTAATCACTTTAGCATTGCACTTCAGCACTTGACTGTATAGCAGGTCGGAGTCGGAGTCTGTTTTAGATTGAAGAAGTGTGATGCTGAATGGCTGCGGTGACTCATCGGTGCACCAAACTAACACGCTTCAAGTCAAGTCGCAAAGCTTTGTCATACTTTTACATTTCTGCACCCACATTTTAGATCGTCAAAAAGGTGGCTCATGGATTCTACCTCTCCTTGTGTTTTTGTGTCAGTTTGTGTTAGGGGGTTCTGGACTGGGTTTAAAACATTCTGTAGTTGATTTTTCCACAAGAAAATGTAAATAATGCATTGTAGAGGTGGGGTATATTGAATTATTGATTAAATTGTGAATGTTGTTTTGAATATATGCAACATTTCAATATTGGATAATTCTGTTCCTTTGGTCGTATATTACACACGACTTTTGTGAGTTTTAAGCCATGTTATAATGTTGCATCTCCAAGCTCCACATGCTCTTTTCCACCTTGTGATTTCATGAAGCAGTAGTTTTCATATTAACAGCTAAATTAGCTTTTGTTCTGTTTGAGAGAAGAACTCAGCTTGAAAATGCAGGAGCTGTGTGTTAAACATGTGTGAATGAAACAAAACACAACTCCGGGTATGTCCGTGATGAAAAAACAACATTATAACATAGATTAGAAAACAGAGCAGTAGAGCAAATTTACATTATTCAATATATATAAAAAAATAAATAAATATAATGAATCATACTTTTTGGCTAGCAGACATAAAATATTGTGTTATTAATTTTGCACCTATTCCCAATTTGAATACTTGAATATTATTTTTTGTGTTTCCTAAAAAAAAAAAAAAAAACCTTTGAGGTCTGTCTGTAATTTGCCCCAGGCTTGCTGGACAGAAATACAACCTTGAAATAGCTGATTTCTAGGGAAATTAATTACGTAAGAAATTGTGTTATTTATTAATTCTTGATTCTTATGAATGTGTCGTAAGTCTGTCATGTTTTAGTGAGTCTATAACCTCTGTGTGCGTAGGACCAAAGTATGACTCATGACTGCGGACCTTAGAAATTCTGAAGCACAAAAGAACAAAGTATGAATATAAAATCAATTTCTTATTTTTGTAGATGGTCTGTTTGGCCAGTGTCGAACCTCAAAGCAGGACCTGGTTCAGTACCAGGTGTCGGTCCCTGTTTTGAAAAGGATGCAGGAGGTTCTCAAGCAGCTCATGCAACAAGGTAATGAACTCTTGTTTTTTTTTTTGTTTTTTTTTTTTACATCCATAGAAAATTGTTGAATAGAAAAAAGTTACATCCATTCTAAATACATGTTGCGATATTTTCAGTCAGTTCAAACATGTAGTGAATTTCTTAAAATAATTCAGGGGTATATTGAGTGAGGTGAAAAAAATCACCTATATAATTTTATACAAGTTTACAAGTTTCAAATTCTAAGTTTATCTTGTATATTTTTAAATTGAACTTTTTGTGGTAAAATCATAAACTGTATGAAAAAGTGGATTAAGTGAGTGTGATGTCACCCATAGTGTTATGCTCCACTCAAATGAATAGGACTTTTTTAATGTACAAAATGTTGAAATAAAACCCCAGGATCATGTAGACCGGGTTAATACAGACATTAAGACTGAAATGATGAGGCTCACAGCAGCAGTTACAGAGAGAGGGACCACAATATAATGTAAGGCAATTGGAGCCAGGGTCAGAAGCAGCTGGAAGAGACCGCATATGAACTTCCTATTTGGAACGCAGCATACATGAACTCTTCTTTTTAATATTCTAACATTGATAAATAACACTGTCGCCCATTCCCTCCTTTTAAAATGCCCCGTGTCAGTCAGTGGTCAGCCCCTCTCCTCAGTTCACCCCTCTGCCTCTCTGCTCATTTTCCAGCGTCTTGAAGCAGTAAGCCCTTAGCCCAGCGAGGTAGTTACTCTTTAACAATATTAACTTTGCTCTGTGATCATTTGGAGGGAGCTGAAGAGAAAATAGTCTGAATCACACACACAATATAATTAAACTTGATTATTTTTTTACATTTTGCTTGTGTCTTCTGCAGGTTTGTCTTGGCAGGATGACATCACACAATATATTTTATCCAAAGAACTGAAGAGAGTTCCTCACACAACACAAGCAGCAAAACCAAATTCATCCTCCTCCCAGCCATCATACCCCCAGTAAGTCAACTCAAAAAACAAGTATAAATGTCATGTTGTAATTTCAGAAGAAGAGTAGAGACCTATGTAACTCTATAGGAGTTTTTTTAATGAACAGTTCAAACTAAGAACGTGAATGTTGAATTACGTTAGTCTAATAGCATTATCTAAGTCATATTTGAAAGTTTTCGGAAAACAAGAAAAAAACAAATTTTTTAGCAAGCACATTGGTATTTTTTATTGATATTGTATAGGGATGACTGAGGCAGACAGACACTCTAACAAGTGCTCTGAGGCTGAGGGCATAGGCAATAAGGCGGGGTGAAGCAGCAGCGGTAGGAGAGTAAAGTTATATATATATATATATATATATATATATATATATATATATATATATATGGCATATATAAAAAAACAAAAAACAGGCAATTATGCTATTGGGCTAATGATTTAGATATATTGGTATTGCATTGGGTTCATTAACTCAGTGATTCCAAACCAGTGGTACACGGACCATTCGGGGTACACAAGCACTACCAGGGCATTGAATTGTATTTGACCAAAAATATCCTTTATAATGTTTTGGAAAATTTTGGAGATCAATGAATTGAAAAACATGAAAATATAAGTGATAATTGTAAATGATAATATACTTGTATCCAAGTTATCTTGAGAGGGCACTCAAAATAATAATTTAAAAAACCCTCTGGGATCCACTACATTAACGTACCATGTATTTTGGCTGAACAACTTATGTAAATTTGTATTTTACTTGCCCATTGTAAATATATCTTTTCTTAATTTTCAGATCCAAACACCAGAATTCTCATCACCACAAGTCCAGTTCATCTCCTCCTGGTGGAAACTATGTGGACTACATGATTGTGGAGCCCCCTGAGTCTCATCTGAGGATGCAAGCAGCTTCAGTCGATCCATATTCATACCACCAGGTGCACAGCCGTACACATGCTAACACATTTGTCCAAAGGTACAAAAATAATGATTATTGTGCATGTATATTGCACCTTAGTGTAAAACACATTAGTTGAACTGAGTCCCAAAGCAGTTTTCTGCTTTAATAATGTATTGTTTAGCTAAGGAAATATAAAGGGATTTTAAATGATGGAATCAATTTATGCTTGTTATGAATGTGTGCTACTGTGTCCCTGTGGGGCTGTAGAACCGTCAGCCCTCACTAGGCTTTATAATTTATCTTTTGTTCACATGAGCTTCAACACTCATTATGACAAAATGTGCAACTGGGCAGTCAGACATTATTATTTACCACTGAAACACATTAATTTAAAATTACACATTTAAATATCTTAATGAATGAATGAGAGATTGTTGTTGTCCAGGGTACCATAGAAATATACCAAACACAGACCTTTTTAGCCCTATAATGAATCAATGAATGGATAATGAATCATCATCCGATTTATGTTATATGTTTACACTTATGTTTACAGCACAGATACCAGGACGAGGTGGAGAGGTCTCTAATTGGCCAAGGAGGTGGATATGTCCGCCCTTCATCCCATGCACAGGCGAATCGTGAGAGAGAACGGGATAGGCAGATGCTGCAGGAAGCTCTGTCTCTCTACCTAGCATCCGGGCAACCTTCATACAGGCACAGAGGACCTGCCCCCATGAGCCCAGGAGGTAAGATGTAATTAAAACAGCCTAAAGTTAATTACAGCATGTATAATTAAAGTGTAATAGTAATAGAGTGTAATGCTATTAAGCAGGTCTCTATTATGAGGACTTGGAGTTGGAGTTACCAGTTGACTATGTAGAGGATTATACCACTGAGGAGAGACTTGGGACTGGCAGACAACCCGCAGTGCAAAGCAAGAAGGCTCCTCAGGATTTCAGCTCTATGCATGAAAACAATGGTGAACAAACACTAATTGATTAATTATATATAAAAATAAATATTCATATATATTATATAATATCATAATATCATATCATAATATTCAATATAATTCAAACACAGACTCAAAAATAGGAAATCTCGACCTTATTTAAATATAACTTCTAACTGTATAATGAACTAATTAACTATAAAATTGTAAATTAACCCATTAAATAGATCAGATAATATTCTATTCCATATTCTAATTATTTGCTTTGGATAAACATAGAATAATACTTGATAATTTAATATTTTTTTTCTCTGCACCAGATGGTTTGCTTCAGAGGATGTCAGTAGTCTTGCAGCGTTATGGAGTCGATCCCAGGGAGCTCAGTCAAGAAAAGCTCTACAGACTGGCCCTTATACTGCAGCTGTTACAGGCACAGGAAAAACCAGGTACAAAATCACAACTATGCTACAGCAAATTTATTCAAATTATATGCTACTAGGCTACACATGCATAATGCTGTCCTCTATTGGTTTTATCCAAATGGACTAGCTAATGTGACACTCACTGTAATTAAAGATTAACTGTAGACAGCCATAGGTCTAGGTTCAGGACTTCTTCGTCAAAACTGCAGAACTGCCTCTTACTGGCAGCATTTCAATGTATTAAGTGGATTTTCCTCTACATGTTTTTATTGTTGAAAAAATGGTTTTGTGACAGTTTTGAACCTCACACAATATGTCTCAGAGTCTGGATTCTTTGAATAAATGCAAGTAAGCACAGGGCAGTATGTAGAGATACTCAAACATGCATAGATCAATTAAAATACAATTTGGAGTAAGTTAATGATAAGGGAACATCATTATAAAATGGTTTAAAACTGATAATGATCATTTTCCTTAATATATTCTGTTTAAAGTTACACAGTGCACCTTTAAAGTTTTATTTTGTCTATTTCAGCTCCCAGTCCTTTAGAGAAAGACCTCTTATCTCTCAAAGAGGTACAACTATCACTTTGCTGTATACTTAAACTGTGCTGAATTTCCTACAGTCTTAATCAAACTTTATCTTTATTCCACCAGGCACTAAAAACAGACAGTGCCCCAGGTAAAGCTGAAAAGCCTGGTCTTGTCCCTGCCCCCCCAAATGCCTCTCCACCTGCCACCTCTCCTGTCTCTGCTCCTGCCACTGCTCCAGCAAAAACATCAGGACCTCCCCACCCAGCCTCTCCACCGAACCTCTCTGAAACTGGACCAAAACCTCTACTGGTGGAAGGCACAGGAGCCAAAGAAGAGTACGGGTACATTGTTACCAACCAGAGGTAATTTGGGTATGAATTTTAGCCATACAAAATACAAAGACAAGATATTAATGCACATGACAGGTTTTAATATCTTTCTAATTATTACTAGCTTTGGTGGGGTTGTATTGTGGTAAATATTTATCATAGTTTTAAGTCAGATAAGTGGCCATTTGTGGAAAAAAGGCTAAGAATGAAAGCACAAAAGTATAGGAAGCAGTGATGAGTTCTATCTGTGTCTACCTACATCAACAACAAAATTTTCACCCTAAACTCTGAATTTTAGCAATAAGTGAACAAATTACAAAATGCAGGCAATACATGTAAGGAGTGACTGCTTATTACAGACAAATGAACTACTATAGCTGAAGTTGCTGGTTCTGCTAGAAAGAATACATATTGCAATATATTTTTCCATGTGTAAATCTGCTAATTAGAAAGGTGAAGCTGGCATGTAGGATTATGTATATAAAAACATATATATTCTTTTGCAGAACACTGGATTTGTACGATGGAGTGAAGTTATTGGATCTACTAGCCAATAAAATTCACCTGGCCACTAGCAGCTTCATCAACATCAGGTATAGTTAGCACTGTAAACAGTATTGCAGTACTTCTGTGGAAAAAGGACACCATGTTTATTTGTGTGCCTTGTGTTTTCAGTGTGGTGGGTCCTGCTTTGACATTTCGCATCAGGCAGAATGAACTCAACATGACAGCTGCAGAGGTGGCAGCTAAAGCAGGTGAGCCATTAGACGCTAACCCTTGGAAATGAAGGATGATAAACAAAATAATGCTGTAATAGAAGTTTAAAAACACATCAAAAATGCATGACAGATCAGATCACAGTCAGACATGCACAATGAGATAGATTAGATTCTTTTAATAATAAAATTTTGAATACTTTTGAATTAATGCTAAGGCTAGGATTTAGCATTTTAAAATATCCATTAGCATTAAAGCTCCAACTCACTAAACTTTTAAATAAATACAAAATAAGTTATCCATAAAATATTTGGTAATTATTCTTAGTTTAGTTTAATTTAGTCATTACTGTGCAAGTATCACAATTTAACATATGCTTTAATGTGTTACAATAAGGGTACAAACCCTTTATGACTTCCTAGTTCATTTAAATGGGACAATGCTACAGTAGCTCAGTGGGTGTAGCGTTTCAAATCCAGCTCCCAGAGATGACTGCTGTCACTGTGTCCTTGGGCAAGACAGTGGTGTGTGAATGTGTGAATGGGTGAGCGGTCCCTTGATGTAAAGTGGTTTGAATGCCTTGAAGGTGGAAAAGCAGTGTATAAAAATCTGACTCTTTAACATTTAGCAAATCACAAGAGAGCTAAATGAAGTCGTACTGTCTACAATAAATTGCAACTTGTTAACTGTACCTTTTTATATACAGTATAATAAGGGTTGTAGGTAGTATCAATCCACACATTGCCACAAAAAACATCTTTGCTGAGAAACAATAGTCCAATAACCTCTGCCAATCAAAGCCTTGGTAACATGTTTAGTTTATGTATAATCCACAAAAGAGCTGAATGAATTCTCCCTATGTTGTTGCCTTCACAGTAGCAGAGAAGAGTTTCCTGGAGACAGAGACTGGCCTGAAGATTGTCCAGACTGGAGTGGGCGAGGTACGTATATCTCCACACACTGGGAGTCTCTGTGGGAAATTTCCTTTCACTTTTCACTGCTCTTATCTCTAACACAGGGAGCTGTCGTCAAGGCAACTAGATAATGTCACCCTCCATTATTTTTACATGTTAAAAGGAGGACATTAGCTGGGACTTTTCACACAATTTCACATAACTAATTTATACAAACCTATTTACAGAAGTAGATTTTAGCTTACTTTGCCTAGTTAGAATACTATACAGAATATTGCTTTAGTTGATTCATCATTATTATATTGAGATATTTGTGTTTCAGCATTTGTATGGTGTATTAGTTAGGTCTCATAATTGAGTTATATGAAAATGCAATTGCCTTTATAGTTATATATCAATCATATTTTATTATTTTATTTGTCATTCCATAATTTTCTCGCAGTATGTTGGGATCACATTATCCTATCTTGTCAAATTGCATCACTGGCTCAAATAGCCTGTGTGAAAAAGGCTTTGTTCTTGTCACAAAAGATCAACATCTTTCCTCTCATACTCTTAAAGAAAATAGTGGAGTAATGTGCATGGTTGTAAGTGCGTGCCACCCAGAAGGCAAATGGCTTGATCAAATCACCGCGTCGACAGAGAATATTCCACACGTTGCCATGGCGCTATATCTGTTCCGCCTATCCTTTGTCGCCGTGGCTCCCAGATCCAGGTGCTATGGCAACAGGTGTCATTAACCTCATTACACTGTTTATCCAACCAAAGAGCCAGGAAATACTACTAAGGATTACTGGGAGTATGGATTTGCAAGATATTCGAGGAATTAAGATATGAAATTATCTGGAATTTATGTTTCATATATATATATATTTTTCTATTTTTGTCACAAAGGCAGCTACAATTTCAACCAATAGCTAGGCAGACTGCTGTGGATGTATTTATGTACCAAATCAATCAGCAATGAAGCAATGGATTGGATTTCTAATTGTAGAATGAAAACATAAATAAAAACAGATACATATTTAGTTTTTTAAATTACAAAATATTTTAGGCTCAGCTAGAAGCCCAAATGTATATTACTGTCTATATTGTACAATATGTAATGGAAAACATAGTGAAAATGAAAGATGGACACTCGAGACAAAGTGAGATTTATGGCAGCAATTAGTGCATTGTGCTTGGTCATGGACAGCTTTTTTCACAGGACCACTGCCTCCTTTTAATGGATCCCCAATGCTTACAAAAAGACTGGGGCATTACTCTTTAATATAATTAAAAACAAAGTAAAGGAAGGTTGCCACTGTTAAGTAAAAAATACTAGTCCAGCCTCTGTCATTGTAAATCCAGGAGTTTCAGAATAATAAAAAATTAGGACTGTTGCCATAGCAATAACTAAATTTTATATATTTTGAATGGCAAAAAAGTGCTTAAATGTCACCTTTGTCAACAGGAAGCAGAACCCTATGAATGCACATATACAAAAGATTTACATTGTCAATGATCAGTTCTATAACAGACTGAACAAAATTCCCTTCATGTTTTCTTTATAGAGGACAGATGCACGGGGTCTCCCACAGGTGACCAGGGTTTCCCAGGGCTCCAGTGGGACAGTCATTACTTTAGTTTCCATGGCAATCGTTGGAGGGGTGCTTGTGCTGGCCATGGCCATGGCCTGTTTCCGGCATTACGCTCAGCAGGTAGCCAATGGGAAGCTCGGACTTGGACCAGAGGCAGGAGCAGAGACACATTTTGACTATCAGGTGAGAAAATGCACAAAAGACACTTGTTCAAAATAGTTATTGAATGGAGGCAAGTGGCATTTTTTTAGTTTAATGGACTGCAGTATATATAGCTTAATATATCTGTAGATAAAAAAAACCACCTATTTTGCCTTTAGTAAAAATACTGTCAGTTGATGAAAAATTATTGACAGTTATGCTGCTATGCTATAGCGATTACTATAATAAGAGTTTATGACTCTTCTCTGTATTGTTTATTTTCCTGTTATGTTAATGTTCTTTATAATTTACTGATAGATTAATTGTTGTCTAATATAGGCCTACGACAAAGGTTAAAATTATTGTTGACTAAATGCTTAAAACAGCAGGTGTGCAATTCAGTAATTTCTACCTCACAAATACAATACAGTCAGTAGAAACAATACTGATCCAGTAGCAATAGAGGTAGCTGGTTAAGGTTAGTCATAATTTTGTGTTCACTCAGGAGCTATGTCGGCAGCACATGGCCTCTAAGTCGTCCCTGTGCCGTCAGGACTGTGTGGGCGGAGTCAGCAGTGGGACAGGAGCACCCATTGGGACCGGAGCGGGGGGACGGAGGGGCACAGACACATCCAGAGTCAGCAGTGTCTCCTCTCAGTTCAGTGACGGGCCACAGCACAGCCCCTCTTCCACACATAGCTCCACCCCCTCATGGAGCGAAGAGCCAGCCCAATCAAACATGGACATCTCCACTGGACACATGATACTGGTACAACTGTACAAATACATTTACAGCTATGGTGTCTAATGTTTTGTTTGTTTTTTAGTTCATTTTCTGTTTTTCTCCAAAGAGCATGTTGTAAAAAACAGCACTTTGTGAGAAAATTACAATAATAGCTAATAATAAAATATTTTTACATTTCTCACCAACCCAAAAATAAACAGTGCTCTGATTGACTGTGTTTTTGTGGTCCACCCCAGTTTCACTTCGCCATCTAAAAAATGCATTTCTAAAGCTGTACCTCAAAATGAATGCATGTGGATATTAGCAATGTACAAAAGAATTTGGAAGAGATTTATATACCTGCTTCCTCTTTCAGTGATTCAGATACCCCTGCTTTAATCATATTTTTATATAGACAAATGAGATCAAACAAGCTCATCATCCCATTTTCAGTAGTGATTTTAAGTTATGACTGTGACTAGTATAGTTTTCTTATAGCAAGAAAGTTTATGGCTCTATCCCAGCTCTGACCAGTACATTGTGGTATCCTTGGGCAATAATATTTTCTACCTGGCTTGTATGTATTAAAGTATCTTGAAAGTGAGTGATATATGAATAATGGTTTACTACTATACATAAAATGTGGTCCCAAATCACAAAGCTCCCCCAAAAAAGACATGGACAAAAGCAGCAAATTTTTTGACTACACTAGTTGGGCCTAATCTTGACATAAAAGCATAAAAGCTTGATCAGCTGCCTCTATCAAATCATTGTTTTGTTTTTTTAACTCAGCTGTCAGTGGCTGTGATGTTGATCTAAAACATGCAAGTAACTTACAAGCAGTATAAGTAATCTGACTCCCCCTTAGGCGTACATGGAGGACCACCTGCGAAATAAAGACCGTCTTCAGAAGGAGTGGGAGGCGCTGTGCTCTTATCAGGCCGAGCCCAGTTCAGTCGCTGTGGGCCAGCAAGAAATCAACAAGGACAAAAACAGATATGCAGTGTCCCTCCCCTGTAAGTACAATTATATACCAATATCCTTCCACAGTCCATATTTAAAAGTAAAACCACGGGGGAAAAAAGTCCATTGCATTTCTCATTTTTCACAATAATGTCTAAAGGCCACATTATTTATTCATTTGTTGTTATTGACTTGGTATGTGACTTTGTTGCAGACGACCACACTCGAGTGAAGCTGAAGACAGAGATGAACCCCAGTAAACAAGACTACATCAACGCCAGCATCATTGTAAGAAATACTTTTATGTTTTATAGGTTTAGTTTTATAATGTATCATTTTTATAATAACTGTTGTTGTGGCAGTCAACAGTTATTGTCCTTATAGTTAAAGAGGACATAAATAGTTAATGTGGTGAGATGCGCAAACAAGAAGTGCATGTTTAATTAAGTTATATAGGCTTCATAACACAATTACAACTAAAGAAAATATTGGAAATAGTTAGTTATATTTTTATAAAAGAACTGTATCTAAATATGTTCAAATCAAATATAGCTTTTTGATAACAGTTGTACTTTTGATTTCATTACAAAAAACATTGGACATGATGGCCAAATTATATTGCTGGGTTTCGAATGAAATCACAACACTCTATAGGCCAGTTATATTTAATACAGACTATTATTCCTGTTAAACTGCAGATTGAGTCTTGTCACAAATAGAAATAATAAGGTTAAATATTTGTGAATTTACCTTTGAATATGTATGACAAGCTGCAGTGTTCAATAGGGAAATCTGACTCTTCTGACCTCATCTGGCAATATGACTTCATCACATTCTAAAATCTGAAAACCACCAATACGTTGGTGATTTCATTCTCAAGAGCATTATCCAATCAGAAAGCAGAATGAGCCTTACAAGTGTATATTTTAGCATTGAACCCAAATCCAAAAGAAATTGATATGGGTTATTTCTTTCAATAACTGTTTTTTACAGTTTGACCACGACCCCCGGCAGCCGTCTTACATCGCCACCCAGGGCCCTCTACCTCATACTGTGACTGATTTCTGGCAGGTCTGTCCCTTGTTCCTCTTAACTACCTCTCTGTACCATGTTTCTCATAGCTCAGTGTTCCCTGCCTGCTCATGTGCTAATGTGACATGCGTGTGCATGTGTTGTGTATATTATGTGTTGGCCACAGATGGTGTGGGAGAGCGGCTGCACGGTGATAGTGATGATGACAGCACTGGTAGAGGATGGAGAGAAACAGTGCGAGCGCTACTGGCCTGACGAGGGATCATCACTGTATCACATCTACGAGGTACACTTCCGCCTGTAATATATTACCTGTCATTACACTTACTGCGTATTGTAGTAGCAGCCGCATGTGTGCAGAGGAGGTGGAGTAGACAGTTCCTATAAATAAATTTAAAGAGCCAGAACTTGAAAAATATCACTCAACTTGAAATATAATGTAGTGATTCAAATAATTACTCAATTTAAAAAAAAATCTGATCTATGCTATCTATCTACCTATCTATGATCTATGTTAATATAATTTGACTGACACACTTTTTTTTTGACCACAGGCTTACATGAAAGTAAAAATTACTATTCAGTTCAAGTTCAAGAAACTTACTTATGTGAACATAGGGCTTTTTTCAGTATAATAATATATTATACTATTATAATATATAATATATAATTAAGCTGGAACAACAGTGGAAAGAGTAACTAAAAAGTACTCATTGTAACCTCAAATTAATATAAGTAAGTAAATGTTTATTTTGAAGAAATGCAATTTTAAAAGAATTGCCCATTTAAATGCTAAACTCATTACTCGCCAATGACTTACTATTTAAAAACTCCATGAATAAATAAAAACATAAAGTAAACTTTTTTGTTAAGTTAAGTAAAGTCTATGACGCCCCCTGGTGGGACGTTCCTATAGTTTACTAGGAACGTCTCACTAATTGTTCAAATGGGTTAAAGTTAAGATATGAGTTAATTTAGGTTGAGGTTAGAGTTTAGGTTAAGTACTATATGGTTAAGTTTTGGATAGTGTATTGTCTATGTGAAGATCCCAGTCTGTGTGTGTGTTAGTATTACGTATTGACTGAGCACTGGTGAATAACTTTTGATAATTTGGCAAAGTGAAAAGCAAATCTATATCTATGAATGCTATAAAAGAGTACATTTTCCATTTTCATTTTTCCTGCTGTACGTGTCCCCATTTCTCAGTCTCTCAATGCTTCTCCAGGTAAACTTGGTGTCTGAGCACATCTGGTGTAAGGACTTCCTGGTGCGAAGTTTCTACCTGAAAAATGTCCAGACCCAGGAAACCAGAACCCTGACCCAGTTCCATCTTCTGAGCTGGCCCGCTGACGGCATCCCGACCTCCACACGCCCCCTGCTGGACTTCCGCAGGTAAGACATTTCACTGACAACACCCCGCAACACATGAGAACAGTTTGTACAACTCTTGTAAATGCATGACAGTTCTTGTGTTTTTCTAGTATGGTGACCACTACTGTTTAGGATAAATTATTAATCTTAATTTTGTATTAATTTACCATTTATTTAACTTAAAAAGAATTACAAATCTTGATGAAAACACTCAAAAGTATCTGAATTAATACTTGGCAAAAAAAAATATGGAAATCAAACTGTTTAACTGAATTGTGCTGTATTCATTGTTATTATTGCCACTGTTCTGTACTAGTTTGTTATTTTAAATCACACACTTACGCAAGAATGTGAGTTCTCTTGTGAAATCAAATTGCTCTTTCCTGACCAGTTTGTAACAACAGATATTCAGATATTGTGGTGTCTCAATGAGTTTCCATCCCAGCTCCATATATTTTCTGTGTTTTTCATTTCTTAAATCATAATTTCTTCATCTCAAATGTACTACATTTCTGGCTGTACTACATTACAACCCCATTTCACGTCCTGTCCCCTCCCTCTCCTCTCTCTCTCTCCCAGTGTGCAGGTCCATGGGTTTGTATCTGAACATCTCCCAGTGTCATTTTTGTGGTTTGCAGCTAGTACTCTGGCTCCAGTTGCATAGTCACAAAAATGAGCATTGGCAGGTGTGACTGGCTACTGCAGGAGGGACAGTGAATTTGTGACTTCCTCTTTTCTGATTTAAAACATTTTCAACCATGTCTTTTTCAGTCAAACCATCATGTTTCCCCATTTCCACTATTCCTGTAGACCCTGTGTTTTTCCATTCATTAGCTATTCTCCCCATTCCATTATATACTAACCTCCCTACTGCTTTCACTGGGACCACAATGCATTAGCACTAAAAGCTAAGCAGAAATAAGTAGACTTAAGTAATTGAGAATTTACTAATAGTGTAATTCTTATACACTTTCATGATGCTAAAACACTAAATTTTGGTTTGCATTTTTATTTTCATTTTTTTTCTCAGGAAGGTAAATAAATGCTACAGAGGACGATCCTGCCCAATCATCGTTCACTGCAAGTAAGAAAACAGTTCATCAATTGTACATGTGTTACTGACTTGTGTTAGTTAATTAATTAATAGTACATTTGTATAATGAAAGTTAAAAAGAACATGTATTCATCTTTTACACAGTGATGGCACTGGAAGAACTGGCACATACATTCTGATCGACATGGTGTTGAACCGCATGGCCAAGGGTGAGTCAAAAACACTAAATTATCAGTTAAACACCACGTTTTGTGGACTTTTTTGCACATTCAGAAGATATAATATTTTTGTTTTAAATTGATATCACTATGGCAGTGGTTCTAATTTTTCTTAATCCTGAAACCCATGGATAATGCTTTTCAGACATACAGTATTTAGATGATGGTCCAACCTATCTACAAAGTCAAATTATTAGTTCCTTTCTCTAACTTCTGAGGCAACATTTTGAGGATTTTATAGCATTCAAAAGAATTGTTGAATTTTTAGTTACTAAGTCATCAGTTTTTCTTTTTCGATGGCTATATTGAATCAGTGCCAAAGAATTTTTCTACAGGCTCTGTTGTCATTGAAATACTACAGATGTGTACTCTACTTTATTCTAATGGGATAGAATTATGGACATTATGTGAATAATTTTGTATAGAGACAACATTAAAAGATAACATACAGGGTAGGGGTATAAGATTTATTAATACATGTATCATCAATATTTATATCTTAATTGTTTTAAAGCATGATTGTCAAAATCAGAAATATGTATTTGTCTTCTACCAGGAGTAAAGGAGATTGACATTGCAGCTGCTCTGGAGCACATCAGGGACCAGAGACCAGGTCTAGTCCGTACAAAAGTAAGACAATTGGCATTTTAAGATATTTTTCTTGTCACTACTGGATTGTAAACAATTTGTACCTTCATGTTTATCTGTAGGATCAATTTGAGTTTGCTCTGACTGCTGTAGCTGAAGAGGTGAATGCCATTTTGAAAGCCCTGCCACAGTAAGGCAACAGCAGCAGTGATATGGGACACTGTGGACTTCAGACAGGCATGCTCCAAATATCCATAAGGACAAACATTGTACCAACCTGCCATGTGTGTCGGACCATTCCTGTAAATAAGACTGCCACTTCTGTACCACTCTTGCTTTTGGCATGCTGTCTCTAAATTTATTTTGAATCATATTTTGATAAAAATTATTATAATGAAAAGCTGGAATGTAAAATGCAGGTAAATATATTAGATTATATCACAGATTTACTCTATTTCAAAAATCGAATTGGACATACTGTCTGACCAAATATCCAAACACTGTGGCTATGACTATGATGGTGAGTATGCAATAGAATGCATATATGACAGGAGACCAATCTCAGAAACCAGTTAAACTCATATCATCAGCTTTTTTGACATCTGTCTATTTCCTGGAAGCTTGATTACTCTATAGCAGAACTGACTGGGTTAATTCCTGACAATATTCACTGTTTTTGGCTAATCAATGATGTCAATATGTGTGTTTACATGGTTAAATATGACTTTATCTGTTTATTTAATTTACTATCAATGCAGCACATAACCAGATTCAAATTGTCTTCACTTTATTGATTTCACAATATAGTTTGATTGTTTTGTCGTGAGTATGAACACCATGGTGATTTGACGTAAATAATTCACTGCAATGATTGTTTTTCATGTAGCAGACAGATAGAAAATGACTATAAAAATGTATTTTTGACTTGACCTAAATAAAATTGTGATGTGACGCAGCAAACATAACACAGGTATTGTGATTTTTACAATCCACCATTTTAATGATCCATTATTTAGTAAATAGATGGTATAATATTTGAATATTTTAATTCACATCTATAGGGATTCTAGAGCCAGTGATGACTGTGTTTAGCTAAATACATTATACATTACACAATAAATAAAGTTGAAAATATATACATAGTCAGCTGAAAATACTTTATTTGCTTTGCTCTATTTTTTTTTTTCAAATGTTATTTTGAGATGTAAATTTTTTCCTGTGTATGGTTTAGTTTATAAATACATAATTTCCAGTGTATTCTTCACATACCCAGTCTCTCTCTCTCTCTCTCTCTCTCTCTCACACACACACACACACACATACACACACATCCACACCAATACTGCACAAAATTCTTTTTAAAGTTTCATTCAGCAGGTAGAAGTCATTTTGGGAAGTGCACCATGGGATTTTTGACCTGTAGAAATAAATGTAGGATGTCATATATTTTTGGCATTAACAGAACTATCAGATTATGATATTATATAAAACTGAAGAGGTGCAGGATGGGGTGTGGCTAAGGGATCTATGGTTCTATATTTCTACTAAGGCATCACACTGGTAGTTTACCTCTGGGCAGGGTTAGGGCACAGAGCAGCATGAGCCAATCAGGTTAGCTTGTGAAGGCCTCGAAGTCTGACTCTGAAACAATAAGCACCAAAATTTAGACTATGTAAATATAAAACTATGTGTAACAATAGGTGAGAAGTTAGCATTGGACAGCACAGAGTCTGGTAGCGTTAAAAAATAAACTGTGACAATAGATAAGTTAGTCTTTATTTTCTTTAAAAAACATTAACAAAGGATTATATAACACTATCCCTTAAATACTTACTTCAGTGAGCAATAGCAGCTCAGTGGGGTGAATCAGCATTTTGACTCAAGTCAATTTTTGCACTATATTTAGACAGTTACCCCCAATACTTCTTTTAACAGCATTGCATAATCTTTAGCGACAGAATGGTCTTATCAGCAAAGAACAAATCATCATATCGTCATCATAATTTTAATCATTACCTATTAATAAACTCAACCCTCCTTTACTTTCTTTACTTAATTGGCACCTGTTTGACAGATCACAAGTAATGGAAACATAAAATGTATATAAAAATGTACTGTTAAGCAAAAAAGGTACAAAAATGTAAAGTTACATTCTGCTTAACAGCTTTAAATTTTCTTTTTGCCTTATTATGTATAAAAACAGTGCAGTAAAAGTGCACAAGAACAGTTAAATTAATAATTATTATTATTATATAATTGCATGTTGTAGTGTTTTTATTTACACTATCATAGCTGGTCAGAATAAATTAAGCTAAATAAAGATAAGTAAACATTCACTGCAGATAATTATACCCACAAAAACATTCAATCATTGATGTAAGTGTACTCGAATGTGCCTTCACAATACACGCAAGAAAACATTGACTTCAGATACTGACTGAGATCCATAGGAGTTTTGCTTATTTTTTCCCATTATTTTGGCAACAATTCCTATACCCCTATTGCCTGGCAAGTCTAGAATGATATCTGTATTTTATGTACAGAGATGTCACATCTTCATAAAGTATTGAAGGAAAGTGTATTCTGGATCCCTGGCAAATGGCAACAGCCAGGCAACCTATAATACATTATATCATATGGACATCAGTGCCTAAGATAAAACCAAAGTCAGTATTTCACAAAGAAATCATCCATATGGAATTCACTGAAAATACTTCAACTTAAATCTGTAGTTAATTGATCAGTTAGTTTATGTTATTTTCACAGTTAACTAGAAAATTTGGCACACATTTTGTAGAAAGCTACTGCTGAATTAGCAAACAATACAGCCACACTTGTTTTTCTTTCTCAGGCTGCTGTTTTCTGTGTTTTTCTGTGGTTTAACATTTTCCGCGGCACTGTCATGACTTGGTGACGTGACATTTGAAGTTGTATTTGATGAGCTGCCTGATGTTTGGGGAGACTCAGAAGGAAACCTCATGCTGTACACCTTTTTTTCAGTTTTAACATCCTTTTCAACTCCATCTATGGTCTCTGTGCTCTTAACCCTTTTATCCACTTTGATTTTAACCCCACCCCCAGCACCTGATAAAAAGTCGGTAACGTTTGCTCTCTGCTGTGCATCCAATTCAGACAGACTGTACGCCAGCGCCATTTGCAGGTCTTCGTCGTCCTCATCATGCTGACTCTCTCTTACAAGGTCGCTATAGTGGAAGTACGGAGCGGAGCTGAAGGAGCGGTTCGTAGTAGCAGAGGGGGGGCTGTTCCGGGACGTTTCAGAGAAGTTGGAGGGTTTTTGTTGGATCTGTGGATTATGTGGATGACCCTCTCTTTTGCTCAGCTCCAGGGCAAGAGCCATCTCATCCTCCACACCTGCAACAATATACATTTTATCAATAACTAGGCTATTTGTGCCACACCAGATTAAACTGACCTAAAAATCTAAAATACATATTTTTTCAATGTACTATTTGATTTTTAAAAAAAAATCTAAATACTGATTTTATTCCATGAGAATCGATAGTTTTGATACTTTTGATACCTCAGTCCAGACCATATCGCTTATCAAAGCCTGATCTCATCAGATCTCAGAAGCTAAGCAAGGCTGGGCCTGGTTAGTACTTGGATGGGAGACAGCTGCGAAAATCAAGTGCCACAGGGGGTGCCAGTGGCAAAAACTGTCATTGTGTCCTTAGGCAAGACACTTCAGCCACATTGCCTAGTAAGAAAGTGAATGTGAGTGTTGGCGGTGGTTGGAGGAGCCGATGGCACAGATTAGCAGACTCGTTTATGTCAGTCTGCCCCAGGGAAGCTGTGGTTACAGTAGTAGCTTATTACTACTGAGTGTGGACAGAATTAACAATGAACTGTAAAGCACTTTGGGTGTCTTGAAAGGTGCTATATAAATGCAGTGATTAATGAATGATTTAAGCAGTCATTATCATATCAATATTTTGGTACTGAACATCACTGTTGTGTAATGATCATCTTTACATACAAAAAGGATAGCAAATTACCATTTATGATAACTGACTTCAGAACTCCATCCTCCTCAATTTCCACTCTCTCCTGTCCATTTTCCTTGATCCTAAAAGCACAAAATTTTCAAACTATAACTTGTGTACATCATAACCTGATACATTTCATAAATAGGCATATTATTAAAACACACTTTTTTGTAGTTGTGCGTTTCCCATTTACAATACGAGTACTGGTAGAAACTGATTTAAAGTTGCCCATTCCTCCGCCCATGCTGCCCATGTCACTGAGACCACTCATAGAGAAAGATGTGAAGTCTGCTGTATCAGATTACAGAAAACATGACATTGGTATTTAGTAACAACTTCATACATGTATATATGAATACATTTATTGCAAATGTTGTATATTTTCTGTACCTCCTGCTGAAGGGAAGGAGAAGAACCTACTGGTGCCCATACGAGAAGACGAGCCAAATGAAGAGAAATCATCTAAAACAGAACCAAAGGAGCATAAATATTAATGAAAAATTATGCTTTTTTTGGCCAGTGTTTTAGAAATAGTCAACATCAATTTGAACTGAATGTATGACTCACCAAAAAAGTTAGCAAATGGGTCCTGGCCTCCAAAAAATTCCCTGAACACATCATCTGGATTTCGGAATGTGAAAGTGAAACCTGGGAAATCTGAGAAGTCTGCATTGGCCGACCCTGGGAAAATAAATGTTTGTTGGGGTCATCAAAACCAAAACTAATTTTGAACAGCTGTCTTATTTGAAACTGATTTATTTGTTTACCTGTGTGCCGTGTGTTGTCACTTCCATATCTGTCATAGGAATCACGTCTACTTTCTGTATAAGAAAATAGATATAATGTATAAGAGCAAATTACTTCAAAGACCAAAACATGTGGCTTTAGTTACTTACTGTCAGACAAAACTTCATAGGCTTCAGCAAGCTCTTTAAACTTTTTCTCTGCTTCTTCCTTGTTGTCTGGGTTTTTGTCAGGGTGCCATTTCAGAGCCAGTTTCCTGTAACTTTAATTAAACAGAAAGTAAGAAAGAAATTCAACATGGACCTTTTTTGAGATGAGTATTACACTTACGCCTTTTTAATGTCCTCCTGTGAGGCTGTTTTAGGCACTCCAAGGATTTTATAGTAGTCTACCATTTTACTAGGAAATTTCACCACCTGTAAGGAAAATAAATAATAAATAAAAATCAGGGTACAATTTATGTCAGTGTTCTATTCTAATTTGTTATTTTGTTAACCCACGTGTTTTAGCCAACAGAATAAATGAATGACTATCAGATTCTGTCTATCCCTATCCCTTAACTCTGTTTACACCAGGCCACTGTAGCCACAGTGCTAGTAGCTTTCATTCCAATCCCATTAGTGGGTTGCACAGTTTAAGCCGAGGGGACTTCCAACGTGGTCTAAAACAACTAAACTTATCTTTAAATGCCCCCCATGACGGTGACATGCGTTCACACGGGTATTATTACAACGTTATTTCTAGCATCCTGGTATTTGACAACTGCTAGGCTTAGTATTTCAAATAATATGTAATTTTTCAACAATCCCGAGCAGACACTAACGGTAAATCAAGCTACGATTATCAATGATCAACAATGATCAATGTAACAGAGTGGTATGTATGTCCCCAGACGTCCGCGATTCCCTAATATGGTTATGTTTAGCTTTAGCAGTTGTAGCTCTTTAAATATTCAATGTGCGGCAGTCGCAACTTGGACCTTACCGTTAAGTCTCTAGGCCAACTTTACCCCGTGTCCACCCTAATGTCCACGGAAATATCCACGGTAATGTCCAAGACAACACCTCGGACTGTCCCCAGGTCTGCGTGACCAGCCGGTACTGACTTTAGACACCCCTTCGAACCTGCTCTTAATATACCGTAATAACAACGCTCCGTTAGTCAGCTGTAGTAAACTCCACAGCCTCCACAGGCCAAACAAGTGTTTTGGTGTCACTCCCCCTTTGACCAACCACCGCGTGAGTAAGACGCACGACGTCACAGACCAGAGAAAAAAACCAGGAGCCTCTGGAAGTTACTAGAGTAAACGAGACCGCGGCCAGGTAGAGTCTCTTCCGGGCCACACAACCGCACCGGTGCGCGGTCATTCACCTCCACTTTACAGTATGTCATTGGATCTATAATAAAAACTTTTATTACAGTTTTATGTACCATGGTTCTATCCGCCTCCAGCCTGTAGTCCACTGATAGCCGTATCTGTGCAGACTGTTCTGGAAACCGCAGACACGTGACAACAAATGTGCATATTAGTTGTCTTTATTAATAATCAAGTACCAATATTTAACTTAATTTAGCCAAATTTGTGATTTTAATCAATATACTTGGCTAGTCTCAAACTAGCCAAGTTCGTATTATTTCCCTGAGGCTTAAAGGTGCACTGTGTAACTTTTCTGGTGGAGGGTCAGTCAAATGCTTTTCTGCATGGAGATGTTCTTTGTCTGGAATGTTTCAGTATGGTACAGTATGGTATTAAACCTTACTATCTTCATAGAGACAAAACCAGACCAAGTTGCAGACACTGGGGCAAACACGTTCATAGTCAGAATGCTTGTTTTTCTAGGTATTTTGAGATGATTAAATGTAAGGTAGATCTGTTTTATTTCATAAGGTGGAACATTCCCGGCAGAGCAGTGACATTGAATAAGTAGGCCTATTTTGCTGCCATCCAGTGGCCACACCAAGTTATTTATGTAGGCCATGGATTTATGGTCTAGGGCAGGCAGGTCCAAACTATGACCCGTGGGCCAAATGCAGCCCTCATACTAATTTTTCTTGGCCCTCAGTCTTCCAGGAGAATTGGCCCAAATTACCTTGCATCAATTAAAAATGTATCTTTTACTGCAAATTTTTTGAAAATCTGCCTTGATTGAGCTAATATTTAATATTTGTTGTATGGTTTTAAGGATCTTAGCATGAATAAAGACTGATGATTCATTCTAATGTGTTAAACATGCACATATTTCAATTATTCACTGTATGGAGCACCAGTCTATGGCCCTCAATCAGCCCTCTGCTTTATCTGTGTTTAGATATGTGGCTCTGGATGAAAAAAGTTTGGACACCCCTGGTCTAGGTCTACAATATTGGTATTTTGCTATAGACTTCTCAGTAGTAGGATCTGAAAAATACCTGAAAATGTCTGTGGTGTAATGTTTCTGTTATGAAATAGGTTAATCAAGATAAGACAAATCATTTCAAAAAAAACTTTTATTTTGAACACTTTCATATCACCATCACAGCTATGAGAATGAGGATGGGAATGTGTTTGTTTCTTGATAACTTTGGGAATGTGATGCCTAAGAACTTCAGTACTCCTCACCATCTTCGTCATCGTCTGCCAAGCTGTCTGTGCCCACTTCTTCATAATCCTTCTCCAGAGCAGCCATGTCCTCCCTGGCTTCAGAGAACTCGCCCTCCTCCATACCCTCTCCCACATACCAGTGCACAAAGGCTCTCTTGGCGTACATCAGGTCAAACTTGTGGTCCAGTCTGGCCCAGGCCTCAGCGATGGCTGTGGTGTTGCTCAGCATGCACACAGCTCTCTGCACTTTGGCCAGGTCTCCACCAGGGACCACTGTGGGAGGCTGATAGTTGATGCCCACCTTGAAACCAGTTGGACACCAGTCCACAAACTGGATGGTGCGCTTGGTTTTGATTGCAGCAATAGCAGAGTTGACGTCTTTGGGCACAACATCACCACGGTACAGGAGACAGCAGGCCATGTATTTACCATGACGAGGATCACACTTCACCATCTGATTGGCTGGCTCAAAGCAGGCATTTGTGATATCAGCCACGGAGAGCTGCTCATGATAGGCTTTTTCAGCAGAGATGACAGGGGCATAGGTGGCAAGAGGGAAGTGGATACGAGGGTAAGGCACCAAGTTGGTCTGAAACTCTGTCAGGTCAACATTCAGAGCTCCATCGAAGCGCAGAGAGGCTGTGATGGAGGACACAATCTGACCAATCAACCTGTTCAGGTTGGTGTAAGTTGGCCTCTCAATGTCCAGATTTCTACGGCAGATGTCGTAGATTGCCTCATTGTCCACCATAAAGGCACAGTCAGAGTGCTCCAGGGTTGTGTGGGTGGTCAGGATGGAGTTGTATGGCTCTACCACTGCAGTGGACACCTGAGGGGCTGGGTATACAGCAAATTCAAGCTTTGATTTCTTTCCATAGTCGACAGACAGCCTCTCCATGAGTAGAGAAGTGAAACCAGAGCCAGTTCCACCACCGAAAGAGTGGAATATGAGGAATCCCTGCAGACCTGTGCACTGGTCAGCCTGTAAAAAATTAAAACATGTTATCTTTTTGTCTCTTTTTTAAGATGAGACAGTCTGTAATGTTCATGCATCTTATGTTCACAAAAAGTACTTACCAGTTTGCGTGTCCTGTCCAAAACCACATCAATGATCTCTTTGCCGATGGTGTAGTGTCCACGGGCGTAGTTATTGGCTGCATCCTCTTTTCCTGTGATCAGCTGCTCAGGATGAAACAACTGCCTGTAGGTTCCTGTACGTACTTCATCTACAGAACAAAGAGTTTGTAATTAAAACTCTCTACAGTTTGTAATCATCACTAGATAGTTAGAAAATTTTTGTCTCTTTTTACCTATGACAGTGGGCTCCAGATCCACAAAGATGGCTCGTGGGACGTGTTTTCCTGCCCCAGTTTCACTGAAGAAGGTGTTGAAAGAGTCATCACCTCCTCCAATAGTTTTATCAGAGGGCATCTGACCATCAGGCTGGATCCCATGCTCCAGACAGTACAGCTCCCAACAGGCATTGCCCATCTGGGCTCCGGCTTGGCCGACGTGCATAGAGATACACTCGCGCTGTAAAAGAGAACATTCTGGGTCAAAAGGTAATCATCTTGTCTTCGTATAACTGTACAATAGAAGGGTTTATATTGAGTTTCTAGAAGAACAGAAACTGTCCTATAATAAAGTACAGTATGCATAATGCTTATACTGTAACATATTGTTGTCAAAAGGAAACTTATTGTTGTCAAAAGGAAACTTTTTTTTCCCACAAGTGTGGAACAGGAAGGCAGTGACAGAGAAAATGGAAACGCCACCCTCCCCACCCACTTTCCTCTCTGTAACCTCCTCCTCTCCCCTCCCCTCCCCTTGTGCATCCCTCCCCTTTCTGTCCTGTCCAGCTGCGTGGAGCTGTGCAACACTCATGACTGCCTTCCTCCTCCCTCTTCTACAAATCTCACAAATGAAAAACTCCCAACAGCTGCAAAATGGCTGCCGTCTAACTCAGACGGTGTGGCCCATGACCACTCCTCTTTTCTCTCTTATTTCAATCCATCCCCCACTGCCACGATGACCCAGTTTATTTCTTTTACTGTAAAGGTACAATCATCAAAAGTACAATTAAATGTCAGTACTGCACCATGAATGTTTTTCAGAATCTTAACAGGTTTACTCTGCACCCCAAAAGGCTCAAGGCCCACGTTATGAGGAGCCTGTCATGTGACCTACATTCTGTAAATAACTTTATTTCAGTGTTTTTTTCTTTCTCTGTTCCCTTTCAACATGTTCAGTACAATTAAGCAGTCAGACATTGGATAGATGATTGTTTTGTGTTAGTTTTAGTCACCCTAACACTCATCTAATGCCAAAAAGCAGACAAAATGCAACCATAAGAACAACAAGAAAAATGAAATCCTCTATATACCGTAACTGGCATTATTACTCACCATTTTGTTTGCTTGTCCTTTGACTGACGTTTAGGAATCAGACACAAGGCAGAAGTGCGGAGGAGAGGCAGGGCCAGAGCTTATATACACAAGGATGTGGAGGGGGCTGGCGGGAAACCGCAGTAAGCAGCTGCATAACTCATTGGCGGGAAAGCATAGCAGTTTGAAAAAGAAAGAGGGAAGTCCCTATAATGTTGTCTGACTTCGCTGTTATCCGCTTTGTCAGTTATGGCCTGAAGTCATTGTTTTACTTTCAACTATTAGAAAGGGACTGACAGGTTTCTCAACCTCTTTACTTACTTAGTTTTTTCTCATATAACAATATTGAATGCTTTAGATAACATATGTAATATACCAATCTATTTCACATGTCTATCTTAACAGGTGTAGTTTGTTTAAACTTATCTCACATATTATCAAATGGTAACAAAACAAATAATTAACAAAACTAATTATTGAAGTGCTTTATTTTTAGAGTTTACATAAATGCACTTGAAAATGATCACGATTTCTGGCATATGGATATATAGAGCACACATAAAGTAATGATTAACTCTCCCAGGAAAAAACACACAATTGCACAGACCTAACAAACCTTCATTTTACTTTCAGACTTTTTAAAAAGCCCATCCCAGACATATGAATAGTGGGTGAATGGGATCTCATTGTTGCAGTAAGCCACTGTATGCTGCTCTGCTCAAACAACATTGTCCAGTCTCTTAGTCATTTCTCTCCCTCTCACAAAGTCACAGCTGAATGGCACATAGAAACTGACATAGGAGCCCTTTCATAACTGGCATTCCACATGGGAGAGGATATAGTGTGGGGGAGGTGCGCAAAAGACAGGGGTAGGTCTAGAGTATCAGACACACACAGGCCACTGTATAGTCTAGTCTAGTGTGACACACCAAAATTCGCTTTTACTGTATGGCTTTTGTCTGAATGCTAAATCTATTATTCTCTGCATATTTTATAAGAAACATTCTAAAGTAGAATATGCTCTGTAAGCAGTAAAGTAAATATTGCCCTAGTCTCTATATGTGCGATGGGTTCAGAATAAGCACTTCCTTGTTAGAGAGTGCTTTTAAGCTATAATGGCAGGTATGATTATATATGAATTTTAATATGGTGTCAAAATTAATATTCTTCACCATCATCCTCTACTCCTATGTTGTCAGCTCCAACCTCTTCATAATCCTTCTCCAAAGCAGCCAAATCCTCCCTGGCCTCAGAGAACTCGCCCTCCTCCATACCCTCTCCCACATACCAGTGCACAAAGGCTCTCTTGGCGTACATCAGGTCAAACTTGTGGTCCAGTCTGGCCCAGGCCTCAGCGATGGCTGTGGTGTTGCTCAGCATGCACACAGCTCTCTGCACTTTGGCCAGGTCTCCACCAGGGACCACTGTGGGAGGCTGATAGTTGATGCCCACCTTGAAGCCAGTTGGACACCAGTCCACAAACTGGATGGAGCGCTTGGTTTTGATTGCAGCAATAGCAGAGTTGACGTCTTTGGGCACAACATCACCACGGTACAGGAGACAGCAGGCCATGTATTTACCATGACGAGGATCGCACTTCACCATCTGATTAGCTGGCTCGAAACAGGTATTAGTAATGTCAGCTACAGAGAGCTGCTCATGATAGGCTTTTTCAGCAGAGATGACAGGGGCATAGGTGGCAAGAGGGAAGTGGATACGAGGGTAAGGCACCAAGTTGGTCTGAAACTCTGTCAGGTCAACATTCAGAGCTCCATCGAAGCGCAGAGAGGCTGTGATGGAGGACACAATCTGACCAATCAACCTGTTCAGGTTGGTGTAAGTTGGCCTCTCAATGTCCAGGTTTCTACGGCAAATGTCGTAGATTGCCTCATTGTCCACCATAAAGGCACAGTCAGAGTGCTCCAGGGTTGTGTGGGTGGTCAGGATGGAGTTGTATGGCTCTACCACTGCAGTGGACACCTGAGGGGCTGGGTAAATAGCAAACTCTAGTTTGGACTTTTTACCGTAATCGACAGAGAGCCTCTCCATCAATAGAGAAGTGAAACCAGAGCCAGTTCCACCACCGAAAGAGTGGAAGATGAGGAACCCCTGCAGGCCTGTGCACTGGTCAGCCTGTCACAGAAACAGCACATCGAGTATGAAGTTGAAAGCACAAACTTACTCCTTTGCAAATAAAGCTCACAAATGCTTGTCTAACCAGTTTGCGTGTCCTGTCCAAAACCACATCAATGATCTCTTTGCCGATGGTGTAGTGTCCACGGGCGTAGTTATTGGCTGCATCCTCTTTTCCTGTGATCAGCTGCTCAGGATGAAACAACTGCCGGTAGGTTCCTGTACGTACTTCATCTACAGAACAAAGAGTTTGTAATTAAAACTGTACATCAGTAGATATTTTTGTCTCTTTTTACCTATGACAGTGGGCTCCAGATCCACAAAGATGGCTCGTGGGACGTGTTTTCCTGCCCCAGTTTCACTGAAGAAGGTGTTGAAGGAGTCATCACCTCCTCCAATAGTTTTATCAGAGGGCATCTGACCATCAGGCTGGATCCCATGCTCCAGACAGTACAGCTCCCAACAGGCATTACCAATTTGCGCCCCAGCTTGGCCAACATGAACAGAAATGCATTCACGCTGTGTATTTGAAAAGAAGGAAGAGTTTCAGAATTACTTTTGTACATTCCCAAGAGGAAATAAATTTTGTTACAGACAGCAAAGAATATACTTATCAAAAATACAAATTTAAATAAATTATAAAATATCAGCAATGCTAAGAATAAGTCATCTAAACTAAAGCCATTGTGAAAATAAAATAAACTTAGACAGAAACTTAATGCAATTATTTTAATTTGTAAGTTACATCTTGATTTAATTTTATTGTAAAAACTATTTAAATGCCTCACCATGGTTGCAGAGATTCTTCTCCAATGTTCAGGTATCGGTGAGAAGATGTAGTGCTGCAGTCAGCTGTTGCGCTGGCTTTAAATACCTGTCGCTTTGGGGTGGACAGTGATTTGATCTGAGTTGTAATCAGAGATCCCAGATGAGACCATGATAAGATCATCTGTTTGTCAAACATACGTACAAAGAAAAAGGAGGTCACCACCCTGCTTATTGTGTGGTCTTTTTTGTGCTCCTGTGTGCACCTTATATTTCAGGAAGCAAAAGCAGGTACAGTGGTTTGAAAAAATCTTAAAAAATGACATTATTCTTAAATAATAACTTGCACAGATACCAATTAACGTTTTGAGAAGGAAACAAACAGTAAATAAAAAAATCTCTTGAGTGCCCAGTTATTTGCACGTGTCAATGCACAGTCAAATAACATTTTTTGCTCACTTTACTTTTAACAGCAGCTTCTTAAGTCAAAAGTTTCAACTGTAAATGCAGTAGAGGCAATCACAAAGGTCTAGACCATTTATAAATAAAAATATGTTTTTATTATTATTATTATTATTATTATGGGCTAAATGCAATCTTTAAATCAGAAACATTTTCCCACACTCTTCTTGCTCTTTACATGAAATACAATATATATGGAGCTTGCTCCTCCTTCACGCCAAACCTCTCGGGAAGAATACAGAAACTGAATACATGTGAATCGCCTCATAAGGTATCAGCTGACTAACTAATGTAAACAGCTACTACAGTCTTCATAAACATTCAGAGCTACTTCATAAACAATATTAGAGAAACAAGAGGACATATTGTTACTGTTACTGTAGAGTATGCAAGACTGGGATACCATGTTAATCCCACATAATCATTAACATAATAAATTCAGTTTTGTTCACAGCTGGAGTGACTCAGGCCTCAAGGCTTTTGCTCAGATCCTTGACATTTAGAACATGTTGGACGGCTTTCAGAGCCAGCACTCATTCAAACAGTGACATGTTACTCCGTGTGTTCACCCTCTTTCTAAAGGATCCAGGTACATTTGATTCCAAACTGGATATTTTATTCAAAGTTAGATGTTGAAGAAAGCCCTTAAGATGAGAGTGATACTGCAACTTGTAACACTCCCAATTCACCCCCAGCATTCGGCACTTTTGAAAAATAACCCACATAAACTTAAAACTAAATAAATACATATTATAGTATTAGATATTTAAAGGAATTCACCAATATACAATTCTAACTAAACTAGTTGCTTGGGTGTATTGGGTTAGGAATTAATCCCCTTAATGTAGCTGATCTAGTCACAGTCAATGTTCAATCATAATTGATTTCAGTAAATAATAACTTAATAACTGGTCAAATGATCTGGTAGATTATGACTTGGTAACGATGACCTACTTAATGTTGAATTGGTCCCTCAGCAGCTAGTGCCGCAGATCACATGCTAATATTGATTAGCTGACTGTCTGAGGTCAGGCAGGAGAGTTATTGTCTTAATGTTGCAAGGTTGCACTGGAAAATAGGACAGTGCGGGTTATATGCATAAATCAAATGTATCAAAATTATAGAGACACACCCTTACTCATCGCTCAGTTTACTCTGCTGGACGTGAGACATTTGACACGTCATTTTAAAAACCATCTGACTTGGGATATAATGAAATTGCGACATCTAGCGTTTGTTAAGTAAAACTGACACGGTAACCTTATTTTGTTCCTCCCTCCTTCGGAATGCGATGTGGAGGGCGTTGACCCCGACCTAGTCCTTTTTCGTAAGGGATTTTCAAGATGTGCGTGCCGTTCCCCTGGGGTCTATCGCCATGCCACTAGAAATGGAGTACACATCTTGTTTGTTTGTCTAATAGCCAATTTAGTGACTGTGATGGCAAATTAAAAAAAAAAGACATACAGCAGTTGGAGTAAATGCCTAAGATTTAAATGTCATTACATATTAAAATCTACTACAACCTCATTAACGCAAGTACACTCGTGGCACCGTGTTTTCCCAAATCTGTTGCAGGCCCCTGAGGCGCGTCACTCCTGGATGGGAGGGGCCTTACTGACTGAAATGTGACAGCTCCGCGCCCACCTGGCAATGCTTTCTTACTCACTCGGACCACATTGACGGCTGCCGAGAGAGGTGCAGAAAACTCCCTTCAACTTCTATTTTCGAGTAAAGGACACTCATTTAAGAAGTCACTATGGTGAGTGTTATGATCTCCTATATGAGAAATAGGTCAAAATATAATGAAAATATTTTGGTCTTATTAATACAGCAAATTTCTTCCATTCTAAAATATCCAAATGTCTTCTTAGTTTGTTATAAAGCTATTTGTGGTGTATGATAAGGTATCACAGTGTTGCCTCTTTTATCAGCACCCCTTGTGTCAAAAATAGAGCTTTTATCATATGACTGACTGACAGTAAAGCTGGGCTGATCATCTGGCCTGACTTAAAACAGCAGGTGTTATAGTAACCCACATGTTAAATAAGATTGGCATAACTACTTTATTTCTTTTGTGATTCTTAATAATGTATCGTTGTGTATTTTAGACTATACTATTTTATACAGTCCAGGTGTTTTGATAATTAACAAACTTGAAATGTCAGTAAGTCTGTGGGGTGTGTACCTGATTAATGAGGGTGTGTTTTAGTATGCGACCAGACAAGTATTTTAACAAGTCCGGAATGTCTTTCCCTCCAGATTCAAACTGCAGCTACACATTTGCAATAAACCATTTCAAATTAACACGCACCTGCTTAGACTTTCAATAAAGGTATTTTAGGATTGTTTTTTTGTGATTACACTATGCTTTGTAAAAGATTATAAGAACCAGGCCTACGTTAAGTCTTAGCCCAGTGTTTGCACAGTGTAATCTAAACATAGGTCTGTTGGCATTATCTCTTGTATCAAAGTACAAACACAACATTTTAAACTCCAGCCACCAACTAGGCCTATAGTGGCTTGGTTACTTACTCAAAACTAGCCATTTATATTGTTTGTATAAACAGCCATCATTTTAAATCAAAACAATAAACAGGACAAGTTAGTAAACTGAAGTTTATGTGTGATTTATAGCTGCTGGTGGACTGTGTTCAGCCAGAGCCACTCAGTTATATAAACATACCAATAGATCAGTTTATATTTATCTGAGATGTGCCATCCATCTACCATATTTTTTTGCAAAATAAAACCAGTGGAAAGTCCAAATGGCAGCAGCCACCATTTTGAGGAGTGCCAGTCAGTGTTTACTGAAAGCCTGCTCTGTTAGGTGTCAGGTTAGTATGTGTTGCCTAAAATAGCTGCAGCAGAGATCTTTTAACCTGCAAATTATGAGCAGCCCAGAGAGTCAGCCTAACCTTTATGCCTCAGGTCTTTTGATAGAGGACTAGTTTTGTTGTCAGTTTACCATGTACCTGTATTTGAATGCTTTCACATTTTTCAAAGACACAAGACGTTTTTAATAATAAAATCAAATTGCCTTGCTTCAGTGGTTGACCATAAGTCCTGTTTCAGTCACATGAAATCTCTTCACAGCTGCAAGAAGCCTGTTGAGCTTGCTCTTTCACCTTTAGCCTCCTTTCTCTGTATACTGCCATTCATGTCAAAGCTTTCTTGGCAACTAATTATATTCATAAAGAATTATTATTATTATTATTATTAGTAGTAGTAGTAGTAGTAGTATATTCATGTTTAAACTTTGCCATACTCAGACTTTAATTCCTTTGTTCCAGCGTGAATGCATCTCTGTGCACGTGGGCCAGGCTGGTGTCCAGATGGGGAACACCTGTTGGGAGCTCTACTGTCTGGAACATGGAATCCAGCCGGACGGTCAGATGCCCTCCCGCAAACCTGTGGGAGGCCACGACGACTCCTTCACCACCTTCTTCAGTGAGACTGGGGCGGGGAAGTACGTTCCTAGAGCCATCTTTGTGGACCTGGAACCCACTGTCATTGGTATGCATCTATGTTTCTGCTTTTTATCAGCATAAAAGAATTATTACTGAACAGTGTGTCCCCTCTTCAGATGAGGTACGAACGGGCACATACCGGCAGTTGTTTCATCCTGAGCAGCTGATCTCCGGAAAAGAGGATGCTGCCAATAACTACGCCCGTGGACACTACACCATTGGAAAGGAAATCATTGACTCTGTGCTGGACAGAATCAGAAAACTGGTAAGATTTAAATGAGCAATATCAAGTTCAGTAAGCTGTAATGAAAAGATTATAATGACTTTCTATTTTTTGTAGGCTGATCAGTGCACTGGTCTGCAGGGATTTTTGGTTTTCCACTCTTTTGGTGGTGGAACTGGCTCTGGTTTCACATCTCTATTGATGGAGAGGCTGTCTGTTGACTTTGGTAAAAAGTCCAAACTAGAGTTTGCAATTTACCCAGCTCCTCAGGTGTCCACTGCAGTGGTAGAGCCGTACAACTCCATCTTGACCACCCACACAACCCTGGAGCACTCTGACTGTGCCTTTATGGTGGATAATGAGGCCATTTATGACATCTGCCGAAGGAACCTGGACATTGAGCGTCCCTCTTACACTAATCTCAACCGCCTCATCAGTCAGATTGTGTCCTCCATCACAGCCTCTCTGCGCTTCGATGGAGCCCTGAATGTTGACCTGACAGAGTTTCAGACCAACTTGGTGCCTTACCCTCGTATCCACTTCCCTCTTGCCACCTATGCCCCTGTCATCTCTGCTGAAAAAGCCTATCATGAGCAGCTCTCTGTGGCTGAAATCACAAATGCCTGCTTTGAGCCAGCCAATCAGATGGTGAAGTGTGATCCTCGTCATGGTAAATACATGGCCTGCTGTCTCCTGTACCGTGGTGATGTTGTGCCTAAAGATGTCAATGTGGCAATTGCTGCAATCAAAACCAAGCGCTCCATCCAGTTTGTAGATTGGTGTCCAACTGGTTTCAAGGTGGGCATCAACTATCAGCCTCCCACAGTGGTCCCTGGTGGAGACCTGGCCAAAGTGCAGAGAGCTGTGTGCATGCTGAGCAACACCACAGCCATCGCTGAGGCCTGGGCCAGACTGGACCACAAGTTTGACCTGATGTACGCCAAGAGAGCCTTTGTGCACTGGTATGTGGGAGAGGGTATGGAGGAGGGCGAGTTCTCTGAAGCCAGGGAGGACATGGCTGCTCTGGAGAAGGATTATGAAGAGGTGGGCATTGACTCATTTGAAGAAGATGAGGAGGGAGAAGAATACTAGTGGATTTTTACAATTTGCTGTCAATACAAAATCATGACTGCAATAAAGGATTTATTTTTTTTACAAAGCTAATTTGGTTCAACATCTTCAAATGCAGTATTTAAAAGTTTGTTTTTTCACATACAAATGTAAAGCATAAATTATCTTTATTTTGTATGCTTATTATAATAAAATTTTATTTCATGCTGTGTTCTAATTGACCTTCAGATATGCTCTTGAGCACCTACTTTGGCATTTTATGTTTTTCAACTTAAAATAATGGTTAGCTAGACCCACACATGATTTACTGCCCGCAATACTGAGATCTCACATCTACTGGCTACCAAGAGAATTACCATGGGGAGAAAAAAATCACTTGCTAATAAGGAACATGCCCTAACATTTGATTTGATAATAGATACGAGAGGGAACAGCTGTGGACCTAGAGCACAAGATGCCACTTAGAGTTAAACTTTAAACTACCCAGCTGCATCTATCTATCTATCCATCTATTTATCTAGTATGTATCTATCTATGTCTCTAGTATGGGTTACACAATAAATTAATAATACATTTGAGTTTATTTGTAATTAACAGCCACAACAAAAAGTCAATTTCAACATATCATCATTAGGCCTGAGCGCCTCCTAATGGCCGTTTGCAGGACACAGCGTTTGCAGGGCACGGCGTAGGCACGCGAGGACCAATCATCGCTGCTTGCAGCTATATTTATTATTATCAGTAGTAGTAGTAGTATTTATATATAGTATTTTATATATATATATACATATATGTATAAATTTTATTTATTTTTTTTAAAGCTTAATTTATACAAACGTCTCATTGGAAGCATCTGTGCCTGTGCATTATAATTTTGCCCTACATACGTGCGCCATCTAGTGGATTTTATATTATATAGTACGACCCTAGAATAATAAGAAACAATAATAATACGTACATAGTACCTACAAAGACATCATGCATTCGTTTTATTCTAAGTAAAAAAAAACAAACCAAAACCTGCTTTAACATCTGCATGAGCAGATGTTAAACGGATGTTAAGCCTTGTTGCTCAGCAACTGCAAGGACGCTTTTCCTTTTTCCGGAAGTGCGTGGCTGGAGAAACATGGCCGAAGCAGCGGCATTTGTACAGAGTTCTGTCATTTATTCAGTCCACTGTTTTAGCTTTTTTCATTTATTTATTTGCTTAGCCTTTTCAGCGTTTCAAACAGCAGATAGTGATAATGTTTTCAGTGCAAGCCACAGGGCTACTGCATCAGTGGCTGCTGCCAGAGATTTTAGGTAAGCCACAGCACGAAAAGGTAGCAATGTTTGCTAAAGGAGTAACGCTAAGGAATTTATTCGTCCTATCGTTACATAATGTATTGTAATATTGCGTTAACATTTTTTATTTGTTCAGTAACACATATTTTTTCTTATTTCAATAGCCAGTTAATTAAATAGAAGCATACAGTGATGAACGATGGGGGCGTAGCCTATGGTGTTGTGTTAACCACTGTGGTTTTAGCAGAAATTGTGGGCAAAACTGTACAGACAGACACATCCCACGCTTGTTTCACCCGTTGTCTTCATGTGGCAGGTACCTGTTGTATGATGTGAACCCTCCTGAGGGGTTCAATCTGCGAAGAGATGTCTACATCCGAATGGCATCTTTAGTAAAAACTTTAAGAAAAAATGGGGATGACTGGGTGCTGGTTCTTCCTCCATGGGGTCGCCTCTACCATTGGCAGAGTCCAAACATCCATCAGATCCGCATCCCATGGGGAGAGTTCTTCAGTCTTACAAGTCTGCAAGCCAATGTCCCTGTCATTGAATATGAAGAATTTATTTCTGGTCAGCTTGTGAATAGTAGCATTTTATAGTAGGCTAATGTCAATAAAAGGCATAAGTTAAGCATTTCTGTGCAGAGAATGGTGGCCCTTTCATTGACCAAGTACTTATTCTTCAAAACTATGCTGAAGGCTGGACTGATGGCAAATGGGAAGAAAAGGTTGATGAGCGTCCATGTATCGAAAAACTGATGTACAGCAAAGATAAACAGGGCTTCTACAGGTATGGCAACCCTTCATTATAAATGTATTATATATATATGTAAATGAATTATGTAGTGTGTGTGTGTGTGTGTGTGTGTGTGTGTGTGTGTGTACTATATATATATAATATATAGTACACACACACACATATATACACATCTCAAACGCACCCATTGTGGACCAAAGGTTTCAGAGAGAAGATGATGGATGAGCAGCAAAATGTCTAAAACTTTTGTAGAGTTGACAGAATTAAATTTTTCTCTTGCTGAGGGATGGTACGGTCATGCACAAACTGGTCATGTGCATATTAGGAATTTATTTTGTTCTCGGCATGTTAAGATTTACTGCCAAAGAAAACAAATGACTCAGTTTGGGTGTGTTTAAAATATTGTATTGAAAATTAAATGCTAAAATATTTATCTCCTGCATAGATTTCTTAAATTGTGTATTGGTAAAATGGTCGAACTAAGTCAAATAAAAGTAAAGTAAAGTAATGTTGTTGTTTTGTTATTATTTTTCTAAGGGGGTGGTTTTGGGGATATGAAGAGACAAGAGCGCGTCATGTAACTTGCTTATCAGCTCAGGGACATGCTTCAATTATGGCTCCAATTCTTCAGAAAAATATAACTGCAACGTAAGTAATTCTGTTTATTAAACAAATATATGTATGTGGTAATGTAGATAAGTAACATGTTAAATGTTTGAAATTTGAGTCAACTTATTCAACACAAATAACCCCTAAATAATTTTATCTCCTAGGTCAGTGATGCTTGATCGTGCTGAGACACTGCTTCATGATCATTATGCAGGAAAGGATTATTGGGATGTAAGTTTCAGATTTTTACTGTGCCGTAAACAGATATTTTATCATAAAACAAACATACATTTATAGACTCGAAGAAGCATGGTTTTTGCCAAGCATTTGCGTCTCATTGGAGATGAATTCAGAAAGAAGTATCTGAATTCAACAGATGAAATGGACCATACTATTTACAATGAGGACTGGACACGTATGAAGGTTTGATTTTTTTTATTTTTATTTTTTGTATATTCTGCTATTGTCAATTTCTCCTGTTCCTTCTTTAAAGTCATATATATTTTGACAAGGCTAAGTTGGGCACAGCCAAAGGTGGCCCATATCTGGCTGTACATCTACGAAGGAAGGACTTTATCTGGGGTCACAGAGAGGATGTTCCGAGCCTTAAAGGAGCAGTGAAAAAGATACACAGCCTGATGAAGAAACACAAACTTAGCCAAGTTTTTATTGCAACTGATGCAGATGAAGAAGGTAAATTTATGTTATGAGTGAAATGCACGTCTTAAGGAGTAATTTTAGGATAAATGTTATTACTGTCATCTGACATCTTTCTTATATCTGTCTGTTATGTTAGTTGAATTTGAGCCTAATGCTTGTTTTGGTTTGTTATGAATAGAAAGCAAGGAGCTCAAAAGACTCTTACCAGAAGTGGTGAGATTTGAACCATCTGCAGAAGATTTGGATCTTCTCAAAGATGGTGGAGTGGCCATTATTGATCAGTGGATTTGTGCTCATGCAAGGCATGTAGATTGTACATATTATTTTCCAAAATATTTATGTAAAATAATATAACATGTGAATGCATTATATTCTTCATCTTCAAAGGCATTGCCTGACATTGTCTGACCATGCTGAAGGCACAATGACTTGAAAAACTAGTTAGGAAGGTGCATGCCTCATCTCACACATTCTTTTGTATTTGCTTCTTCTATAGGTTCTTTATAGGAACTTCCGTGTCCACCTTTTCATTCAGAATCCATGAGGAAAGGGAAATCCTTGGTTTTGACCCAAAGATGACGTACAATCGTTTCTGTGGAGACAAAGAGAAAGACTGTGAACAGCCAACACACTGGAAAATAGTTTACTAATATGACAGCAACAAGTCGGATCTCACAAGTGCCAAAAGACAGTGTTACAAAAACATTCATTTTACAGTGCTCATCTTACTTAAAATATCTGTATTATGTACAATATTTTTGTGGTTCAAAGTGAGTTAGTAATTTAGTCTTTACTCACCATTGTTGTCATGAAAAAGCCTGTGTACAATGCCTTTTTTATAAGTGTTATTATAGATGTATATGTATTAGTAGTTACCACTAAGTCAGTGTCATTTTTTATTTGTTTAAAATTAATTCAAATTGTTTGGTTACAGTAGCTCACTTGCTACCTGTTGTTTAAATAATAGCACAAAGCATGTTGAATGGATTATGTGGGGAACAGAGCTGAAAAAAAAAAGCAAGGTTACAGGGAAAAACAGAAGTGTATTATTTACATGCTTTCAAGAGAATGAATAGCAAATCATTTGTGCCATAATCATTGAAATGGTATAGTTTTTGTCTTCTATATTATTTATTTTACTGTTCATGTGACAGTTTAGACTATTTTCACTAATTATAACACTATGTAACATAATATTGTACTACAGTAATACTGTAGACAAGGGGCATAATTCATCTAATTTAAATAAAAACATGACAATGATGTTTACACCACAGGAAAAATTGGTTGCTTAATTTGTCTCTATTTCAGATGGATTTATTTGTGTGAGGACAACTCACTGTTACTGCCTGTAGGCTCATTGTTTTTGTTTGCAACTTGAGTAATGTAAAACTCAGTAATTAAAGCGACTATTCTGCCAAACAACCCTAATAATTTGAAATATTAAATATGAAAAAATAGTCTTGAGTTTTACATTGGTGAAAACTTACTTGTTTTTAATTTACTTATTCTCACATTTTATTCCACTTGTATACTCAAGGTGTATTCTGGCAGACAATTGAATACTCCTATTGCCGACTTTAGTTTCAGTCATCTGACTTATTGTGATAGGGCATCTGGTGTAAACATTTGCTAAGCCACAGATTGGTTCATTGCAGCAACTTTGACACAAAAGGGTGGAACTGAAAGATAAAACCATGTCACCTCTGGCCTCAGTGCCCAACCTTAGTGCCTATTGTTATTTCTTAGAATGTAAAATGCCCAGTCATCACTTATAATGTATTATGTCAATGAAGTATGCCAAAAGGTCATGTCTAATATGAGGTAAAAATAGCACCGTAATAACTGTATCTTAATTAATGATAATTTATTTCTTTTGCATTCTTGCCTGCATGCAGTAGCCATAGTGTTTTCCCAGGCTGGGTGTGATTCCCAGAAGACACCAACCCTCCTCCCCTCCCCCCACACACACTCCGAATGTGACTTTTCCCCATGGAAATATCTTCAATAACAACTCACAAGCAAGTGTAACATGATGCTCCATGAAGCTTTTCTTAGAGGTCAGTTATGTAAAGCATTGATAGGTTAGTGTGTTCGACATAGAAATTCACTTCACCATGAATCCCCTTCTAGTAGACTCGTCAAAGTCAAATATTCATTTTAAACAAAATTACAGAATTACTTAAGATAACGACTGAATTGAAGCTCTGCATAAGGCTCCCAATGTAAGTCTATGGATATTTCGCGCACACACCAAGGTTACTCATAGTAGCCTTACTATACTAACAGGCTTATACCTAATACTATCAATTATAATAGGCCTATGTATCGTTTTTAATTTAACATAACTACAACGCATATTGGAAGCGTCAACAATGATCACCCTTGACAGTGCGCGTACTATGAGCCCGCAGTCTTTCCCCTCATAATGAAATTTTTTCCTGTGTTGGTTTGGTTTTATATTGTGCTGAACGGTCCTGTTTGCAAATCTGTTTAATACCTCGGTTTGGATAGACCTGTGTGTTTTTGTTCTCTCTGAAGTCACCATTAGTTAGGCTAACTATAGGCTGCCTATAGTCAAGCATCTCCTTTTTTTTTTTTTTTTTTGTTGGGGACAGGCACGAGTTGCGTTAAGTACACGCCCTTTCCTCGTTCAGATTTGTCCTCTCCCGCACAGGTGGACGCACAGTGAGCGCTGAAGTAACATTGGTTCAACACTCCCGCTGTTATTAGAACAACAGGAGTAATTTTAGAATTTCTTTCTTTTTTTTTTTTCACGGTTTTGGACTTGGTTTTTGTGCGACTTAATGGGGAGCGCATCTAGCTGACAGCCTGGCGCGATGTCTTTTCTCAAGAGACTATACGCGCTAATATTTTATCAGATCAATTAAGGGCAAGTTACTCGAGGTAAGTTGTGCTATTTAACGTATAGGCTATTATTGTGTAAGAAGTAATGATTTGATCAGATTACACATCTTTGCTTTTAATCAAAGATGTGTAATTGTTCAACCAATAGTCTACCGTTTTTAAGGTAACCCTCCCCCGTCTCCAATCATTCCAGCTCCTACCTCCCTCTTGCTATAGGCCCAGAGGCACAAGTTGAATTTCCTTGTAGGCTACATATGTGTGCCTAAATATGTGTCTTTATAAAGATCATTAGACCTACGTCTTTTATGTTTTGTCAATTATTGCAGCCTTCATTTGTGATGGCTTTCTTCCGTCAACTTCAACTGCTTCTCTGGAAGAATGGGCTGGGCATCATCAGAAGACCCGTAAGTGACACAAACATGTTTAATTAAATATTGTCTGTATAATTCAATTTGTAGGCTCCAAGTGTTGCAGGTTAATTAACACATATGAAGTCAAGTGTCTAGCTTTTGTCCAAGGTCGTGGTTCCCCAAGAATAGAAGTCGACCCAGAAGAAATTTTATTAATGTCTAACAACATTTTATGTGTCTTTGAAATATTGACAAAAGTTTATAGATTTCCTTAAGAGGTCCCAACTAGACACCAAATGGAAACAAAGCCATGCATTATTGTGGGAAACAAAGACCAAACAAAAAATAAAGCCAGGAAATATTAACAATTTTATATATTTTTTTTAGTTCTATAATTCTATAACATTGCATTATGCTGTCTGTGCTAAATAATGTGCCCACACTGAATACTGTGATCAGAAACTTTGTATATAAAGTTATGAAATGCCTTGAGGACTCATAAAATAAAATAATATTTATTTTATAATGTCTGAAAGGAGTTCAGGTGTCAGGTACACCTCAGAAGTGCTTACATGAGAATAGTATTATATTTTCTTGTTGTTTGTCTGTTTGTAGAAGTCTGAAATAAAACTGAATTGAAGTACATGCATTTTTTCTTACAGGTCTGGTCTGTCACTCTCATTTTTTGGCCCATTATCATCTTCATTATCATTGCTGTCACTCGCTACCAGTTTCCACCAGTCCTGAGGCAAACATGTATGTATTAGTCAATGCACTGCCATTCTGTTCTTTCTTATAAAAATATTGACATAACTGCTGTGTTACCAAAAACCCCTTTATAAATGATCTTGGATACATTACATACATGTAAAAGTTAATGTAAATGGTCAACAGCCTCCCCTTACCTACACACTCTGCAACAACAATCTTTTCATATTGGTATAATATTGACCTTACACACACATAGGCTTTTGTTCTCCATCATAAAGAATGGAGAGGCTCACATACTCAAGAACATTCCAGTTTCACAATCAGAAAACAAGTAAAGTTCAGATTAAAACTGCAAAACTGTTTAACTGTTTAATTGAATACGTATCTTGTTTTATTGTCATTTTAGGATTACTGTTCTAGAGTAATCACACTTTTTAAAAGTACCCTTTGTTTCTTAGATTTCATTTTAACTGTTCTTTTCAGGCTACCCATTCTTCTAAAATATACAGATTTAGGAGTAATATAATATCCCCAGTTTGCTAGATTACATACACTGTTCTGTAGAAAAAGACACCTATATTCACTTACGGTTATTCAGACTAAGTGCTGCCTTTTCCATTGTGGCTTTTGTCCATGTTTGAAACCCAGAGCTCACAGACCCCACCCCTTATACAGAGGATTTTAACAGCAGCTGATAAGTACAGTACAAATTTTTTTTTAAAATTTACATTTAGAATAATATGAATGTACCTATACTAGCTATACTGTGCAAATTGTTGACATTGTTTAATTGCTCTTTTCACTAGTCTTTTTTGACTGGTCTTCTAAATATATCCTAAATTAAAACAAAACAAAACAAACAAAAAAACTAAACAAAACAGAAAAAGTAATTCACTTCATTATTGGTTTTTCACGCAATACCCTTCCAGACTCAGCCTCCTCCATTTATCCAGACACAAAACATGTACTTGCTTTATGTGTATGGTTATGGCTGAAGTATATAATGGATAGTTTTTGTTAAGCAGCTCACTCATTCACCAAATAATTATATTTATTAAGATGTTGTGATGCTCTAAATCTCAACTCTCTCATTGAATCTTGTACATTGTTTGTGCAGGTTATGTGGGACCTCGAAACCTGCCCAGCACCGGGTTCTTCCCTTTCCTGGAAACCCTTATGTGCAACAGCGACAGCGACTGCCACAACACATCCCGACTGTCTTACTCACAACCTCAGAGGACAAAAAGGTAGTGTCAAGAAATCACATGGTAATCAATGTGTAATCAATCAGGACAGTGCACTACAGTGCAGTACAGTGGAAATATTAACTACTTCCTTGAGAAATCTTCCTCTGCTTCCCTGTTGAATCACTACTTTGTAATTTGGTATATTTTATGAAGATTTTTTTTCTGTATTTCAGATCAACTCAACAATCAAAGGAAACTCCATTGGCCAAACTTCTCCAAGGCCAAGAATTAATACAATTTGCCAGTTTGGAAAACACTGATCAGGATCCAACTTTGTTGTTAAACTCTTTGTACAACATTTTTGGTATGTGATTATACAGTTTATTTGTTTCACACTTTTTATTTATTTATTTTTGTAATAATTCTTATTATGTGTATTGTATGTGTATTTGTATGTGTATTTCTTCTTATATAGGTTCCTCTTCAGGACAGTCACTTAACCATTCCAATGAAACCATGACAGGAGAGCAGGTGAGCATTCAATGGACAGTAGAGTAAGGGTGTTAAAATAAACTGTTAAAACTAATAATATGCTTCAAGTTTTGGTTTAGATTTTGTTGTGTTGTTGCTCAAAATGAATCTGTTCCTCACTAAACGGTATCTTCTCCACAGCCAATGGTGAATTTGACAGAATCCGCGGCCAAGCTGAAGTCTGTCATCTGTACAATTGCTCTTCCTCTGGTCAACACATCCTCACCAGACCACACTGCTAAGGCTTTCATCACTTTCTGTAGCTCCAATAACACTGTATTTGAAGTGGTCATTAACACCCTCCACAAAGTAAGTCTACCTGCATTGGTCCTTGTGTATAAAACATGAAGTAGCTTGTGTCAGCTCAGCTGTAGAGCTTATGTCACACAATGAGAGTCTGCTCTCATATATAGTACATATGACAGACTTCTTATGACTTGGTTTGGTGGAGTGAATATTTATCATAGTTTTACATCAGTTAAGTGGCAGTTTGTGGGAAACAAGGAAATAAGAAATACAAAAATACTCTTACTACTTTTTTAAAGTGGCACTAGTAGAGTTCTAAAATGTAATACCTCCACATTCATCAACACCAAAAATCCTTTAAAATAACATGAACAATATATGTGCAAAGAAGGCATTGCTAATGACAGTTATAGGAATACTTCTATGTTTTTCATATTTGCTGCCTGTGTCAAACCGGGAAGTAAAATTATAAACTTAAAAAACAAATGCTAGAAAAAAACCTTTTTTTTCCACCATCATTATTAAATGAGTAGAAATGAGTGAAATTAGTCGTCTGACCTTTCCATATACAGTTTAAGTTTAAATTTGTGTATTTTTAGGTATTGATTGAACTAATGACATCCCAACCAGAAGAACTTGCCAATTTTGCAGAGAAAGCTGTAATGTTTTTTGACCAGCTGCAAAAAGAGCCGTCATTGTGGGAAAGTTTACTCACTCTTCCGCAAACATTCAACCCCGCATCACCCGACCAACTGTTCAGCAACCTGGGGAAACTGTTCAAAAGTTTACAACTGTAATGCTTTATAAACATTTGACTGCATTTCTTAGTACTATACTGTCTAATACTTTTTCTGTTTTCAGACTTTTAAATATTACACAACATAATTTCCCAGAAATCAAAGCCAACTTGTCATCAGTTCATCCATTCCTTGTTGCAGGCATCAGTATTACTCACTACATGCAAAACTGGCCTGGAAAAAGTGAGAAATGCAATGAGGAAAACTCTTATTATAATTGTATTCAGATGATGTAAGATACAATGATTGTTTCTACATTTGACCAGGTGTTTATATTCGCGTTGGAGATGTGGTGGTTAACAATGAGACGCTCTGGCAGATGGTGGGCAACGTAGAATTATCACTGGATCTGGTATGCTCAACTTTTCAATTAAATTACTTTGTGGTTTATAAGCTCAACAATAATGTTCCTGGGATGGAAATATGTTTATTGTGTTGCTGTAGAACTTAAGTATAAAATGTATTAGGCTAAATTTGAGATCAGATTTTTTATAAAACTCAAAACTAATGTGCAACATTGGTTTTGTTTTTTCCTCCAGGCAATCGCTTTGGCATTTCACAAAGAAATGGTCCGTGACTTAGTGTGCAAAAACAGCTCAAATCCGATGCTGATAGCCGCGTGTGCTACTGGTACTCTGGACATGTTTCTGAACTGGGTTAGCCCTAAAAAACTGGATCAGCAGGTACTAACTAACACTAATAGCTTCCTTCGTGTTGTTAATTTCACCTGTATATATTTTACTTCTGGTTTATTTACCTTTGCAATTGACTGTGCAATATGTGATTTAGAGCCCACCAATTACTGTAATGGCAAAGAAAGCCTTAGTAACAGGGCCACCGTGACTCCCAGGCAGTGTCCAGGGAACTGAAATCTAAAGGAGATCCAATTAGCCTGCTGCTGTGTTGGGCATGTTTTGATGAGTCAATTCCCCTCCAGAGAGTTGGCACTGCGTGTAAAATGTGTATGCCTCCTCCACACACAAAGTACTTGATATGTACTAATCAGATATGGCACTGACTCTACAGTGCTTTGTTAGTCAAATAATTTTATCTTGATTTTTATATCAAGCTTCAATGAGCGAACTTTAATGTCATCTCACTCATGTCTGCACCCATATTTACTGTATAATGTGTCAATATACCAAGCCCAGATACTAACTGTGACAATTTAGAAGCAAAAATAATGTCTAAAAGTCTATCTCCATAACAGTAAGCATATGAAGTGCTTTTTATCAGGCTGTTTATGTTACATAGAGGAGAAGTAACGTAATGACACTTTAAGATTATGTTATTGTTTAGTCATTGTGAAAAATTTTGATTAATTGAACAATTAAAATCATTCTTCAATACTGTGCCTTCCCTACAACGATAATAAATTGTCACTTTCTGCTTCTCTGGAAAGATATTGTTTCATACGTATTATTAACATTGCAATTTATACAGTAGTTACCTAATCAATAAAATTCCTCTGATTCTGAAATGCAAGTTAAAAATTGCTGATTTGTTTTTTGTTTTTTGTTTTTTTAACCACAGATACTTTTGGTATGGAGTAAGTCTGTGTTTCCACATGATTTCGCTTTTGTCAAAGGGCTGCTCCACAGTCTGGGGGTAGATTTTGGAGGTTCTAGGGTGTCAAGGGCAACTCACAGCATTGAAGAACAACCACAAAACATCGAGGAGGAACTGTAAGCATTGCATTTTTATATTTCCCATTGTTGTAATTGACAGTGGTGTGTAAAGTAACAATCCTAGGTTCTCAAAGTTTAATAAAACTTTTTTTTAAAATACAAGTTTTTTTTTTTTTTTTTTTATTTGTTTTTTTTTAGGTTTTTGGCAGTTGGTAAAGTTGTAATGGAAATTCTACAGCTTTCTCCTGAGGTCAACGCCATTCTCCAACACATTCTCCGAGCTGGTTATCAGTCAATGAGAACGGGCACACAAGCTATAGACACTGTTGAAGGTAGGTTGTTTTAATAGAACTTCTTGTTTGTCATATGATCATGTGCATATGTCTTCCAAAAACATAAAAAGGGGATAAATCTCTGTCAAGAAACTGCTCCTATTTTGCTTACGGGATTATTGTAAGAGGAAATTATCATTAAAGGGAAAAACTGACAATAATAAACCACTCTAAAAGTACCAGTACATAACATGGAAGTATTTTCAACACAAGTTCTTTTCACATACTTAAGCAGCAGTACCATGATCAGCATTTTAGTAGAGTAAACCAGCATTATACCAGGACACAGTGAAATGCTCCTGTCCATTCATTGTCCTATCCAAGTCATTGTTGTGTAACCTGAAGAACAATAGGACACCCAAGTTTACACCCTTTCTCTTGGGATAGATGAAAGAAAGGAGATCTTATAATGTAGGGCATTTAGTTTTCAGGTAACTGATACACAGCGAGGCTAAACAATGACAACAAAAGCAAAGTTAAGCCATTAGAAATTATCAAAAAATGGCAACACATTTCAATTCATTTAACATTTTTAGAGTTAATGATGTAATAATAATTTGTAATAATTTACAGAAATGATGGAAAAGTTTGTGAAAGATGTGACAACATTTAAGATGATTATTCAAACACTGTCAACCAACCAGTCTCAAACCACCATCTGGATGAACCAAGCCTTCAACAGTGTCATTGAAATCATAGTGAAGGTGAAAAACATATTTTTACTCTATTGTATTTAAGTATAAAATGGTAGATAAAATGTCAATGGCTTGTATTGTGGAAGAAACTATGCTAATAATATTTCAACCTTATCACCTACCAGATCCTTGCTGGTGAGCCTTTAACATGTGACAGCATCTTTGATGAGTTTGACTGGGTTTTCTCCATTAAGACTGTAAAACATGAGGTGTGGCAGTCATTCTTCTGTGGAAACATGTCCACCATTGAACAGAAACTGCTGTCAGACTGGATGCCTTTGAAAGAAAATGTAAGTTTAAAGGCGCCATACTAGGACTTGGTATGGTAACTCTTGGTTTCTAACTCTGTATAAATACATGCAGACAGTACATAGCAGCAGACTTATTTTGACCCTGTACTGGGGCAAGAAAAAAATTTGCTCAAATACATGGAATAAATCTGGTAGAGACCCTTTTACATTTTATTATTGTAGTAATTGTTTCTATTTTCAAATTTGTATTAAATTATAAAATAATTTAGGTATTTATAATTGTATATTTTCAGTATTTCTCTATCCTATTTTATTTCAGTAATTTGATGTGCACACACATATTTAAGAAGCTAATTTAGCCTTGTTTTCTCATAGGTCCTGGCCCTTTTCAGTGTTTTTGTTGGCAACACAAGTTACGACATCACACTTCCAATGATCCTCTCCGAGTGGCACAAGCTATACAACAAAAGTCTACATTTTGGAACATTTTGGGAAGAACTCTCAGATGAAAAGGGTGAAGCTTACTGGATGGACTGGGTGCCGACGAACAGCAGTGCTAATCACCTCACTGCATCTTTACAACAAAGGTCTTGACAACGTGTTGATCTATACTTGCATGGTCTCATTCCAGTGTATTTAGTGTCTTAAAATCAATTCTCAACACCTGTGAGATCATGCAAAGAAAATTTTCCATACAGAGATACAGAGCTATTACAGAACACTAATTAATTGTGTTTATTCTCTACCTACAGTGTGTCAATTTTCATTCTGAAGCTGGGAAAGAAGTTTGAACAAAGCAAATTTTGGCCTGAGGCAAAGAACTACTTTTTCATAGGAAACTGGATTCTGAACTACAGAGCCGGCATCACAACTGAACCCAACTGTGAGTGCCTTAAAATGAAAACTGTTAAACACATTCCACTTACATGATTTATATCTAGAATTTAAATTTAAGTCTAGCTCAAGTTAATCTTACAATTTCCTCTCTCCCTAGCAAAGTAGAGTTAGAGAAAGAAAGAGAAAGAAACAAAATGATCATAGGACAGAATTAGCAGACAAAAGTGACAAAAGTTTAAAAAAAAAAAATCCTAAAAATGTTAGCTACTCTAAAGCAGGAATGAATTCTTAACTAAATCACAGATCCACCAGTAGTGCTCAAAGAGAAGCCCATCAGCCCTCAAACTGCATTATTCACCTTATTCCGGAAGTTGCCGTGGGCGCCATCATGATTTCGGGTTGTATTATTTTTGCATGGGGCTGCCGATCTTGACAGTAAATAACTTCAATAGGGACTATAAAGCTGTTTTAAAGCCCTCAAGAGGATCGGTGCAGTCTTTACTAGTTGGTGCACATGAACATTGAACATTTTTAAAATTTTTGCATCTTAAATATTACATAAAATTGGTTACTTGATGTCATATTTAAGATGTAAAGCGTTTCCCAAATTCTCCATTGACATGAACGGGATCCCCGTTTAACCAGAAGTGCCACCACAAAAAAGCGCTGTTTAGGACCATTTAGAGACAAAAGTGGGCAAAGCATAATAAGGTGGATAGCCCTACTGTATTATGGTAGGCTACTTTATTCGTACTTGTAGGTAAATTTGTTTTGCAGTTTTGAGAGGCTGGTCCACATTTCACATTTCAGTCATACACAATATACACAATAAACATGTAAAAACATAGTTACAAATAAAGTGTTAATTACAGTAATCCAGTGTAGAATGGTTTGTTCCATAAACAATTAGTTAAATTCATACATCATGCTTGGCTGAAATCACAATAAATATTATATATAAATATATAATATATATTATAAATGATGTAATAACATATAATATATATTATATCATAATAATATATAAAAACAGACAATTTTTCCAAGACAAATGTACTGAAATTGATAGATAAATAGATTACAATTTATTCATAAATATAATAGCAGCTGGAACGAAACTTCAGCTCCATGCAGTATTTCTAAAAATCTTTTCTTATATTTTGCAGGTACAATAAATATGGAAACTTTTGCCATTGAATGTGATGGTAATTTCAATTTGCAGCAGTTTGTCAATGTATTTTCACAAGCACTTATGTCACCAACAGAAGAGCTCCTCATCAGGTAATTTGTTTATTTTTTGTATTCATTTTAAACTTTAGATATCACACTGGATAATTTACACTAGTCAGCCTCAACATTATAACCACTGACAATGGCAATAAATACATACGTTTTCTCCAATGATGACAAAATTTTGAGTTTCACCTCAAGATCAAATAAAACCAGTACTATGTGACCAAATCAGACCTAGTTTAATAATGTAGTATTTTATCTATGCTAAGTAAGAAAGTGATTGAGTCATCTGAAATAAACTAAAATAAGCCTTGCATGTAACTATTAAGTATGTGAGTTTGTAAGAGCACAATCTCATAATCAATTCAAGACAGACAATGCCTAATATAAATAATATGTTTTTGTTTCTCTAGTTGTCTCAAAGGAAGTGTACAACTGCTACAACATTTGTACAGTGGTTTCTATGAATATCAAGCAGCCGCATACTTACATCAAGCCATTGAAGGAGGCGACATGCTTTCTGCTTTCTTGAGTAATATGTTAAAGGAAATGAATAACTTTGTATTTACACTCACAAAACTTCCTGATGAAAGTTTCACCAACCCTCAAGTCATGGTCCCTCTGTTTCAAAAGTTACTGGAATCCACAGGGCTAAAGCCATTACTGCCCCTCATTTTAGGCAACGGAACAGTTGATATCTCACAAGTGCTTAAAGTTGCATCCCAGCTAGGGAGATCCAACCAGGACATTTTCAAGTTTAATGAATCTGACCCTACAATGGCCGAACTGGAGAAACATATTATGCAATTTCTCTCTTTGGAGGGCAGGCTTTCCATGTCTGTGTACTTTAGCATGAGCCACACTCTTCTAACCTACTCCAGCCTCTTCAGTCCAGAGTATGTAGCCAAGATAAAGGAAGCCATACAACCATTTACAAATAAGACATCATCTGGCATTGTTGAGGCAATACTGAGTGCTCTTGAGCTGCTGCAGACAATAATGGATTCTCCAAGCGGTGACCCAACTCATGTCGTCTTAGGGTATATCCGCCAGCTTCAAGGATTTTTAGTGTCCCTGTTTCGTATGCAAATGACAGAACAGATCACATTATCCAGTGGTCAAGTCAGTCCAGTCCAAGTCACCCAATTGCATCTTCTATCAGATATTTTTAATCTTCTGACTCCAGAGGGAATCATGAACCTCACTCGTGTGGGACCAGTGGCTGCACAGCACATAATCATACAGAAATATATCCAATCTCTTCCAGCCCAAATCCGCCCACAAGCTGCAGAGTTCCTGAATGAATTTGTGGCTTTGCAAATTCAGGTGTCTCAATGTGAATCAGATGAAGTCTGTTTGGCTGGGATCTCTGAAATGTTAAACTTTTTGGACCAGATTTTAGACATGACACTCAGTGCTAATGGTAACGCTAGCATCAACATCGCAGCATCGCAAATGCACATGGGAAAGAAAGAATACATGCCAGTGGCCTCTGCATTTTTTTCTCTTCTTCTAAAACCAGATGAGGCGGCCTATGTGAAAACTGCTCAAGAGACCCTCAAATTTATCTCAATTCTCTTAAATCATCAAAACATCACAATCAGAGATGTCCAGGAAGCTTTGAACCAGACCAATCTTACCATTGAAGAGCTAAATGAGTTTGCGATGCTCTTAGGAACTAAAAATGTTGATGGCCTGATAGCAAAACTTAACAAACTTCTCAATGCCCAGAAATGTTTTGAACAAGAAACATCTCCAGAGTTAATCGCTCATTGTGCTGTTGAGATGGTAAACTCCATCAGTGGTTTTCTTATGCATCTCCCTGCTCTTCAAAATGAGACATCCATCTTGTCAATGATTTCAGTAATTGTCAATAAAACTGTAACAGAGATAATAAATACTAATTTCACCAGCAATCCACAAAACACAGTCACTGAGGCATTGAATGCAGTCCTTGTCAATGTCAAGATGAGTCTCCAACAAAACAACTTAAGCAGCCCTGAGATCCTAAATGATCTTAAAATCTTGGAAAGTCTTGTAAAATTAGCCGCAAACCCAGAACCTATTAAGTATCTCAATATCCCAGTGAATGAGTTTAATGCAGGAGGTGCCCAGCTGAAAATGGTCCTCTGGTATTTGAAAAGACTTGAAAATGTGACCAGCACCAGCTCAGTCTCCCATTTCCTCTACCCGGTCTTCCGCATGGCACAAATGCAGGTTTCTTTGTCATTGGCTCAGATGGATATGAACCAGTTCATTGGCCAACAGATCTCAGACCTCATCAAGAGTCTTCAGTATCCAATCGATGCAAATGGAGTCCGTAGAATTGGCAACGCCACAATAGAGATCCTACAACATATAATTAATTTTGTAGTGACTAACATTGAAGCTCAAAACATCCCAGCCTCTGTTTTTGGCTATGACCCTCCAGTTAACATGACATGTGTTAAAGCCACTGTGCTACAAATTAATAGCTACATAAAACTGCTTAAGCAATGGATGATTCAGGCTGACTTTGGTGCAGGGGTAAATCAAAACATTACTTCCATAACTGTGAATGACATCTATGACCTACTCCAATCCACTCTTCACTTTTTCAATGTGGACCAGCAAAACGACATGAATTTAATCAGCAACATCACCCAGGCTCTGAACAAGGCCATCACGTTGGCAGAAAAGCCAAATGGATTACACAGTGACCAATTCTTAGCGGCCATGTTGGAAGCAGTGAAAAGTGTAATGCAACTGGTGATCCAACAAACTGGCCCTGTGCCCAACAACGTTCAGCAAAGTGTCCTGGATGTGGTCAAAAACATCGTGTGGTTGGCTGGTCATCCCAATGCGAGCTATGCAATGGCCCTCAATACAACTCTTGACACAATACACAAATTGGAACTCATTTTTAAGCAGGTCATCCCACCAGACATTTCCCAGTATCTGCTTGGTGCATTAAAAATCATTGGTACATATTTTCAGTCTGTTGAAACAGTTTACGGGCCAGATGGCTGGAATGAATTGTAAGTTGTAGAACCATTAAATATACTATTTTACTGAATTTATAGACTGCAACTATTTAAAAATGTATTTTGTATTTTGAAGAATTTTAAATGAGATGGAAACGGTTAAAAGCCTCCTACCACCCAACAGCACAGCGCAGCTCTATGTTTCTACTATTATCAATGTCACCAAATCCATCCTCCATTCAGCTCAAGGTAAGTCTCCTCAACTTAAAACACTTGTTATATATTTTAATTTACTCTTTGTTTTGACTATTGAAATATGTATTTTTCAGGCAACACAACACAAAATCTCTTGTCTCAAGGCCCATCTGAAGTAAGTGTACATTACATATTTGCTGAGGTAAGCGAGACAACTTTTTGTGCATGATGAGGGTTTTATCACGGAGGGAATCTAGCATAGAATCTATGATGAATTTGATATGCAAAACACACAAGGTTCATTTGTAATTCAGGTAAAATAAAAACTGATATGATTCACAGAAATAGGTGTACATATTTTCCCTGTTGGTTGTGCAACATTTTTGAGATGACAGACGAACACAATGCAGTGTAGATTGCCACTGTCTTTTTTAAATTGAGTAAACAATAGCTTCATCATTTGTCAGACATGTCTGTCGAGTCGTTTGCATTTCATGGTTTATTTCTGTAGACTTAAAATGACTTTGGTCATAATCTTTTGTTTCTGTTTGTTCAGCTTTTAAAGGTTTTGAATGTATTTTGTCCACTCATCTTGGGAGAGTCCTGTGCACTACCAAATACGTCATCAGTACAGGGCTTTGCAGATCTGCCAAAGGTCCTGGAAGAGTTAATGACCAATCGAGCAAACAATGAAACCTGGATGAAGTATGTCCATATTAATTTAACCAATACTGGATGATCTTTATTCATAGAAAAATGACAATTTTTTATTGTTTATTATTTTATTTTCGCAAAGGCTTCAGAAAATGGTTGAAGTCTTTATGACAGTCTTCACAGAGCCAGAGATGTTAAACAACCTTACATGCTTAGTTGAAATGGCTGAAAAGTTGAGCAAAGAAGATGTCAAATATATGAAAGCAGAAACTGGTGAGAACAGCTCACACATACTTGTTGTTTTGCATCTGTATTGTTAACTATTAGTGTAGAGTGACATGTGCATGCCAACGTAATGTGCAAGTCATAGCACAGTTAGTCACCCTGGTTACACAACAACTACTGCAGGACAGTTTAATTCTTACGCCTTTGCAATTAACATATGTAATTCTTTATTTGTTTCAGAATTTATTTTTAGCCTTCAAAAACCACTCATGACTCTGATGACAGAAATTACCCGCTCTTTAAATGGGAGTCATTTCAACATGTCTGAGATCCCCAAAAGATTGATGCAGGCCATTGAGCAGACAGTCATTACATTTGAAAAGGTAAAACATGCTGAACTAATGAGAGAATAAATGCAAGGTTTATCTTGCCCCTTATAAACTTGAACTTTCAACTTTGAACATGTGAAGCCAACAGTACTATCAATCAAATTAATATGGCTCCTTCTTAATTGAAGCATCCTATTATTTATTTTAATTACACTCAGCTCATAACATGAGACCACAACAACAGATATAAAAGGTTTATTCATTGGTAATTGCATAGGCATTGTTATAAGTCAGTGTACAGTAGTTTTTTGTTATTTCATTGGGTGTGATATGATCACATGAGATGTCTATAGGTAAAGGGCATAAAAAGGAATGCATTCTTGTTTTACTACCTGAACAGGTTTTGTGGTTAGAAATGTGAGTGAGATGTCACATGACGACAGATTTTTGTTTCCTCCACTCCAGAATAATGGCACCTTGAACTGCCAGAAAGCTTTGAAAATATGGGAACCAGTGAGAGTGGCGGCAGGATTAAGCCCATCCTCCATGGCTATGTGGTGCAATGTTAGCCTGCAGCCTGTTATAGATGGCTTTGTCAATGAAATCGCCCAAGACCAACAAAACTGGACTGTAAGTATAGGAAACAGTACATACTGTAGGAGTGTAATCCTTTAATGACTAGACTAGACCATGTGATTAACTGGTAATTGCTATCATATTACTGTATACTTATTTTCAGCTGTAACCTCTCCCCCTAAAAAAAAGAAGAAATAATTGTAAATAATAATAAACATTTACATAATATTGTATTTTTTACACAAATTAATACAAACTAAATAAATTATTACAAGTATTTTAATCTGCCTAGAATGACAATGGCTTTACAATGTCTTCTCTATTCAGTTTTGGTTATTTTATTGAACTTTTTAAACAATAGATAAGAGACAAGAATGATGGTGAAAGTTTTTTTTTTTTTTTCTTCTTTTCTGGACAATCTGCTCTGCTTACGTATAATTCATGTACACTTCAAAATTAGATTACAGTGCTATCATTGAGATGTACCCTTAGTGCAGCTCCTTAGACTAACCACTTGATGGCAGCATGGACACAGTGAGGAAATGACATTATCTTCTTTGATGTGTGTTATTCAACAGTGCACAGAAATGGGACCAATGAATATAGACACTGCAGCTGCCAGGATTGTGAAGTCGTTCCGAGCTGTATACGAGACTGATGTTACACAATCACACGTGACCGAACAGTTCATCGAATCCATCCAAAGTCAGCTCTCTGCTCTGTTTAACCAGTCTCTGAGTGACCAGGCAAAACTCAGTCTGTATAAGCAGCTCCAAGCCCTGCAGACTCAAAGCAGGTGAAAATCTGCATTTTATCACATAATGTAGGCTGTAGATGCTTAGATGTAGTAGTAACCATTTATAATAACTGCGCTATTTACAGTTATAAAGATACACTCAATTCATAATTAACTTTTTTTTTTTTTTGAGAATGATTCTGGCTTAGTAATTACTTAATTAAGGTATTAAGGTTAGGGTATTAGTTAGATGTTGCAAAGCTGAATAATTCTGAATCATTATATAAGAAAATAATGAGCATGAGTAAAAAGAAATATGTGCAATTTTATACCAAATAAATAGAGAGAGAATATCCATTTGGTAAGACACTGTTCATATGTTGAATGAAGCACAGCTGTTGTTTTAGGTCATTTTTTTTAGACTTGAACACAATAATGTCACAGTTCTGCAAGTTATGGAATGAACTTTGTGACAACTAAAATGCCACACTAAAAGGTTTTACTCAGTATTTAATATATATTTTGATTTACAGTTTGCAGTCCATTGAACTCATGTCAGAAGAACTGGAAGACAAGTTTCCCTCCCTCAAACCACACATTGGTGCCATAAAGAAAATCCTTACACACATCTTGACAAAGTACCCTGAAATGGAAGAGTCACCAGAGGATTTTTTCAAAGAAGCGTCAATGATCCTACTGAACTCATTCAATGTCTCATCAAACAGTTTCAACCAAAAGATGATGGGGAATTTCACTGACAAAGTATGGGTCGATATTGTGCTAAAATCCATTCAAACAGTGATTGACATGAAGGTATTTGGGGACAATCCGATGTTATACCACACTCTTGGTCAACTTCTGGCTTGCAACAGCACAAGAATGATCATGAACAAAGTTGCTGAGATGGTTTCTTGGTTTGCATCCACTGACACAAACGGACTTGACCTAGTCATTGAGGTTTTAACGAAAATACAGAAACTCCTCAGCCCATTTTTGTCATTCCTAAGAGATATGGATGTTGACCTGCCACCAAACCTGCAAGTTTTAGACGATTTAACCGGCAATGCAATTTCATTTATTCGACAGCTGGTAACAACTGGAGGTATTTCTATGGCTGATCAGTACATGATGCGAGGCCACTCTGTGTCAAGCCACAATGCCACAAGAGTTCGCCACAGACGGGAAGCCGCATTTATGCCAGTGAGGGGTCCAATGGATGATTTCATAGACCTCTTCAGTATCAACTATCACTCCATGTGGCAAGGCCTGATGGTGCCACCCACTACCTCTGAAATAGTGGAGACAGTCCATGTGTTATTTGCCAATCCAGATCTCGGGATAATTTTGAAAGGAGTGACAAAAGACTTGGTGTGGAGCCTGGAGAGCTCAAAGGAGGAGACCATTGATGCAGCGCTTGGGGTGGCTTCCTTGTTCTCAGTACCAGAAATTGATTTGTAAGTTACTTTGGCTAAAATTTTAAGTTGTCTCACTTAAAATTTAAATGAACATATCTTTATTCATCATTGTTGTTCATTATTCAGTTCATCTTTGGATCTCTGGATGAATGCTGTCAGCTTGCTCCCAGATGGCTTCCCATATGTATCTCTGCTGAAAGATGTTGCCCGTGCCATTGCCATGGAAAGCGCAGGTAATATACACATTAAACACATGAACACAAATGGTAATATAAAACATATTAACACAAATATATATTTTTGGTATCACTTATAAATATGTGCAATCTAGTAAACCATAATAATATGTTTTATATAACTAAATCATACAAGTATTTGTGATTGATACATTTGATTGTTTGTTTATTCATTGATTTCAAGGACAGAGCACATTGATCAAAATTTTGATGTAAATATGCCAGGACAGATGTTGAATGTCATTCTACAAGGAGTTAAATTACAGTTACATCTTCTAATTACAGACACAGATTACTACTTCCTATGTTACTAATACTTTTTTTCATATATGATTTTAAAAAATTTTATCTAGTCTTTTAGTTTGCACATCCTCACCCTATAATTATAACCGACTTTAATGACTTTTAGGGAAATTGTGCCTCACAAGAGATTCTCTCATTGATTGACACAATATTTACTTGCAGCCTGGTGGCATACACTTTTTAGAATTAACATCAGCTTGGACCAATGCCATCTCTTTAGCTGACCTTCATAAATGTTAGTGGACCATGGCGAGTCTATAAATTGTTTTGCTAATGCTGTTGTTTTTGTGTACGTGATTAAAATGTGCCATAATTCATTGTGGAGATATGAGCAATAAGACTTCACACTAGCTTAGCTCGAGTTCCCAAAGAGCCCAAGGCCATATGGCCCATCTCCAGCAGAAAGCCACTCAGCACCTTTTTAAATCTCATTAGCAAAGTAGAATTCAATCATTTATCCTGTCCGCCCTCTCTAAACATTTCCCCCTGCTCAGACAAGTGGACAGCAATGACCCCCTTTTAATTGGCGTCTGTGCTTGTGTGATAATGTTTTAATGCATGGGATTCATTTTATAAGCAGTTTCACTTCTGTATAACCTCACTTATAGTCTTCAGCACTCTCAGTTGACTTGTAATTGCAAACGCCTCTTGCAGTAGAGCACCCTTGCATTTAACTTTCTGTCATAATTAGTCCTTAAGTGGTGTGTACTCTAAGCGGCTTGTCACCTGCTCATGTTTTTCACACACGTCTCTCTTGGCTCTGTCACTTTTGCACTGGCTTTCACTTGAAGCACACCATTTGCTGCTGGGACCCCTGTAACGGTGCTAGTCATAATGAAGCCCGGTGGGACATCATGTTATTATGTCACCTTACAGCGCGACGCCCCACCTCCTCGGCACGTCGAACTTTAATAACCTTCGCTCGCCCTTATCTCTCCTTCTTGCTCTCTCTCTCCACAGAGAATCTCAGGCTCATGCAGGAGACATTACAAACAGTGACTATGATTCTCCAGACCGACCTCACAGACCCACAGCTCCTCGAGCAACTCAAGCACCTGCAACAACAGGTTTATGTTTATGAAGTCTCTTCTTATTTTATTACTGTATTCATAAGTTAATAAACTGGCAACGCTGTCAGACAACTTCAGGTGCTGTAAATACCTAAATCATCATTGTGAAGTGGATGGAGTCCAATAGAAGAAATATAAAACAGTTTAGAGATTCAAAGTTTTTGTAAAGCCTAAAAGAACAATTTTGTTAATTAGAATTATCACAATAAAATTATAAAGTAAAATAAAAGACAAAAATGAAATAACCATTTTATTTGATTTATGTAACTGAATATCATATTATTTTATTATTGCTTCCAGTTGAAATTAAGGTTTGGATAGGGCTATCAATTAATATATTCAATGTTTATGTTATATTTTTCTATACAATGTAATACATCCATTATCACAGTGTTATTTTCTGATTTTAACATTTCAAACTCTTTTTAGGTGTGTGATTTGGAGAAAACCAAGCCTCTTCAGATTTTGGAGCAGGGTTTGTCCCTGGAGCAGGGAGAGTTCTGCAAAGGGATAGTTCCAGGACTGCAGATCTTAGCTGAAGGTGTACTGTTTAACATCACCACTCTGGCTGACAACATCTTTGAGATATTTGTGGGAGAACCAAAATTCTACAACCTCAACACAAACTGGTTTGTACTTATAGCACATTTAGTGTTACTTTTTCTTGCATATTGTTATGTATATTATGTTGTTGTTATTACAGGACATCTATAATCACTGAGGGTTTGGGATTAAATATCAGTGGTCTAAGTGCCTTCAACATGACAAGCCCTGCCCCAGGTAATTTACAGTAGTTTAGTAAGAAAAAAGAAAACACAATTCCCATTTTGAAGGCAGTCTGCTGCTGGGACTTCACATCAAAATCTAAATAATTATACAAAATGATCTTAAAAATAATAATCTTGCAGTTGTGACGATCGGAGAGATGGTGAGGAATAAAACAGCATTTATGTTGGACCTGCAGAACTTGGGATTTGCTCCAGAAGTTGTCAGCCTGTTGACACAGACCGTTTTGCCCGACAACAACATGCAGGTAAACCAGGGACATCAACCTAGATCATGTGTTCAAAGGATCTACTCTAGGGAGAATCATTTTCACTACAAACACATCTAACATGCATTTGATCCATCTGTGTGGAGAATATCAATTACGCCTTTTTCTTTCATTTTGTTTGAATAGATTTTGTCCTGGTTGATCAGCTTGCGCCGCTGTAACTCCTCAGAGCCTAATAATATGACAGAGAGTAAAAAGGCCCTTTTTGAGAGTTTCTGCTCACTGACTGCACAACAGTGGTACAGCTTCACTCTTCTGATGGCTCAGCATCTCAACACAGAGAAGTTCCTCTACAGAGTAAGACCTTTGCACACAATCTTCTGTCATGGTTCAAAAGACTACAAGCATTTTACCACAGGCCCTCTGTCTAAAACCCCTTCTTACAAGGCCTGTCATGAGTTTCATTTAGCACCAGAAAGTATAGATTTCGTGTGTACCTGTGTAAAAAATATACTGTTCGTAAATAATAATAATATACAAGAATATGCTATATATATACAGAACATTATATTTCAATGCTTACATTATGTTGTTGATAATGGCCAAATATCTAGGTGCAGAATTGTTTTCAAGAGCTGCATGAAATAAAATAGACACACACTGAAGGAGTTGGCATGTTGCTTTTCCTTTGTAGATGGTATTGCCAGAGGAGATCCAGAGCCTGGTGCAGACCATGCTTCAAATGGCCACCACCGTAATAAACATGATGAAAGGGATGCTGCCGGCCGTTCGTCAGCTTGAAGAGTACTTGATATCTATTGAGAGTCTCCGCCTTGCAGCCAACAATGAGTTTCGCCAGGTGCATTTTATATTTTATACACTTTATAAAGTGTGTGATGTGTTTGCCCGTGTCAGTGTCTTTTGATCATTAAACTTCAATCATTGCAATATATATATATATATATATATATATATATATATATATATATGTATTTTTATTATGTTACAGTTATCACGATCCCAGCGGGCAGTCATGTCAAGCAAAGCCACGTTTGTCACCATTTCTCGAGCCCTGTGTAGTAAAGGGATGCTAGCTCTGTTTGGAGTGGCCAAAAATCCCCAGTTCTCTATGGCCCCTCCTACTTTTGAAAACAGTGCTATGAAGCAAGAGATGATTGAGAGGTTTAAGATTCCACAGGATGCCAGTATGTATCAAATGACTAATAATTTTAACTAATTAAGCTAAATACTAAACTATTTGGTTAATTCTGCTTTTTAACTCAATTGCAGCAAAACACCTTGCATTTTACACTAAATCTGCTACTATATATGTTTACTAAAATTATGTTTACAGTTTTGATATTAAATTATCTTTTGGCTTTTAAAATGCATGTGCATGTATTACTATAGTTATTATAAGTATCTCTTTCTATTTCCCTGTAGCTCCATTTTGCACCAACATGTATCTGGATATGGTCAACACCACCGGGGGAGCCATTGCGTGGGCCTTCCTTAAACCAATGCTGATGGGAAAAATCCTTTATACCCCAGACACACCACAGACCCGAGCTATAATGACAAAGGTATGCAATATATAGACCCAGTTCGGATCATTTTTAGACCCACTATCTTACACTACAGCTGAATGAGGACATTCAAATTGTCTGTAGCAGTAATTCTCTCGTGGGGTGTCTCAAAAAGGGCACGAGAGCAGGTTAAATAAAGATTGTCTTTTTAATATTAAGTTAAGCTTATATATAAAAAAAAAAAGAACTTGAATATGTTTTTTTCATAAATCTTTTAATAGGATGGTATGGAGGGAAGATTTTGTCCACTGCTTCTGTTGAAATAGAGTACAGTATAGTGCATTTTAGTTTTAGAAAATATTGACTTTAATTTTAAGAAGTGTCTTTGGTACCGTGGTATTTAAAATTGCACTTTTTTACATTCAAAGACTACCTTTATACTGTCAGAGATAGGTCACCATACTTTTTTCCTTCCAGTTGCATTAAGTTTAACATGAGTCATTTCTTGGACCACTACTCTGTACTTTTACTTGAGTAATATTAATTTGAAGTAGGCTATTTTACCCTCTGTCTGCAGTACACATTGCATTCAGTTTCTATTGCTAAATGTGTTTCACTGCTGTTCTACCACAGGCCAACAGCACCTTGCAGCAGCTTGCAGATCTGAGACATTATTCTCAAGACTGGATTAAATCCTCTAACTACATTGTGAAGTCTTCAGAAATGCTCACCCAGACATTGCCGCTGTTGCAGGTATAAAAATTGCCTCAACAACTTTGTGAATCTGGATTTTTTTGCAACACAGTTTGCTGCAGTCTCTTTTAATTTTTTGCTTCCCTTCAACAGAATTCCCTTGGCAATTCCTTTGTGAAGAATTTCATTGAAATGCAAACAGGCATTAACGTTGACTCAATGCAGGAAACACTCAACAACTTCTGTAAGTGTGAAATCTATGTGGAAAAAGTCATATACTCAATATTACCTACAGTATATTACCTTTCTCCAGTCTGCATATAAAAATTCACTGTCACAGAAAATCCATTACATCCAATTTTATCGCAAATTTCTAAGGCCATCTTACCTTGATATGATGATTTATGCCAGTCATTTTCCCCACAAGGTCTCGCTATGACATACAGATTTTAATTAGATTACATTGAACTGCCAGACCATATTTCTTTCCCAGGGACATTTTAATATAGGGTATGACCACCAGAAGCTATAGCAGAATCCTCATTATTCATTTAATTGCATTTTGTTTCATTATTTTTACAGCAAATATGACGGTGATGCTTGAGAAAAACAAAGATCTTTTGGGTCAGATCACCACACTGTCCACTCTGATGGTCGACCTCTCCTCCTGCATCACATTTGACCGTTACCAAGGTTACAGCACAAAAGAGGAGCTCAATAGAGAGGCCCAGGATCTGGCTAAAGATAGAAATCTTTATGCAAGTAAGTGATCAGTGAATGCTGTATCATAAACAAAGGTACAATGAATGTCAACTGACTTCTTAGCAGTAGTGTAATCACTCTATTCATGGACGTCTGCTTTGTGTTTATCCAGTCTGTTTTGATATTTAATGCAAGATCCATGTGAAATAAACTAGTATGATTGCATGTCAGACGGATTTGATTTATTACAGAAATCCTTTTCTTAGTTTAGTTTTTATTTTCGTGTTTTATTTCTATGTTTTGTTTTTATTTTTGTGTTAGTTAAGTGTCCGAATTGCTCTCTGAATGAGCGCACTATAGAGTACAGAGTCCAGTTGCAGAACTATATACTGAGTTAGGGGCCAAGGTGTACAGTCGTCTTCAGCAAAAAACAAAAAACTTGCTTGTCAGAGGGGTGCTTAGTCCAAATCTGAATAGATTATTTTACTCATCAACACAGACCAACTTCATACATCTTATTCAAGGTTGTCAACTGCTCCCACAGTCATCAGCATACTTCATACATTTCATAAGATCAAATAAATAAAAGTTGTGATGTTTGATGGCCTGTGGGATGGCTCAACATTGTACATATTACATTTGAACATGCACAAAAAACTTCAAATCTGCATTGAAAATTGCCTTTAAATTTTGTTCACCATATATTTTCAAGGTGTGATCTTCAAGCTGCCTAAAGACTCAGATTCCAGAAAGCGGCGATCAGCCTCCAACACGACCGCGCTACCGCCGAAAGTGCGCTACACCATTCGCATGCACATGGACAACGTAATGAGAACAGATCGTGTGCGAGAGCCCTTCTTCACTAAGGACACACACATCTATGCCGGGCAGACGCTGCGTTACAATCGAGGCTTTATTTACCTCCAGGAGAGCATTGACAGAGCCATTATCGAGATTCAGACCAACAAGACAGTCACAGACACGGCTGTGCAGATTCAACCATTCCCTTACCCCTGCCATCACAGAGATGAGTGAGTTCTCTTGGATATTATTCACATAAGACATGAACATACAGCTAAAATACGCATGGTTTGTCACAAGCACTGGTGTGGAACAATCTGTCAAATCTCTCATTTGCCACTTGGGACTGTCAGTAAGTAGTGTTTCTCCTGGTTTCACACAGTAATTGGCTCCATGCTGCAACATTTAGTATTGTATTTTTAACCAGAAATGTCGATACTGTTTGCTGGACAGTCCAATATACCTTTAGTGATTAGTTCAGAAGAATGTCAAAATTGTCATTCAGAAATAGGTTCAATAGAGAGAGAGAGATAGAAAAAAAAAAAAAAACAATGACAGGGTCCAATAATACTTAACTGTAAAATTAAAATGTTTAAAATTTGCATTAACTCTATAATTAACAAGAGTAGCCTGGATATTGTATTGTAATTGCTTGCTGCTGGATCAATATATATTGCTCAGTGCCACATTGCGTTACTGAGGTAACTGCGACCCATGTATTGTGTCGTGATTCTCGAGGTATCCTGAGATTCCAAGCCTTAGTCATAGGATAAGAATTACTTCATGGCAGTATAGGTATAGATAAATACACACATTTGTATATAGCACATTTTCACCTGTAGGGCACTCAAAGCACTTCACATCAAGGAAACACTCACCCATTAACCCACACATTCATACACCTGTTTACATAGACACCGAGGGTGAGGTGGACAGCATTCATTTGTGGGAGTTGGAATCACACCACCAGCCTGTGGGTCAGTGGATCTGACCGTTTTACCAGTGATGTTTATGTCGAGAGTCGGATTTGAACCACTGTGCCAACTGAGCTACTGATGACCCAAATATATATATTTTCATAGGCCAAACTACATGTTGGGATCTAAACTTACATTAGCATATATTTCAGTACAATAGATCATGTACTATGTCAGTGCTGATGCCTCATCTGTGAAGCCATTGTCTCCTCTCTGACCAACTGTGAGATATCGTTAACCCTGATTTGTATTGCTTTGATTTATTACTTTGCAGCACAATTTCTGATGTTTGCTAAAAAATTACTGTAGCCTAATAGCACTATCAGACAGAATCCTGATGTATCAGAGCCTAGATAGACTGACATGACAAAATATAGGCATTTATTTAGCAGTAAATGATATATGGATCAAAACATGGCTGTCTTAAAGGCCTGAATCCCCTGCAGTATTGTACTCTGTGAATCATGGTGTGTCTGTCTATCACCATGCAAAAGGAGCCCCTCATTTTCTTCTTGTCGACAGAGATTTGATGCTTCGCAGAAAGTTGATTGACAGTTCTCCTCTCTTGATTCCCCAGGTACCTAGAGGCCATCTCCTTCGTCTTTCCTTTAATGCTGATGATCGCTTGGGTGCTGTTTGTGGCGGATTTTGTAAAGAAACTGGTTCACGAGAGAGAACTGAAGCTACATGAGGTAATGCCCTTGAATTTGTCTTATGTATAAACCATTTTCTTGGCCTATACTTATATATTTGTTTAAATTAACGATAGTAAGTACAATGAAATTACGGTTAATGTTCCAGTTTAAGAATACATATAGGTATCTAGGAATTAAAATGTCATAATAAAGAAAGGATTGAGCATAAAATAATAGTCCGTGCTCTAAATGTATGTCTTTGAATGAAAATTTGGCCAATGTTAAGAAAAAGTATTTAATTTAAAAAAATGTCAAATTCAAATCAATGCCACATGGGAATCACTGTGATAAATTAACTGTTTGATTATATTTTAATGATTGGAAATCAGCACATGAAATCTTTACAGTCAATTTGTCTATTTCTTTGGATGACAGAAGGACAAACATTGATTGGCAATGTAAAATTATCTGATAGTTTAACTTTGTCGTAAATACAACATAACATCAAATTTAAATAAAATATATAGTATTAATAGGGGTGTAACGATATCCAAGTCACACGATATGATATCGTCACGGTATGAACCTCACTGTACGATATTTATTGAGATATCGTGGGAAAACTCACGATATGGTTGGGAGGCTCACGATTAGGGATGTAACAATATCCAAATCTCTCTGTATGATATTTTTACGATATACATCTCACGGTACGATATTCATTGCGATATTTTGTGGAGGCGAACAAAACTGTGAATATGCGACTTTTTTCTCTTAAAATGCCTTGACAAGACTTAATCCAAAGAACTAAGACTTAAAAGTGCTTAGAACTGTTATCTCTTCTTGTAATCTGCACTGAAATGGAGCAAAGGATCATGGTCTATGTAGTTCCCTTTGTCTTTTTTTTCTACCTATTGCTGCACCATAACTCTTAATTTAAGCAAAGAGACTTGTAATTCCATATATTGTGATGGTCCACGATATCATTATGAGAACATTGACGATATGATATCACAATATTTTGGTTATTGTTACACCCCTAGTATTAAATCATTATTCTTATGATTTTTCTTGCTAACAGTACATGAAGATGATGGGCGTACACCCTCTGAGCCACTTCTTTGCCTGGTTCATTGAGTCTGCCTTCTACCTGGTCGTCACCATCTTCTTCCTAACCTTGGTGTTGAAGTACGGGAACATCTTACCTAACAGCGATGGCTTTCTGCTCTTCCTCTATCTGTGTGACTACGGCCTGAGCATCCTGGCCTTCAGTTTCCTCATCAGCACCTTCTTTGATAAAACACACATTGCGGCTCTGAGTGGCAGTCTCCTCTATGTTCTCGCCTTCTTCCCCTTCATTGTTGTCGTGGCGATGGAGACGCATTTCAGCTTCTCAGCGAAGAGCCTTCTGGTTAGTATCTGGTAAAACATTGCACGTAGTTATGGGCATAAATGTGTATCTGAAGCCACCTATTGATGTACTGCTGTGTATCAGAGTGTGTGTGAATGGGGCTATTGAACAGAGCGTTAGAGTGAATGGGACTATTAATAAATATAATACTTTTTATATAAACACTCCAAGACACTGAACAAAGAATAAAATTAAAAAGAGTACATAATTATAAAATAAGGCAGACAAAGTATAAGCATAGTTATAAAAGCAGGTTAAAGCTGTTCTAAATAGATGGGTTTTGAGAAGCTTTTTATCATTTATTTAATTTATTATTGTTTTATCATTTTCTCACAAAATTTTGAGTTGTAGGTATGGATATATTTTGTCTGTAGGAGTTTGAAGTTTCAGTCTATTTGAAGATATTGACTCACCTTAATCTAAAACTTCTATTATCTTCATCATTGTCAGTGTTTTGCTCGCGGGCTTAGTTGCTGAAGCTCATCGACCAATACTCCTTGAAAAAGATCTGTGAATCTCAATAAGACCCTCCTGGTTAAAGAACAACTGCATAAATAAATAAAATGTGCTTACTAACCTCATAGCATTTATTTTAGGGTGAATTTGGTTATATCATTTATTCTTGTTAGCTTTTGTGAATTTAAAACAGAATTGGCACACACAAAGTACAGCAGGTAGTTTGATGAATGTTTTACCAATAATTCTTTCTATCCTTTTTCTGTTGTTTTGTAACATGTGTCTGACTCTGCCCATTTTAAACCTTTGCAGAGTTTGTTTTCTCCCACCGCCTTCAGCTACGCCAGTCAATATGTCTCCCGGTATGAGGCCCAAGGAGAAGGTATTAGCCTAAGCATCTGACATGCATCAGATAATGCCTGACAGAAAAAGGACACCGTGTGTGGGAATCAATCACGATCTTTTATCTGGTTTGTCGTCTTTAGGGATTCAGTGGAGCAACTCGTACTCCTCGCCCATGGCTGGAGACACTGCTTCGTTTGGCTGGCTTTGCTGGCTCATGCTCATCGACACCTTTCTGTATTTAATTATTGGAGCTTACATCCGCACCGTTTTCCCAGGTAAAGTGGGACAAACAAGTTAGTGTCATTTATTAGCAGCTGTGATACCTGTTTTACAAAATGTGAAAGGAAGAAGAAGATTTTTATCTATCTAACTTCTTTTTAGCTCTTGTAAACCCTTTGGCATATTGCTTGTATTGAATTAGTGTAGTTTATTTAATGAGACAGGGACAAAGCACAATATATATTAAACTTAACAGGAGAGATGCATTGTACTAGGTTATAGCACTAGTGTTAATTTCCACATGTAGTCCATGGGCAGGCTCAAAAATACAAAGAAAATGTCTTTACAATGACCAGCCCATCATAAAAAGTTATTATCATCATTCACACCCAGTTCTCTCAGCATCTTAAAATCATTATCCATTACTAAAGGCATCCGTCAGTTCATTCACTCCAGAACATCGCACTCTCTTGCGGATTTAGATGGATCTGGACAACCTCACTTATATTAACTACAAGAAATGTAGAGTGTTAATGACAACACATGCACATCTGACCTGAAAAAAACTGGTAATTCAAGTGCATTTAATGTGTGTAGCTAATTGAATAGTACAGTTTGCATGGCTCTATATTACGCTATTTTCTGATCTGTAGTTTTCTCATCAAAAATGTACCCAGAGTTTTGTTTTGTTTCATTCACACATGTTTAACACGCAAACATTTAACACACAAACGCTGCATATTTAGGCTGAGTTCTTCTCTCTAACAAAAAACACTGTACCACCTTGTGATGTCATGTGGTAATACAAAAAGTGCCCCACTGTGTTTCTAAACTCCATACACCTTCACTAGAGGAATTTGGATGATTTGAGCCCAGGAATTTCCAATCTTTACTGAACTAAAGATAAAGGGCTGTTGGTAAAAGGTGGAACAGCATTCTGAGCTTTGGAGATGTCAACAGACTAATAATAATGGTTTACTCAAACATGTGTGAATGAAACAAAACACAACTCCAGGTGTTTTTGATGAAGTAACCACATTATAACATGATTTAAAGCTCACTAGAATCAATTTTGTGTACTATGGGATCAGCAGTCAATTTTCCCATCGATCAACTGTTTAATTTTAACATTTTGCTTTTCATCCTACTTTACAGCATATCCTCTCATTTCATTTCACTTTCGTTTTTAGGAAAGTCTGGTATACCATCTCCCTGGTACTTCCCATTCACTGCATCATTTTGGACTGACTTATGTGGTCACAAAAAGTCAAAAAGTGGACGCGGGCTCTTTCTTACCAACATTATGCACACACAACTGCCTGCATTCCCTGACAGTGATGAAAAAGGAAAAGGTATTAATTTTTATTTATAATTTATCTCCCATTTATTTGTTTGTACAACTCAAGCACTCAAACTGTTTTATTATATGTACATTACATATAAATACATTATATTTTATTTCTTGTTAGCTTGATTTAGTGTTTGTCTGTCCTTGTGTTTTTCAGTCAAAGGCCTCTCCTCAAGTACAGGTGAAAACTTCTCAGACCTGCCTGTGGGTGTGTCTCTGTATGGTCTCACTAAAATATATGGGCGTCAAGCAGCCATTCAAAACCTTAATCTCGCTTTTTACGAGGGTCACGTCACTTCACTGCTTGGGCACAATGGAGCTGGCAAAACTACCACCATGTATGTGTATACTACATCTATTCTCAGTTTTCTCAGAATCAGCATGTGCTAAACTGAATACTAATGCATTTTGAACATTCATTTAGTGAATGTGGTGTTTTCGTCTTTGATTTGTGCTTGACTTTAATCATCCTAAGAGCTGACTGCTGACAGAGAGTTTGTTTTGTCCAAATCTGGCAGAGCATCTATATACTCTCTATGATAGACCTGGCCTTCATCAGCGGGAGCACTTGCATTTACATTTTTAATGTGATCCATTTACTGATGCTTTCATCATTTTGTATAATGGCTAAACAGTAGCAGAATATATAAAAAAGTGTAGCACCATAAAGTGCTACATATGAATAATTATTTTAAACCAAATTAAGATTTTAATAGTTTATGAAAGACAGCATAACTTAACACCCAGGAAACATTTCCTCTGCTTTCTGTCCAGGTCAATCCTCACTGGTCTGTTCCCTCCATCTTCTGGCACTGTGGAAGTCTATGGCAAAGACATGCAGGCTAACCTGGAGGATGTGCGCTCAGAGCTGGGCGTGTGCATGCAGTATGACGTCCTGTTTGAGCACATGACCGCCAAAGAGCACCTGCTGCTGTATGGACAGATCAAAGCCCCGCACTGGACCAAGAGGGAGCTCCAAGAACAAGTCCGGACGTAAGCCACCATTTCAAATCACAATTCAATGATCATTTCTCTAACTTAAGATGGTGGACGTAACCACATACATGCTTTTTTATCATTACTTTTAATTCACCAGATAGACTTGCTTTTTGAAGCAATGCCCTTTTTAACACACATAGCCGAGAGGGTTCACATAAATGTATTATATTCTGAGTAATAATTGGGCAGTTTCTGAGCACCATATTGCATCATGAAACTGTTTCTAAAGATGAGCATAGAAAAACAAGCCAAAAAACCCCAAACTTTTAACTATGCTCTTCAATCGTGCAGCTTCAATCGTGTTCCTTTTAACAGATGGAACAGTTACTCAGGGTTATATGCACAGAAATAGTTTAACATGAATCCCTTGTCAAATACTTCCCATTGATTTCCGACAGGATCCTGGAGGAAACAGGCATGTACGCTCACAGGCACAAGCGGGTAGGAACCCTGTCGGGCGGCATGAAGCGCAAGCTGTCAATCTCCATCGCCTTCATAGGGGGGTCTCGTCTGGTGGTGCTGGATGAACCCACCACAGGAGTCGATCCCTGCTCCAGGCGCAGCATCTGGGACATTGTTATCCAGCATAAGAAAGGTGAATCTAAAAAATCACTCTCTATATAGCATGGATCATTACTGCAAGTGCAAAGGGGATGGAGGAGAACCTACATGTATCAACTGAATAGTAAGATTACATTACAAGATTATTATTAGAAGGTTGTTATAGAATTATTCAAAATCATGTACATGAATATAGTTAACATGTATTAGATTGGTTATTATTCTGACATCTCTTTATTTGACAAACTGAAATGGGAAAAATACTGCAAAGAGTAAGAGTAAAGTAAGCTGTACTCAGTAAGCCGTGTACAGTTTGTCCCTCCTCTGATCTGTTTGTATGCATTTCTTGTTAGGTCGCACTATTATCATGTCCACCCACCATCTGGATGAGGCAGAGGTGCTGAGTGACCGCATCGCCTTCTTGGAACAAGGAGGACTCAAATGCTGTGGCTCACCGTTCTATTTGAAAGACCAGCTAGGCCAAGGTTATAAGCTAACTCTCACCAAGAAGGTATTTACTTTTAAATAGAGACATTTTTGCATTTTTATATTCAGTAAGAAGCTAGAAATTCAAATAATTGTGAGTAAAATGTAACTTACTTTGCCAAATGTTGCTAAAATGCACCTGCTCTTGCATAAACACATAATATGCAACTTAAGTAAAATGCTTTCTTTTAACGTCAGCAGATGCATTGTGCGTTTTGCCCAAGTATCCCATAAACTGTGATATATCTTAGCATTATGCCCAGCCAGCAAATTGTGCCATTTCCTGCCTCACTGTTACTGAGGAGTAGAGCCACTCATGTGTGAATAAATCCTATGTTTTATCTCCGCCACATTGGGCACACAATTCATCGCAAAAGGGTGATTTGTATCAGACAGATTGAAAACTGGAAAATGGACCAAATGCCTACAACAGTGACGCTCGGCTGCTGACTGCTGGCTCACACAATTTATGTTCTTCGTTCAGCTCAGTCATTGAAAGTTTGAAAATGGTACAGAGTACAAAGAATGGAATTACTCTGCAAATTTTACCTCCAATCTAATCACACAGATCCACTAACTTTGTCTGATTGTATTTCCAGCATTTTAGCTTGTCAGTATTTGTCATTTGCATAAACTTGAGACAGTTCTCCCAAAGCAACGCTACACATAATCTAGTCTGCCTTTCCTGCTTTAAAAGTCAATTTTGAGTAAATTTTAAGACAGGAGTACTACACTGCAGGCATACACTTTCAGTTAATGTATAGAATTACAAGTACCAAATCTAGGCCTGTGCAATTAACCAAATACCAATCTTGACTACAACTGCTGCTACTCCTGTAAAAAAAACATCAGTAATAAATTAAAGATACGCAAGATAGTTCAGAACTGTGATATTAATTAAATTTGAATTAATATTTGTACTTGTAAATGATATGCTGGGGCATTTTTAGTAAGACAAAATAACATAAATTCTGAAGTTTTGATTAATCAATATGAGGGGAAGCTTTATCCCTTCTCTACAGGTTTGCATTTTAATAATTGTTTCAGATAATCTTAATTTGGTAACACTATTGTAACTGCATCTTTATTATCCTTAATAAAGCATGAACAGATAAGATAAGATATGCCTTTATTAGTCCCACAGTGGGGAAATTCCAGTGTTGCAACGGGCAATTTCAGAACAGCAGAAAAAGGTAACACAGATAATAAATAATAGCTTAAAAATAATTTAAAAATAGACTTAAAAATAATGGCACATGTTCAGTGTTAACAGTGTTTGTTGTAAAGTCTGACAGCAGCAGGAAGGAAAGACCTGCGAAACAACAGACTTAAGTAGTTTATAAGAATGATTCAGGTTTAGCAGCTCCTGAATGAATGCCCTAACCATAACTGCTAACCCTAACCCTTTAATGAAGTACTGTAGGTGTAGATGTAGTTATTGTAAAGTGAGAGAGACAATTAATTGGGGTGGTACCATAATTTAAAGGTGCATTGTGTAACTTTTTGATTGGGGGTCTGTCATCTGCTTGTTTTTATGGATATGTCGCTTCTGCCTGGAATATTCCACAGTATAACATTAAACAGCTCTACTTTACATTTTTTTCAATTACAGGGCCAGACTCATTTTATAGCGCAAAAATACCTAGAAAAACAGGCACTCTGACTGGAGCGGGGTTTCCACTCTACAGATCTGACCTGTATGACGATATAAAGTTTATTGCCATAAAGTGAAACATTCCAGACAAAGCAATAACATCTCCATGAAGAAAAGTATTCGATGGACCCTCTACCAGAATAGTTACACAATGCACCTTTAAATTTTCAAGCAAATAATCATGATTACGGTGATTAAGGTTTCAATTCAAAACATATGCCTTTATCTTTTTATAATTAGACGCACAACAAAGAAACCAAACAGATTGACAATGCAGAGCTGAAGGCGTTTGTTCAAGCCCATGTACCTGAAGCCCGACTGAAGGAGGCCCAAGGCAGTGACCTGGTGTACCTACTGCCCCCGTTCAGCTCCAACAGTGCCGCTTCGTATCGCTCTCTGCTCACCGCCCTCGACTCTAACCTGGATGCCCTACAGCTCGGGTGCTACGGCATCTCCGACACCACCTTGGAGGAGGTAGGTCAAACTCAAAGTCCATATATTACAATGTGCTCTAATGCTGAGAATATCAAAGAAAATAAGAAACTATATGCTTCTGAAAGTGCAAAAAGTTTTTCACACTGTTAGTGATGCTGTTTATAATGATTCTACAAAACTATAGTAAATCTGGTCCAGGGGGAATAATCTATTGCTTATTTATTCTTCCTTGATGCCAGGAGTATTTTTTCTCGATAATAATTGTATAAAATACATCATTTCAAGACAGGGGTACTAGGCTGCAGGCATAGGTTTTGCAATTTAAAGTTGATAATTCATAATAATAGAGGGATGTACAATTAATCAAATTAAAATCTTGATTACAATTGCTGTTCTAACTGATTAAAAAATGTCTTCTACAGTGTAAAACATGAATTGCAAAACAAAATAGGAGTTTGTTTATTTTGTCCTTCTAATAATTGTACAAAATATTTTTAAATCTTCTATGCAGGCACCAAACCAGAAAGTAATTTGCGCCATGGTCCATTTTTGCCCTGTGTTTTTTACTTTGTTCAAAACACAAAGGAAAAAAAAATAAGCTTGTAATAATAATTGGAGATAAAATAATAGTGAAATGAATACATGTCACTGTAAACAGTATTATATGCAAATGCAGGTGGTGACCCCAACATTATACAGAACACAGTTTGACACTCGCAGATGTTAAGTGTCTTTTTGCTCTGTAGGTGTTTCTTCATTTGACACATGGCAGCCCTGACGCAGCAGGTGATGGTGATCTCCCGACAATATCTGAAAATGTGTCCGATACTGACTCCATAAACAGCTATCCAGACTCAGAGGAAAGCAACTATAGTGACACTACCTGTAAGTCCATATTTTATTTTCATATACATATACTTAGTTTAGTTATATTGTTTGTTCTTTAGCGTTTGTGATTCTCAAACCATACACAACAAGCTATATAGCTTTCTTACTATAGTAGGCAATGTTGTTAATTAATCCAGGATGCAGTTCACCGTAAATCTGATGTGTCTTTGGGAATCAACCTTGCCTTCGGTGCTGAAGTCCAGTGGTGTGTCAGTGGGGGTGGGATTGTGAGGGACTACAGGCTGTGCATTAACATCCGTGTATCTTCTATATCTTAATTTATATGCATTGTCCTCACCAAATAAACCTATATATGGGTTTTGGAATGATAAAATATCTCTTTTAAATTGGAAATGTCCCCAAAATGTTGCCTATGTTGAGGAAGCTGAAACCCATGAATAATAATACAATTCATCAAACTAATCCTACACTAGGCCATTAAATGACTACGTCAGGATTCTACCAAAGGTTAAAACCTCATTACATAACATGATTATTCCATTTTTACCTATTTTCTACCATGTTGTTCAAAGCTTTTTGGTATTGTTTATGTTTTAGGTTTCACTGGAACCCAAACTGTGAGTGGTGTGAAGTTGGCCTGGCAGCAGTTGGTGGCTATTCTAATCAAGAGGTTCCACCATAGCCGCAGAGACTGGAAGGGCCTGATCTCCCAGCTCCTGCTCCCCGTCCTGTTTGTGGTGTTTGCCATGGGACTGGGCACCATCAAGAGCGACCTCAGGCATTATCCCGAACTGGAACTCAGCCCTGCACTCTACAACATTGGACCCAGTTACTCATTCTTCAGGTCAGTGATACTAGGGAAAAGGCTTGATACCAATTTTGATACCACAATGATATTCAAAAAATGTTCTTATTATAGTAGTCTTATAGCAAGGGGTCTTACACTAGCGCTGAGAAAAATTAAAACCATTCTAAACCTATTCACAAAGGATCAAAATTGGTCCTATTTATGGTTATTTTCTTCAGCGTAAACACTAAAATTAGTATTAGCTTTTATTTTCTATTACCCTATTTTCAAACCACAACAACACAACCACAACAATTGAGCAATTTTAAAAGATCAAAGGATGTTTGAATGACTGCTCCAGCAATTATTTTAGGAACTGAATTAAAACCTTATTTTTGAGGGATGTAAAATTGCCAGCAATATAAAACATTGCTGTTCTATCTTTTGAATGGTCAATAGTCCCCTAAATGGCATTCATAACAGGAATGTGAAGAAAGACATCGTTTGAACGTCTTCAACCAAACTAACTTTTGTCCAGTCGACAAACTGAATTTTTTCCACATGGAAAGTGACTTTTTTTTATGATGTGCTGCCTCTTTGATTGTTGCATATGCAGGTTGTAGATATAGTATATGCAGTTTTACAAGGGTGGGCTGAGGTGGGTCAGATGAAGGCATACATGCATAAGTAAACCTGCTTATCATCACCACTGAAAACCAATGCCATGTGTGCAATAGCTGCATGATGGAAATAAGAAACCACATGCACATTTATTATAGCAACACAGCAAATCAACAGCAAACACCAAGTATTAATTCATTTGACTATAGAAATAATTTATTATTTATCATTCCTTCAGTCTTGCACCAGAGTGCATCCTTTGTGCATTTTGTATTTTTGTGTCCTTTTTTCATTTGAGATTGTCCCCACTTTACCGAAAAGTGTATGTAATTGTAAGAAGGCGAGTGTCTCCCTAGTGTCTGTAAATGAATGTGTTTTTCTGCACTTATGAGGGTCTTGCTTGCATGCTGTTTTGGGCTGCAATGTTTGGCCTTCTCCAAAATTACACTCTCCATCCCGAGGGAGACAGCCAACCCCAAAGATCAAACAGTTTTCCAACAGTTTAATCATGAAGGTGATTACTGCACCACAGCTGTCTGATTCTGATGAAACTTTAATGAAGGCCTGATGCATCTTGATTTGCCCAGTGGGTTTTGAGCGCGAGGCTGTAGTTTGTTGAAGGGCAGACAACCCTTAAGGAGAAGGAGAAACAGCCAGTAAGAGTTAGGAGATGATTGTGATGAGAAGGACCGAGGATCCAGATCAAAGCTGCCCAAATTAGGAGCGTCAGGCGCTTGTAAGATGTCTTCATTCTTAAGATGCGCTATGCAGGATCAAGGACGAATTTAGCAAAACAGTGAAAATAGAGAAGCAATTTGTATGTGAATGGGGCTGTTGTTTTCCTAAAACCACTTTTAACCCAACTTTAACTCCACTGTTCCTGTATAAAATATTAAATGTGGTGATTACAACTATTATTAAAACCATTTTTTTCAACCACAGTCTCCTGTATTATGGGAAACACTGCATTTCTACATAATCTTCTGTAAATATTTGTATGTATTGTACTTATTTATGGTGTTGGTTGTTTTGTCATTACAGTAACCAGAACTCAAGCAAACTGGCAGACACCATGCTGTCCTTCCCTGGCCTTGATAATGCCTGTCTTGAGAAATCCAATAAGTAAGTATCCACCTAATAGTCATATCATGTCTCTATTTCTTCAGTGCATTTGGGCTTTTTGTTTTGTTTACCTTTATTTGCACCATCAGCTCCACCTCTTTATTCTCTGCTTTGTTTGTGTATTGAACCCCTGCAGCAAAGCATCATTGGTATTCCTTAAACACCTTGAGTATATAAGGGAGATTTTCACTCTTACCAGACTCAAATCAATGTTGGCACTCATGAACCAGACCTTGGGCTGTTTTGAAATTCTCATTTTTTACTAAAACCAAAGGAAAATAGGAACAGGATGAAAACAGGATTTGCTACAAAGAGCTTGGATGTTGTGATTGTGCTTACACGGAAATATTGAAAGGAAGGCTCAGAACTGTGGAGGTTTTTGGTGTTATTTGTATAATTTGTGTGTATAGTAATGCCTTTTTAGCATTAAGTCTTGTTTTGTTTGTACTAAGACATGTACTGCATGAGCAAATCCACTCACTTTATAAAGGCCAGAGACTGGGATTTTATATTCCATTAGCAATTAATCTTTATATTTTTGCAGGTCATCAGTTTGTAAATATTTTGGTTAAGAATCAATGTACAGCAGAAGTATCGCTGTAAACTTTGTTCACTATTTTGAAGATTACACCTGCAATTAATTTTTTTCTCAGCTCAGTTACTTGTCTTTATTATAATTTAGCATATGTTCAAACAACACATTTTGAAGAATATATCATCCACCACATTTAATTTAGACTTAGTAAATTATATCCAATATTGTTTTTGCAAATTTGCTTGTATAGATTTAGGTCAAACTAATCCTAATTCTTCTTCTTTCTTTTTGTAGGGTTTGCAGAAGCAGCACAGGAGCTTGGGTTGAGGCGAATAGCACTCAAAAGTTTGGCGTCTGTAAATGTGTCCATGAGAAGGAGGTGAGTTTGAGCCCTTGACTTTGTTTGCGTCTTTGCATTTTCATTTTTACGCGCCTGTCCATGCCTGTTTTATTGTGTCGTAAGTTACTATCATCTGTCCGCCGCAGGTTTGTGGAGCGGGAGGCTACGTCCCACCTCATAAGAAAATCCCATCGTCCCAGATCATTTACAACGTGACCGGCCTCAATGTGGAGAACTACCTGGTGGCAACAGCAGACGATTACATCAGAAATAGGTCTTTAAAGCTGTTTATTGTACTAGTTTTCCAACACACTTAGATTAAATTTTATAACTAATTAAGGAATTCACTTTTTATCAAATTTACTGGAAACCTTGATAGTGCTGTTATAATGTTAAAATTTAATTAAAGAATTGATTTTTTTTGACAATTGAATGTAATTTTCCATAATATAACTTTCTATCATGTGGAGATAATGATCAAGGTCATTAAAAATTCTTCGGGAAAGGTCAAAGTTTGTTCTATTTATGTATTTTTTCAGTATCAGTACTTGTTCAAGTCAGTGTTTCAATTGTTGTCAAGTTTCGTTAGAAGTTTTTCTATTGATTTTTGATATAACCTTAGACCTTAAGATACATTTTTTGGGTATTATTATTTTCAGCATTTTTCTGGTATTTTAGGATCAAGACTAACCTGCTGTAATCTGTATTGTTTTGACTGATTGTTGTTTTACTTTTGTGTTTATAAGGTATGGCGGCTATGATTTTGGAATGCCACTTCCATCAAACCTAAAAATGGATATGAAAACTGTGCCCAAGAATCGCACTCTATCCAAGGTAACTCTAATTAATATTACTTTTTGCCTTACCTTTTCATTATAACAAAGCTGACCATATATTATATTATTATATTATAATGTACTTCATTATAAGTCCTTTATTATTTTAATATGTGTTACCTATATATATATTTGCTTGGGTAGGTTTGGTTCAATCCTGAGGGCCACCACACCATGCCAGCATACTTAAGCAGCATGAACAACTTCATCCTACGCTCTAATCTCCCTACAGACAAAGATCCAAGCCAATATGGTAAGTTTACCAAGTAATAATGAAATTCAATCAGTAAAATTAACCTCAAACTTTACTTTCTTTGTCACAACTGTACACATATACACATGCTGTAGTTTGTGCTTATGAAGTGGAATATGTCAAGCATTCGTAGGATAGTGATTAGAAGTTTTGGACATAGGCTCCTATAACAAATGCTTATTAGTGGATGGGTATGACCTCATGAATTCAACATGCCTCAAGATTTTTTATCCTCTTGCAGATTGGTCTAATGTTTTACTCTTCTTAAATTTCCCACAATCTGATACCAATATAGCATTTGAATTACTTTACTTCAAAATTGTAAATTATAACTTCACATGCAACTAAACCATTTCTGGCAAATAATTCATAAGTTATGCAATCAAATTTGATCAAAATAGTTTAATAATTTAATAATCCATATAAATTATGTAAAAACCTCTGGACCCTAGTTTGTGTCTTGGGTCCCCATATTCCTTAATATTTCCTACCTACTTGCATTAGATTGACCTGATTAAAAGTGGTGCACTTGAAGGAGCAGTTGTTGACTGAATCTTAAACATGTTTACTCACGGTTCAGTTCACTGCTTTAAAGCCAGGGGGTGCTGTGTGTCCTCCAAGCCACAATCCTCTATGCATGAAGAATACTGATGAATGCTTTACTCTGGGGAGCTGTGCTAAAGAGAACGAGGCTGGCCCACGTTTTCACTACTGTTTCAGCTCTGTGTATCGCCCTGACCATCTGCCTGCAAGCATTTAGTGCACATACACACACATACACGCACACACATAGACACACAATGAAACAGTCACAAAAATAAACAGCCTGTGTTAAAGTAGTTGATGATAACAAGTGCCTCAGGGTGGGGTGTAAAAAATAATTTGAATGTTACCTCTGAACTCATAACTGGGACTTGGAGACCGGGGGTGGAAATCCAGTGAGATAAAGTTTTGTGGCTTTGGTTTATCTTCAAAGTTACACTATTTCCTTTAATATAGTGTGCATGTATATAAGCCAGAATGGGAACCATCCTATGGGATTTTTATTTTTAGTCTCTATATACAAATTGTATTGCATTACTTGCCGCTGCAAACATAACACTCTGCGCCAAGTTTTTATTGAAAATCTGTCTCCTACATACCACTCAGGGGATTTAAAGTTTGTTTAATTAGCCAATATTCTAAAAGTTATGTGGAGAAAAACATAATTTGAGAATCTAGACATCTACGAAAGTTGTAATTTAACAGCATAGACATACATCAGTAGTTTGTGAGAAAGTGGATGCATTTGCTCAAGTAAAACTTTAATATATATTTCACTTAATTTCTATAACTCAAATCACTGTCTCAAATAAATAAATAAATTATATTTAATATAGATGTTAATGTGTTTGTAAAAAAAAAATAATGTAAATTATCTATAAAATTCTGACACTCCTTTATAAATTATGATTTGTGTTTTGTGCCATCAAATCATTGTAGACACATATCCTGATTAACCTTATGTTCCTGAAAAGCATAATTTTCATTACAAATGCTTTGAGATTTGGGTGTGTTCATAGCTACAAGCCTTGGGTGATCTCACACTGAGAGCAGACACATGCAGGGGACTGTGGATGTGAGCACAAAATGATAAAAGAAAATTCAATTTCCTTTGTGTGCACTGGCAAATGAAATCATCTTGTACTTTATTTTTCAATTGACTGTGTCCCAAGCTAAAAGAGCATCATTGCTCATTTGGTTCCTGTGTTGAAGAATTGCCTTCTTTGTTTTTTCTTGCTAACTAAACACTATTTTCTTCTGTTACAGCCATTTCAGTTTCCAGTCATCCCTACTTTGGACGAAGAGATGATGAAGAGTCAATGTAAGCTCATAAACAACAGCAAAATATAAGCTTATGTTTACTTATATTTTCTTGCATAAAAATACGGCAACCAAAGGAAGAATGCACTTTTCATCCACTACACAAAACCTTAAGATTCTGATACTGTTATGAAGTAATTAATTATAAACTTAATTTGTGTCATCAAAGTCAAAGTAGTTTCAGGGCAGTGCACAGGTATTTACCCATATCTGATTTTCCAAATGGATTTCTCGGGGTTCGCATTATTGATTAGTCTCCTGATATAATGTGTGTTTACCCTGAAGGTGGCAGGGAGCTGGATTGATTGCACCCTGCTTCCTAAAACTTACCGAAAATAGCTGTTGATGTTCAATAAAATATTTTGTATAAACTGAATACAAAAACATATTACTCACAGTGATGTATATGTGTACTGGAACTTAAAACTGTTAAAAATATTTAATTAGATCTTAATAATATGATGTCCTTCAGTAGTATTGCAAGACTATAGCAACTGAATGCTGTTTTTGCAATTATTCTGTTACAAACTACAGTCCACACTGCAAGTGCCCTATACCTCCCCTTTTCTCTGGGGGGTTGTGCTTTGTAGTTAATGTATTGATTTGGCTGCTGCTAAATCTATAGTTTGCTTATTACAGTAAATCTCACAATGTGGTAGCTATACCCCAGAGACCAAGGCATCCTGGCTAAAAGCTTACTCAGTACCTGTTGTCTGCTATTCTTTGCACTTTCTTCCTAATGCCCACCACATATTCAGACTTTCTCCTCTTTTTTCTGAAAACAGTGTTAATTCATTTTATTTTGTATGCCTTCAATGACCAAATGTCATTTATTTTGTAAATGTTGTACACAGGCAGTTTGTTATTCGGAGGGCAGGATGCAGCGATGAATCAAAGTCTCCCTCTTTGTCTGAGGTCCCCAATGGACTGCGCTGTATGCCTAGCAGCTCACCACAATCTCAGTCACTATTCAAGAACTCCAGAGTGAATTTAGACTCCCCGTATCAACCAACGGCAATTATCTAGTCAAAACTGAGGAGGCAAATACAACTCTTTTGACCCAGCTGCATATATATTAATGAAATTCTGTTTATTGCAAGCCACATGAATAGTTCAAATGAGCGGGGTCACAGCAGGGGGGGTATTATAATTGGTTGCTATAGTCTAAAAGGTGATGTTTTTATTACGTTGGATTGCCTCATCTTGTGAATCAGCATGAGGACCATAAAGTGCTTTAAACACAAGAAACATAATGACAGCATAGGGTTGCTGAAAAAGTTGCAACATTTCAATGTACATACTAATTATTACAGCAGGTCCAAAAGTTTTAATACAAAAAAGTCTGACAAAAGGTACACTTTTTCTCCCAAACTAAGGGTATAGAATATTTACTAAGCATTTGTGTGTGTGTGCTAACTGCATTGGACACAATAAAAGCTTATGGATGTAGTTGAGATTAGCGTATCTTATAGACACTTTACAAACGCAGTGCAGATTTAGCACCTGCCTTAGTAAATATCACGTCACTTTTATTCAGACAGGCATTTGGTACGTAGTCGCTGCTGGTTAGGACACAGACCTGTCTGTACATCACTTTAAGTATTTTATTATGTGTTATACAATTGAACCAAAACATACTTACATTAAGGTTAATTATATATTCACTAGCAAGGATCACACCATAACAATGGAATATGATAAAGATATTTATTGACGATGTGATTGCTGGGGGGAGACTCTGGATGAAGATTCTGTCTCAGGTGGTCAGCCCAGTCGATTCAGCACCCCCCATGGAGAGGAGCAGGGGGAGGTTGAGGCATGACTCTTGAATCTCAGTCAGTCATATTCACTCTGCTAATTCAGTATAAACCAGTAAATGCTGCATATTTGACTGTGTTCAAGATCAATTTTTTGACTAAAACGAAATAAAAATCTGTATGTATTTTACTGGTGCAACATAGAAATAAGTGAAGCGTCTTAATGAGTATCTTTGACAACTTTACAGGCCACAGTTTATTTAAATATCAAAAAGAGCTACTATTAGAAATAAAGGTGCACTATGTAACTTTTCTGCTAGAGGATGGCCACCTCGTTGTCTCACAGACATAGTAGGATATTGCTATGGTATTAAACATATCTTACTCCATGGAGACAAGAAAGTTACACCACCAGACCAACTGACATGCACATAGTAAGAATACATGTTTTTCAAGGTATGTTTTGAGCAATAAAACATCTATAACTGTATAAGGTTTAATACCATATCATGTGGGACATGCAAGGCAAAGCAGACATAAAAGTTATGTAGTGTATTTTTAAAAATGGCCTCTATCATGAATTGGACATGGCAGGTGAAATGGGGGAAGACCCTAAATGTGTGTCTCTTGTGTTTCGTATTGTTTCTACTCCATTAGATTTAACACATCCGTCTTGTCTGTCTGACAGTGTCCAAGGCATGCTCCAGATCATGGTAGCTCTGTGTATACTGACGGGGTACTCCATCACCACCGCCAGCTTTGCTACCTACGAGGTCAATGAACACCACAGCGGCTCAAAGAGGCTGCAGCACATCGCTGGAGTCAGTGAACCCTTTTACTGGGTGGTCAACTTCTTCTATGACATGGTAAAATACTATTCTGATTAAACAAGGATTGGTTCATTTAATCACACTATTTAGTCAAATTATGTCTCACACTACAAAAAAGACTTGATTAAATTAAATAGGTCCCTTGAATTTTTTTTTTTTGTAGTTTGCATATTCTTGAAGTTTTTGACTAATCACTTTTTTTTTCTCATTGTGTAAGAAAGTGAAAAACATGTAAAATGTATCACTTGGTCTTTTTGCATTTTCATTTCTAATTTATATTCAAATGAGTCATATATTAAAATTTTTTAATTCATAAATTACATTGCATATTTTATACTATATATAATTAAGTTTAATTTTAATTAGTTAGTTTAATTTTAAACTCTTATAATTTCCACATGTTAACTGTAACCTTGTTTATGATTTTTCTTGTATTTCACTCCATTTTTCACTTTCACTGATCACAATGATTCTATTCAGTGAAGTAACACAATTTTGTGACAAAATGGCTGGAGCTTTCAGTAGTAAATTGCCCAAATTTCCATATGATTGCTATTGTATGATTTTTATATCAAAACATTGCCTATTTTAATGGATAATTCAACAAAATCACAAGAATCCAAATATGGCAAATTGGAATTTGTCCTTTTCTTTTTGCAGGTCATCTATCTGATTCCTGTGGCTCTGACTGCTGCAGTGATTGCAGTCTTCCAAGTACCAGCTTTCAATGATCGGCAGAATTTGGCAGCTACTACTATGCTCCTGATTCTTTTCGGGTATGTTTTTTTTTTTTTTTTTTTTACCCTGAACCTGATTGTAGTTTGCAGCTCTCAATAATTCTGATAGCTGGTTAAAGTTGTATTTGTAATTCTATATTGCATGTAATCAGTTAAACAGTAGGACACCTTGTATGTATCTCTTGGTTTATTGATGTATGATACTCACAAATTAATCATTTTATTGGAATGTTTTATGAATGATTAAGTTAATGGAAATACTTAAGTAAGTAAAATGGAACAAAGAACAAAACATTGGTTAAACTGTAGTTTTAACAAAATATATTTTTTCTCTTACTGTAATTATTATCAACGTCAAAAGTGTAATTATGATGGAGGTTGAGTCACACAAGTAAATCTGCAATACGTCTACAGCATATGCAGGTCTTGTGCTGTTGCCTTGGTGCCTGCCCTGAGCCCTACATTTTCACAGGCCAACTCAGCATTCTGCCTCTCATCTATCAGACAGATGTCTCTTTCCCAAGCAATGAATAATCACAGTGCTCCATCTGTCTGTGCGCTCACACCTGGTCCGGACTGCAGCCTCCCCACTTCTGTTTCCTGTCATAGCTTGGCATCCAGCGTCTGCCGACCAAGCACCTTTTTTGGGCATGCCACCACGACGCTTTGTCTTTGTCAGGCTCTGTTTGTGTTTGTGGCTCATGTCTGCTTTCTGCACACACCTCCTATCTTTTCTTTTTAACTCGCTCCTCCTTTGTCTCTTATCCTCTCTGTCGGTCCGACCTGGGCACCCCAATCAAGCGAACAAGTCGATTATGTGAAAGAAAAAGACAGAAAAACAAAAAAGGAAAAGGGATGTTTTGCCACCAAGGGAATAAAGGCAGAAGTGATTTATCTTCATCTTATTTGGTGCCAGCACTGAATGTTTATCCTCCGCCGAGTCTACACTGGTATTTTTCTGAAATTTTCCTCAGTTTCAGTAGACTATGGTGCCTATTTTCATCATCTTCTTTGTGTAGGTTGTACACATCAAAATGCTTCATTTTGAAACAAGGCTGCGTAATTTATTTTTCTATGAAATGCAACATATTTTTACAATATTCTCTCCTTTTGCCTCTCTTCTAGGTTTTCCACGTTTCCCTGGATGTATCTCATGTCCAGTTTGTTCAAAGATGCAGAGATGGCCTTCATCATCTATGTTTGCATCAACCTCTTCGTCGGTGTAAACACCATCATACCAACCTCCATCCTCTACTTCATGGGGCAGATTACACAGCAAAATACTGCGGTACTGACATATTAGATGGCTTACTATAAAATGCACTCACCAGGCATGCTGTTAGGTACATCTGTTTTGAAACGCAAATGTCCGTTGAGTTAACTACACAAAACCAAATGTAGTCCACAAGGTTAAATTGAATAGAAAAGAAATGGTGTTTTAGATTTTTGGGTTTATTTTTATTTTTAAATAGTCTGACCATTTCTATTTGAGCCTACCACTGCTCTGTCACTCTCTTTGTTTTCAGTTCAGTAAAAAGGCTGTAAAGCTTTGAGACTGTTTTGTCTTGAAACTCCAATAGGTCAGTCATTAAAAAAAAAAAGTCAATCCCGTGTAGGTCCTTTTCAGAGGCACTTAAATCCCCTTTCTTTTGCACTGGCTACCTGTTTGAACTTCCGCTTGTGTCTAAACCAGTCAATTCTGGGTGATGCATTTAAATTCTACGGGACTTTTTAGACATTATATTCCTCAATGTATTTTGTTATATAATCCACGTATTGCATTTATTTTTGACTCTGTTCTTTAATGCTGTTTTGTTTTCCTCCCACAGAGCCTGAAAGTCATCTTTGACAGGCTAAGCTACGCCTTCCTAATCTTCCCTCAGTTCAACTTCGGTAATGGGCTTTTGGAGTTAGCGCGAACGAACATCCAAGTGCAGCTGCTGAGTGGCTATGGTATTGATGCGTACAAGGACCCTTTCTCCACCGAGGCCCTGGGCTGGATGATGATCTCCTCCTTCATTCAGGGAGTTGTCTTCTTCACACTGCGACTGCTCTTGAACAAATACATCATGCGCAAAGTCAGGTCAGTGGTAACAAGCATTACCCAGTGCCAATCATGTTTCTTGTTTCCTAGCACTGAAATTCATAGAAGACTGCTCCTTTCAACTTTTCAACTGAATTTATTCATTTAATTGTTCATTCAGCTAGAACATTTTGTTTTGTTTTGAATTGTACATCCTTAATTTCCTTTGTGGATCAATAAAGTTTGTCTAAGTCTAATTTAAGATTTGGGATGTGCCGCTCCTGTCACGGGTTTCAGGTAGATGCATTTTTGCCTTTATAATGGCCATTTTGAGAGCCTTCAAAAAGTATGACAGGCATGCTTTGAATTATTTTTTGTTACAACATTCGTTCTAATTTTATATCCGACCAATGATAGCCAAGGAGTCTGTGTAAAAAAGTTAAACTCTGTGGTAAGACATTCACACATTTTCTGCACATCTCAGCTTACTCTACCCCCACCAAGCCCATAAAGATGATAAAAAATATAATCCTCAAGATTCGCTGGAGGAAAATATGTTTTATTCTGCATTCTGTTTTACTGTGATATATACAGATCGACAATTTTCTCCTGAACTAAAAGATCCCTGTTTTTCTTCCAAAGAGATACACCTTTAATGATTCTTTTAGAATAACCATGCTGTTGTTTTCTCAGAGGCCTGATTCTAAGAAGAAAGGCAGTGCCTCTCGTGCCTTGTGTTGAGGAGGATGAGGATGTGGCAGCTGAGCACCTGCGGGTGTCCAGTGGAGCAGCGAGCTCAGATGTGCTGCAGGTGAACCAACTAACAAAGGTCTATCAACACCTCAACAAGAAGGTCCCTGCTGTGAAGAAGCTGTCCCTGGGTGTTCCTGCTGGAGAAGTGAGAAAACAAACACATACACTGTTTATTTCTTTTACCAAATTCAGATCACATTCAAAGCTAGACCAAACCATTACTTGCATGTTTAATTCAAAATGGACTTGTATAATTACGCATTGATGATTACAGTGATGTTAAGGTCCGTGCAATTAATAAAAAAATATATATATATATATGTCTAACTGTCAGTGATTTACTGGGTCTTTGTAATGGTGAGATTTGGTGTCAGTCCTCTGTCAGTGAAAGTATGTGGTTTAGAATTTAAATTTGACTTTTTTGTGTGTTAATTGCAGTATTTAAAAGTCTGTATTTTTAAAGTTCAGAATGTTAATTTTGAAAGCACATTTTATTTGTTTCCATTTTAAAATCTAAATTAATCAATATGAGGAGGAATATGAGAAAGATAATAAATCTTTTTGTGTGAAATTGCCCAACCCTAGTTATAACTACTGCAATGTTGTATTTACTGACAAAACTCTGTCCACAGTGCTTTGGTCTGCTGGGAGTGAACGGAGCAGGAAAAACAACCACCTTTAAGATGTTGACGGGAGATGTCAGCCCCACGGATGGCACAGCACAGATCAGGGACAGAGATGGGTAATTTCTTATATTTGTATTGCTAGGTTTCAGACATTACAACATTCTTTAGGCCAATAATGTTTAATTCAGATGAGGGGCAGCTAATATAAATAATGTTATTATGCAGATTATGTTCTAGTAGTCAATGTAGTCATTAATAGAAATAATTAAGTTCAGCATTTGTGAAGTTACCTTTTACATATTTCATGACAAAATACAATGTTCTTATTAGGAAAATCTTGCTCTTGCCCCCCACTATAACGTCATTACACTTTAGAATCTGAAGACCACCAATACGCACATTGTGACAGCCCATAACACTGTGTACTTCTGTTAATGTGACTTGACAGCTATTCTACAAGACAATATATATGTGAATAACATCCTTGTGAACCTTATTTAAATTAATAAACTATGCTTGAGCTTTAATGGTAACAACAGCACACTTAAGCAGACATACCCATAGGAACACTCTTAATGTTTTTCCATGTACTAAGTATGTTCAACGTAATGTTTATGTTTTCCCCATAGACGCCTGGTGGATATAATAGAGTGCCGTAACCAGGGAGTGAACATTGGATATTGTCCTCAAGTGGACGCCCTGGACGATCTGCTGACTGGAGAGGAGCACTTGTACTTCTACGCTCGCCTCCATGGCATTTCAAAGAGAGACATACCCGGGGTAAGGCAGAGACTCTGTGCCATGTTTCAAAAACCCAGTGACAGCACCATCTACCAAATGACACCAGATCAGATAGAAATTCAAAAGTGCACTTCCACGGCAGGACTAGTGCCTGCTAATGCTCCGGTGAATAGTGAATGGAGGCGGGTGTGTGAAGTGTTGAATGATGTGCAGCGAAAGCTCTAAACTGTCTCAAAATATAAAAACCTCTCTCTTGTCAGCTAGTGCACTCCAAACTTCAGAATCAAGCTGATGCTGTGCGGTTTTGTCATCTACAAATTTACATTTAAACGATTTGTTGTTGATGAGGGGATCTTATTTGACATGTCACTACAGCCCCTTTCATCCCATTTATCAACCTGAGGACTAATCAATCTTGTTTCTTTGGTGATTACCGAGTGAGCCTTTCTTTCCTTCTGCTACTGGCATCAGTGTGATATGCTCCAATTGGATACAACTTCACATTATACAATACAGTTGCACAAAAGCTCCTTGTTTAGTCTGATTTACCTAAGTAATTGTATTCAAGGTCTGCACATTCGTTTGCAACAAATTACAGATATGAATTCATCCATGAACACTGAGGATTGGTCTTTATGAGCACTTTTACATCATCGGTAATGGCCTTGGGTCTCGGACGCAAACACCGAAAACAATGGTTATAATGGCCAGCACATCTGCGTCAGTCTAATTCACAAAGATGGTGTCATATATGGAGTCTCTTATGTGGCATCACTGTTCCCTAGCTACACATAATGAGACAGGCTCTAATGGGGTCATTTCACATTGACATGGTTGTGTCAGGCGTAATGAGGTGTTGCATCAAAGCTGACGGTAAAGGCTTTTATTGCAGAATGCACCAAGAAACATGTTTTGATTTTGATCAGGTCAAAATACTGTTCTGTTGCCTGTTGTGCTATAACATGTCTTAAATGTTTGCAAATCTACTATCAGTAAACCAGTTCAAGAATGTAAAATTTACATTACTGGCATAGACAATCATTTATATTAAACTGAATTATCAAGGTCCATTGATCTGTAATTGCTCCACTTTTCTCAGTACTATATCTATTTAATACTGAAATAATAGTTTATGCCTTTCTGAGAAGTGAACTCAAAGTACAAAGAAAAATCTAAATCTATTATAAAGAGATAGCTGTTGTAAACTGAAGTACCAAGCAAGGCAACTACATAAGAATTTTGCAGCAACAGTGGAAGTACTCAGTGTTTAACCTTTGCATGTTTTTATTTGCAGTTGGTGAACTATTTATTAAGGAGGCTGGAGCTGGACCACTATCGAGACACCATCAGTGACAATTACAGTTGTGGCACCAGAAGGAAGCTGTCCACTGCTCTGGCTCTAGTCGGACACCCACAGATCCTGCTTCTGGTAAGAAAGCAAATTCAAATTCTTCAATTCAATTTAGTTTATTGCACATTTAAAGCAACTTCAGCAGACCAAAGTGCTTCAAATGAAAGTCAATAGCAATTTTAAGGACAATACAAGCACAATAACACCATACATAGTAAAAGTAGAGTAGAGAAGAGAGCATGTAAAATAAGATTAAATACCAAGACAGGTTCCTAGTCAGACATTGTTAGAGCTTGGCATACAGTAAATGTGGGTTTGTGTATGTTGTGTATGTTAACAAAAGTGGAAGCAGCAGTTATGCGAGTACTAAGAATTCTAATAGCAGTATACATTATACTAGTAGCATTAGTAGCAGTATACATTAGTACTACTAGTAGCAACAGTAGTATAGGTAATATAGTTGTAATTATTGTAGTAGGAGTAATGTATGCCAATGGAAATGCAAGTAAAGTTTACACAACTGACCTTCAATAGATTTTGTGGCATACCTGCCACTTAACTTATCAAAGTGTTTTACTCCTCCAGTATACATTTTTCTATAATAGTATTAGATTATAATCTATAGAGCTTCTGCTAACACCCTATTCCTTTTTGTCTGCATTTTCAGCTTTGTTTATCCTTCTTTCCATATAATCACAGCACCTCTTTGCTGCATATTACACTGTTCTCATACCTCCCATATCTTATTTTACTTTTTGCTGCCATCTCAGTCTCTGTTCAGACTCCCACTCATTACTCTACTTCATGTGTCTCAGGATGAACCCAGCTCTGGGATGGACCCAAGAACCAAACGCCACCTGTGGAAGATCATCTCCGATGAAGTCAAAGGCAAATGTGCCGTGGTCCTCACTTCACACAGGTCAGAAACATTAAATCTGGCCATTCTAGTTTGTAAAAGCATTATTCAAAGAATACATTTTGTAATTTATAAATTTAAGGGATTAGCAATTATTGGTGATGGAAAGTTAGCACAGCTGCCAAAACAAATAAAAATTCAAAATAAAAAAATACACGGTATATCTCTTAAATGGTATGGTAAAGTACTCAAATTTCAAATTTTCACCAGATAAAACCTGTGAATTGTATTTTTAATGGTACTCAGACTATTACTCAATGTACAATTTAATTGTTGTACATAAATGTTTTATTTTGCTACATCATACATATAGTCAATTATTTTAAAAAATCTAAATTTTTATTATACTCCAAAAGATTAACTAACATGTACATGGCACAACAGTCAAGGTTGATTAAAGCATTATTCAGGCACCATTCAGTCAATAACTACTGATTTCCCAAATTTCCACTATATTTGCATGTTCTAATTATTCCTCTCCGCTATAAAAATCAAGCTGGTATTTAAATAGAAGTTAATTCCCTTTTTACACGGGGCATAGATAATTACTGAGTGCAGCAATGACCTTAAGTGACCCCTGCCCTCTCTTTGTGTCTTTGTATCTCAGCATGGAGGAGTGTGAGGCTCTGTGCGGTCGTCTTGCCATCATGGTGAAGGGTCAGTTCCAATGCCTGGGTTCCCTGCAGCACATTAAGAACAGGTTAGTGACCCCTCTTCATCCTCCAGCCCAGCCATTGCCGTCTCTGCTCCCCTGTGCCCGCTCCCCTTCATTCCTCCCTGGTCTATCTGTGCTCTTTTGTGCAGTGCAATACAATGCTCTATTTTTCAAGGAAGAACTGTGTAACAACATTCTCCCCCAGACTCTACTTTGTTCATAAAAATGTTCCTTTCCCTTCAGGTTCGGCAGCGGGTTCACAGTAAAGATGTACTTGGCCAGAGCCTCTTGTGATGCAGAAGCAATCACTCAGTTCATGCAGAGCCGATTCCCCAGCACTTATCTCAAGGTGAGCTTTGCCAGCTATTTTGTCTAAGCATGATTCTACTCCATGCTTGAACAAAGGGACTATAGTAGAACGACAGATAAAAATTCAATCCTATCCTAAAAACTGTTCTCTAAATCACAAATCACTAGCATTATTTTTTGTAACTAGATTCTTTCTATGGAGCAGTAACTGATTTTATAAGGTACTTATAATATTACCAAGGCTAGATGCCATATGACTGAAGACAAAATAATGAATAATCCTCTTCATAAAAACAAATTTCATCTATATTCTTCTTATTAAAAATATATTATCAATTTATTGAAGCTCATATTTTTAATGCAGATCTTGTATTCTCTCTTTCTTTTGTTGTGCCATTGTTTGAAATGGTTGTGCTCTATGTGCTCTAAACAGGAGCGACACTCAGCAATGGTGGAGTACCATGTGCCGATAGCTCCAGGTGGAGTGGCAGACATCTTTGGTCAGCTCGAGTCTAGCAAAGAACACCTGGAGATCCAACACTTCTCTGTGAGCCAGACAACACTGGATGAGGTGAGAGCACAGATGTGGCATAAACAGAAAGGTCAATGGAGCGGTACAGTGCAGTTTTGTATAAATTTAGCTGCTGGGAGAAAAACTGAAAATTAGGACAAGAGATGAGACAGGACAAGGGAAAGCTGGGACAGACGAAAGCTGTGTGGGAGTGAAAAAAAAAAAAACAGAGTTGAAAAGTTAAAAAGAGACGGAGAGGAGCTGACAGGGGATATGCCTCAGGGAGAATAAATTGAATATGAGTTAGGAGAGAATCCATGAGCTTTATATGCAGCTACTGCTGATATTCTTCAGCCAGTCAGCCCCTCTGGCACTGTGGGAACAGGACATACCATGAGCAGAGGACCCAGAGGGGTGCAGCAGCAGCAGATGATTCAGATGAACCAAAATACTGCCCTTAATTCAAGGTGTAAATTGATCATCTATAGAATGCCTAGGCAGGCATTATACACCTCATCAGTCCTATATGTAACCTATACTATGATTTGACTGTAACATAACACCAGCTAGGAATGTCAGAATGTCAAATTTTAGTATTGTGATAATAGTGAGGAAAAAAAACAAAAACACAACGATTAAATAATTACTTTCTCCTTGACTTCCTGACCAAATGATATCTTTGGAGAACTGATATGTTTTGGAGAACTGATATCAAGGCATAAAAAAATGTCATAAAGCTAAAGTAAGGCTAAGCATTAAATGACACTTTTGTGTGTGTGCATACCATTTGCATTTTATTAAATTGTATACTGGGTATACTTTGCCAGAGATTCCCTACTTTGCTTACTTTCTATGTAATGCCTGATTATGAACGTACACATACCTTGAACTAATTGTTGTTCTGGTCATTTACAGGTCTTTATCAACTTTGCTATGGGGAACTTTGGGATGGAATCCATAGAGACTGATGATAAGTTTGATGATGACATCTCCATGAAAGACATTGAAGCTTAGAGTCGAGTCCTTTTGTGAACTGTACATCCTATGTAAAATACTCCTGTGATTATGACATCTACATACAATATATATCTATGACCAATAATAATACAAATTATATGACATGTAATTATTCTTTTTACAATTTGGTTTATGAAATATATATACTTATAACTGGGGATTCATGCAATTTTATTTTGAAATGTTATTATGGATATATATGATAATTTATGTTAGTATTTCAAAATATAATGCCATACTACATTACTAGGTTATATGCAGAAATTTGCACCTTACTTTCATAAATGAAGACATTTTCTTTGAGCACGTTTTTCACTAAATCAAATTTTTTTATTGTATAATTTTCTTTTATCAATGTATTCTACCCTATTTTTATAATTCTAATAAAGCAATTCATTCCAAGTGCCTCTTTTTTCCTTTCAAACCACATCACAGCCTGATTAGTCCTATGTTACACTCTTAACTCTTCTGAGTTTTAAGTCAGATTAGAACATTGTATCATTAAAAACATGCCCTGTGTTGTGTTTTGTTTCATTCTCATGTTTACCTCTCCAATCTCAAAATGCTCTGTTCCATCTTGTGATAACATATACTGGTAGTTTTCAAGTTAATAGCTACCTTTTTACCTTTTGTTTAGCAAAGATTGGCAAATTCAGGGCTGATGATTCTAGTCAAGGTGTATGGAGTTTAAAAACAGGAGTATGAGTGTTTTCTGTTAGTGCGAAGAACTCTAAGAACTAAATATTCAGGATTTGTGTGTTAAACGTGTGAAAGAAATTTTAAAAAGTCCAGGTAGAAAAAAAAAATCAAATAATAGTATAGTTCAAATAATAGTATAAAAACAAAACATTTAAAACATTTTATTATATTATTGTTTAGAACTGTCTATCTAAACATAGTCCAAACAACAGAAACATAAATGACACAAAAACGAAGTAAACCGGTACATTTATTTTGAAAGGGAGATACGTCTGTTTGATTACGTCATTACGGTTACGCAGCTGAACATTTCCGCAAATTTCAGGCGCGAAATATTGAGGTGTATTACTGGAGTTGTTATCCATGTTGTTATCCTAGAAAAAGACAACAAATCTGATTCGGCATTAAAACAGAACACAAAACACATGTTGACAATGGACAGTGATGTCCTGCAAACTCCGACATGGGCGAAAACCAAAGAAGCGATTACAAACTTCCGAAGACTTCTGCTGTGCTCCAAATGGTTGGTTTCAGCTGCCTTATAGTTAGCAAATTGTCCTGTTCACGATTTCAACGCTGTTAGCCAATGTATCTGCAATTTACAAATGATGATGCCATTATATTAGCTATTGCTTTGGTTACTTGCTGACTGAGATTCCCAGTTTCTGTGTTAATTCTGTGTCGTCATTCTCAAGTAAAAATGTTTTTGTAATTTGTATTTCCTGCATTTTTGGTCTAGCTCGCATTTAATGAAGGACCCTGTTTGTCTGGGAATGTGTGAACATTTGTTATGCAGGTAATAACGTATTTTTCAATAATTAAACAGTTTTACAATGCGTGTTAAATATTTCTTCAAATTATTATTTTTTGTATTATTAATCTCACCTTTAAAAAAAGTCTCGCCTCTTTAATTTCCATGAATTTAACTATTACTACTAATAACTATTACTATTGTTGTATGTTCAGATTTGCTTTTACTTCTAGCTGTTAAATGAGTAGATCTTAAATTGTTGTATTTATGCTTACCATCCTTCAGTCCAGTTGATGCTTTGGTTATAATAATTGGTGTTTAATGTCTTGTGTAGGTCCTGCGCTGGTTCCAGTGCAGGCGATGGGTGCGTGGTGTGTCACAGTCCTGCTTGGGTGAAGGACATCCAGATCAACAGGCAGCTGAGTAGCATCATAGAGCTATTCTGTGGTCTGGAGGATCTCATGAACCCAACGCAAGACGGTAACAAATCTGTATTATGTTTATATGTATCCCATGTCTGATCCATAGGATTACATAACTTTGTGGTGGAGGGTTCTCCACCTGTTTCTCCTTAGAGATGTTATTTGATTTTTCATGGAATGTTTCACAGTATGGAATTAATTGCTAATGAATACCTTGAAAACATGTATTATTTTTTACTTATCTATTCTGACTTTGGAACATTCCAGGGACAGCAATAACACCTCTATGAAAGGTAGACCACCACCAGAAATGTTGCATTGTGCACCTTTTTGAAATAAAAAAATGCATAATTATAAGACAAATGTGTCACTTTAGTGTATGAATATTATAATATATATTTATAAATAATATTCATTTTAATTTTTTTCTCTGCTAATTCTTGTCCATGTATTGATAAATGTAAGGTTTTAAGATGATGTGCCAAATCAACATATAAATACTCCCACACTACAAGACAGATAGGAGAGGTAGACTTGCAAGTTCAGTTTAAATTTGTTATCTTTCTCTTTACCTTTTGTTGTAAATAGTTTCTTGTGTTGAGCCTTTTAGTAGACATTGTTACTGATTTATTACAGATTCAACAAAACAAGAAACACCTGTCTCTAACCAGAAGAAGAATTTCAAAATTTGGTTCAGTCCACGCAGTCGAAAAATCCGCTGTCTGGTGGAAAAACCTTCAGAAGGCACAGCACCAGAGAGCAAGACTCCTGGAGAAACCACTGCTGCAAACACTACAAATGCATCGAAAGACCTATCAGTCTTTAATTTTACTTCCTCCTCTCAAGACTCTGGCTCTAGTAGTCCACAAATGTGCAACTCGAGCACAAGAAACAAAAGACAAAACAAGAAAAGTGCTCCTAGCAGAAAACAGCCATCAGCGCATGCTACTGTTCACGCCCAACAGAAACAGAGCGTGCAGAAGATGAGGAGGCTGCAGGCTATAAATCAGCAGTGGGGCATCTCGGAGGGGCCCATGGCGTTAAAGGATCAACCATGCAGGGAGCAGCCACACAGGTCTGGTAAGAGGGTTTCCTTTGGAGGCTCTGCTGTCAACTCCGACCAGCCCCAGGGGACTAATAATGAACTCAGCCCTGGCACTGTGACTGGAACTATCCCGGAAACTATATCCAGTGACCGAGTAGCCGAGTCTAACACTGAAATAGTGGACAATTTGGACCAGAGGACCATAGCTCCTCCAAACGAATGTGAGGCAGAGGACGATGCAGAGAAAAAGGAGGAAACTGAGCCTTCTCCTGCTATGAAAAAATCAAGGATGGAGGAAGGCCACTCTTTAGACATGACACCAAAACGTCCCAGGACATCACCAGGGACCAGGAGGAGGTCGGGGGGTCGTAGGATTTCCTCTGTCCTCTCCTCTCCGTCTTTGTCCAGTCCTGCAGGTTCAAAGGCAGCGAGGAGCCCCAGAGTGGAACTTGGAGACAGCCCATCCTCCTCCCTGGGCAGTGTCAGCAGAAAATCTCCCCGCCTCTCCTGTGGAAGCCCTGCGGTGATGAAGAGAAACCATAAGGGAGAGACGCCGCTGCATATAGCTGCCATAAAGGTCACCAGGTTCCAGAATAATTTGAGATATTATGAATATTTTAGATTGAAATCTCTAGTTCGTTTTAACTCACTATATAAAGGTGCTACTATAAAAGTAACAGTGTGTTTTATACATTTAGGATTTTGTATGTGAGTTGTAAAGGTCAGGAATGTTTCAAAGCTAAAACTATTTATTCATGGGTTTCACAATGATAAACTAGAACCATTGTCATAGTGATTAACAATTTAAAATAAAATGGGCAAAGCAAGAATGATGCATATAAGGGTAAGCAGAAATTCATGAATAGCAAACTAATCTGACGTTTGTACATACGTAATTGCTCAAATACCCTTTTCACTTAAAGCAATTATTAATCTTTTGTGGATCCTTTTAATGCTCTCAAGCCTCAGAAGAACAAAGAGACTAATCTGATCCCTGTAAAACATAACTATAATCCCCCACAGGATCCAGGACACAGTAATCAATGGCCCACAGTGGAGTGTGTGATTGATAGGAGCAGGGTGTTAGTGCTGTAGGATCAGTGCCTGTGTTTGAAGCCATGCATTTACAGGTCTCTACATCTGACCTCTTGTTTTGTTGTTTGGTCTGCAGGGAGACGTAGAAGCTGTCAAAGAACTGCTGGAGCAAGGGGCAGACCCCAACCTCAAGGATAATGCTGGCTGGACACCTCTGGTACAGTCAAAACAGTGTTTACTACTGTCACAATATGCTTTTTCCAATACCTTGCATTCTTTATTCTTTAATCTAGATCCCAGTTAGTTTTTACCACAGAAATAACTATTTTTTCCAGTGGTAAATCTGAGATGGTTATATGGCATGCCAACTACTACTTGCTTGTTTTTTGTTTTTTTTTGTTTTGTATTTTCTGGTTTGTAAAATCCCATTCTTCAGACTTGAGACTTGTACATTTTTATTTTATAATGTTTGTTTTTCCCCAGCATGAAGCCTGCAACCTTGGGCACTTGACAGTTGTGGAAATCCTTGTTTTGAGAGGAGCCCTCCTGAACACGCCCGGCTACGAGAACGATTCTCCTCTCCACGACGCTGTGAGGAACGGACACACTGCCATCGCCAGACTGCTGCTGCAGCTCGGAGCTTCCACAAACGTGCTGTAAGGACTTGGACTAGGCATGTTTTCTTCTGACTGGAACAGCACAGCAAGTCCTGATATATTTATATGTTCTGTCTACAAAAAACTCTGTCTTGCAAAATTTAATTCTGGAAATACCACAGAATAGAACCTCCTGTAGACTCTAAATGCTTATCCTCATACTTGTTTCATGTTTTACCCAGGGCCTAAATACAGGTGATATATCATACATTATTTATGCAAACCTAACATCTTCAACACATACACATTTGCTCTAATTAAAAAAATCTTGCAATCATCACTGTATTTAATTTTAAAAGTTAACCAACAAATTAAGTTTTCAAAGGCATACAAGACTCTGTTCGAGTATATCTTTAACTTGGAAAGATCACCATGGTGGTGCTTCCTTGCGTTATTATTTTCTTTAGATATTGTCCTCACGTGCTGCGTCTTCACCAGTGCATATGTGCTCACTGCCACACACTGTTGGCAGAGGAGCTTGTTTGTATTTACGTGTGCGCAGTGCTGGGGGTATGAATCCAAATGAATTATTTTATGGACCAATGGACCTATTAATTGTCCCCCAGGTGTTATCTTTGCTGACGCCTAATCTTTTAGAGACCTGCTGGGCCTGGTTCTTCTGTTCTGTTCATTTGTCAGGGTTACCTTCATGTTCAGATACTGTTTAATCCAACTAAATAGTCTCCAAACTAGTCTTTGATTTAACAAGGTCATTGAAGGTTATCGGTTTACTTGCTGTAAATATTTTCAATCTGTTGGAATATTGTTGAGAACATTGTATTCACCAGAATCTTTGTCATGTGAAAGCATAATTTTACATACAAAGTCTGTCCTTAGTTTGCCATTCAACCAATTTCATAGCATGAAAATTCCAAGTTATCTTCTGTCTTCTATGTCTTATGTTGTGTAGTTTATTATTGTTGTTAATGTTACACTTGCATTTACTTTTCATTATATCTGGCAGATTATTTTCAGTGCAAACAGATGTAACTATGTATATACGTTCTCACACAGAATGAACTTTTCCGTTTCAATTTTCCCTGTATATTTGTCTTTGCAGTAATCTGTATGGAAAGAGGCCTGCAGATTATGCAGTCAGTCGTGAGATGCTGGAGATTTTCCAGGAAGCCACTGAAGGAACTCCAAATGCTAATACCACACTGAGCCCTGCCATGGTATGCATTTTTAATTTCCTGCTACAAAACAAACGTGTCTAGCATATTTCTACTAATGTAGATGTACAAACTTATACAACATGTCATATATTCTCTTAGGTAAAAAAGAGCGTGGACAGAAGCGACGAAACACTGGTGGTGATTCTGTCCAGCAAGCTGTCATCGAGCGAACAGCAACAACTCGCCAAATTGGGACAGCTGCTCGGGGCGAGAATGGCCGACACTTTCACTGAATCAGGTACCGTTTGTTTGACGACATCATCAACATGCACAGACCTGTGGCCCATTCCAAATAACTGATTACTGCTTACGTATTAACTACATAGGACAATTTTAACATATTAGATCACACATTAAGTATCAAAAAAACAAAAGCTTTAATCTTTTCTTTGTGAAAAGTCCTCAAATGTTGCATGCAGGAAACTGAATCCCACAAATAGATTACCTAATGTTTAGTGTATTCCTGGGTTTTAGTCACTCCACTTTTGTTGTTATTGATGCTATTTGGATGCATTTTTACCATTCAATAAAAATTCATTCATTCAAATTATTTTGGCATTGGTTCCAATTTTGCATCACTGTGATACCCATGTGTAAAAAAGTGTGCCTGCACTGTGTAATAGTTATAATACTGGATACTGAATTTTAGCCTAGCATTCCTTATATATATTGTTGAAGAGAATTTTAGGGACTTTATAATCTTCTTGCAGACTTTGGTATTGCAGAAACCTGGTATTAGCTTCTGTTACACTGTCACTCGCTGAGGGTTCAGTGGCAACTTACAAGTGCTTTTAGAGCCATATGCGTCATTATGATTCAGCTGCCTCTTTCACTTGTGCATAGTAATGAATGGGAAAACACAAGAGAGCAAAAGTAATTGAAATCATTCTTCATAAAACGTTAGGAGGTATTGTCTAGGTGATGAATAAGCCTCAATGAAAAAAGCACTCACCACTTTGCTGCCTCTAACTGCAGGGCGCAAACTTTGTTGTTCACAAAAAGGCTGTTTACATTTTGATCTCTAGGCTTTGAATTCTTGGAAACACATTCTGTTTTAAAGTTGTATGAAACAGATTTCCAACAGCACTGCACAATGTTTTCCAAATTTTCCTTTGCTAAGACTTTGCGATTGCTATTATTTGACATTCGCTATTAATGCTTTCTATAAAATCTATGAAAGCATATTCACTAAGTTAAAAAATTTAAATTTATGTTAAAATTTTTCATTTATATTATACATTAATAAAACCCAACTAGTATTGAAACTATACTTATTTTAACAGGTAATGATACAGAATTGTACAAAATTGTGCCTTTCCTTGACAGCTGTACCTTTCCTAATGACTACTGTGTTGAAAAATATATTCTATTGTACAAAAAAGCAGTTTAACTTCACAAAAGTATCAAAGTATCTAGTTGGTATCTAGTCCATTCTTTAATGTCGAAACTGAGTTAGATTATCCTGACAAGATAAATATTCAACATTTTCACCAAGCTCTGATATAAACAAATAGTTATATTTGGTTTGTATGCATGTTTACATAATCCCACATGTATTAGAATGTACGGTTTGGCATTTAGTCGACCCAGTACCCAGCATGTGAGGAAAACTGTTCGTATTCTCCATACTCCTCCTGGGAGACATAACATAAGGTCACAGATCCTATAATGTATGTGTTCCTCGTATGATAAATGTTGTATTTTTTTCACTGGCTATAAAATAACTGGAGCAGTACTATTCCGAAGTTCAGAGGACAAACAAGGACAACAGCAGACTTGGCCCTTTCTGTATACTAGTAAGATCCTTGGTCCTGAGAAATGGCTCTATTTTGGTTTGAACTCCTGTTTCTTTGCCTTTTTTCAGTGACTCATGTTGTCGTGCCAGAAGGACAGATGCCGACTACTTTTAACACCCTACTTGGGCTCTTGGTGGGCAGCTGGGTGGTCAAATACAGCTGTAAGTAATTTTTTTTTTTTTTAAATCATGCTTAACTTCCAGCTTCTTAAATCCGTAATGTAAAAAAGTAGAATAATTTTATGGACGTGAAAAATTGGGACTATGTTGTGACCACAGGTTATATGCCTCATGACTTTATATGGTGTGTGTTTTTAGAAACAATATGACATTTTATATCAGTTACTCTTTTTTCTTAGCAGAAAAAAAGACTGCTGCAGTTAGTATGATAATTGTGGCTTGACTTGGGACTGGCATTTGCAGTGCTCTTTTTTTTTTTTTTTTGCAACAGATTGAATTATTTTAAAAACAGATGAAAATTATTGCCTGTCAGGTCCAAAGTAGACCAAATATTCCCAATGATATTTGATGGATTACCATTAAAATGTCTTTGTATGTTTGAAGAAGAAAATAAAAATAATGCACCAACATATTTCAGTATACAGGAGGAGGTGACAGGTCTGTTCATAATAGTGTATACATAGTGACACCACTCACTTTAAGAAGTTTGGAGTTTATTTGTACTGGGAATCAAAAAATTAAGAAACTAAGCAATAACTATTGTAAAAAGAGATTATGAAACAATTACTTGTTTGAATTTAATTAGACATGTTCCTTCAAAGGGCACCTGAAGACTCCCCACTACTTTGTATCTTTATTTTGTAATGCCATTCTTGGGTTGGAGAGACTTTGTGTAATATTTTTAACCTATTTAATTGTATTGTACAACACTTTGTTCTCAACACAAACATGGCTGGTTGCCTGACATTGATCGTCATATTCGAGACAAGTCAATTTCTCTAGATCACTTTGCCAAAACAATGTAGCTCTGCTTTTCCCTCCTCACAGCACCAACTACAGTGTGTGGTGAATTACAAGCAGCTTGAAACCATTTATGGTCTTTGTAATCTAAATCAATATCTCACAAACAAACTGGGTTTTAGCATTTACAGCCACAGGACACACGCAGGTTCTTATTTGGAGATGCAGGCATTATGTCCTTATTAATTTGCTGTTTACCTAACTGCAGTGATGGGAGTGGGCTGCATGCCTTTGTGGAGATGTTTATTGTGAATGCACGCTGAGCTCTGAGTCCGCTATTCATCATTGTATAACAGAAGTCCAAAGAGTCAGCTGATCTGCATTCAGTCCCACCTGCACTTTCAAATCTGTTTCCTGGAGAGGCCATTTTAAGCACGTGTTGTTATCACTTTTTTCACTTGGAACAAATTGGGAATCATTAAAAGAACAATTTGCAACGTACAATTTCCCAACAAGTAATTCTTGCCTGCTTGTGTGCACACACCTGTTCAAACCGTGGCAGGCGGCGACTCCTGAGGAAATGTGTGAATCACTGTGCCTGAAGACGCTGTAGGATCTCTTGATGAAAAGATGGCAAAGTCTTCTCTCTTGTTTGAGGAATGCTTTGTAGAAATGGTAGCTTGCTTAGTCCTTGGCTCTTTTTGAACCAAGTCAACAAGCAGATATAAGTAAAGAGACTCACTGTCAAGAGTTTGTGGTACCTTGTTGTGCCCTTGACTGCTGTATCTGACCGTGATTTTGCAGCAGTGTTGTGTGGTAAAACAGCAGGCTCACTTCTCATCTTTGTCTCTGCAAAGTAAACCGTTTAAAGTTTGACTGTATTTTGTTGTGTAGATCAGTATTTGAGAGTGCAGAGTCTGTCTCCTCCCCCTCTCAGGAGCTTGTCTCGTGCTGTGCACAGCTCCACCGCTCCCACACAACAATCCCCCAGCATCCTATCAGTGTCTGTCCTTGTGCTCGTCTGCTGAGAAAAGATGTGGTGATTCATGTCAATGTCAGTCTACCATCTCAACTTGAGTCTGGCTCAAGTCTGCATGTGATAAGCTAGACTTACTAAAGTAAACAGTGAGTCTGCTCACTCTATGTGCGTAAGACTGATACAAACATAAAATGACTATGTTAACAGACCTGTATAACTAGATTCTAGATGAGGGTGACTTTATACACTTTGGATAATTTGCATTAACCTGCCACCATAAACTTCTACAATCATTTGAAAAACCAATGATGAAATAATTTTAACTTCTTTCCTTGTGCAGCATGTTAAATTAATTATATACTGCACTGTTTCTCTCTCTGAAATATTGTCAGGCCCCCTGTTGTAGCTTTACTCTAACTCCAAAAATAAGACCCTCGACCAAAGACATTTTTTTAACAAAGTTACAACACATAAAAGAAGTGTGCATCATTAACTCCATCATGCTGCCAGGCATCTTGCTCTGTCCACAAATACAAACACTTGATAACTCTGATAAAACGTTGCTTTGTTAAGCTTGTTACCAGAGATCTGACTGTCAGATTGTTTTGAGCTTGCAGAATTTAAATTCTGACTGTCTTTGATGCAGGGGTGGAGGCATGTCTGCGAGCAGGCGAGAGGGTGCCCGAAACTCCCCATGAAGCTGGAGAAGGCCCCCAGCGCAGTCGCAACAATAGATATAGTCTGGTAAATAACACAAACTCATGATAAAAGGACACTTTGTCTCAAGTATTGGACTGCCACAGAAATATTTTTGGAATAAACTGGTTAATACACTTGCCATGAAGAATGCAGAAGATACTTTAAAACTAATATGCAAATGTGCATTTAATTTTTGGAAAAAGAATGTTAAAAAAAAAAAATGCTGCATTTAATCCCCACTTGCATCAGTCATTTGGATTTCTAAGAACTCTGACATTTGAAGTTGTGTCTTCTGAGAATTATAAAAAAAAAATATCATAATTTCACTTTTTATTTGAGACAAATTTGTCATAACAAATGGTTAAAATGGTGAAATAGTCGCAAGAGTCTCCATACATTTATTTAGGCAGCTTTGCTAAGGACCTCACACCTTTTCCCTCTAGATATGAATGTCTTAAATACAAAGTTTACACACTCACTCTGTATTAGGAAAGCCTTGTTTAGTGACTAGTGATTCATGTTAAATGTCTTTGTAAATTAGAAGACAAGCTAATCCTTCCATTGTTAAGTGGAGTGATCTTCTGCGCATTAAAAAAAAAAAACTGTATTGTCTTTAGAGCTATTGCCAATGCTCTTATCCTCTCACTCTCAAAAATCACACTTATTTGTTTAGTCGCAAACAGTACCAAATGCCTTCTTCTTATTCTTACCTATGTTTAATAATAACAGAGCCAACCATATGTGACTTATAATGGTATCTCTTTTACTGCTTGCATCCCCCAGTTCCATTTTAACCACCAAGTTACTTAAATCCAAAAATAATACTTAAAAATATTGAAACTATTTTAACAATATTTTACCATTCTCCAGCTTCCCCCTCTTTTTGATGGCTGCTTCTTCTTCTTGCTGGGTTCCTTCTCAAGCCCTGGCAAAGAGGAGTTGACCCGGTTGCTTCGGGATGGTGGGGGACAGATCCTGACTCGTCAGCCTAAACCGGACAGTGATGTGACTCAGACAGTGAGTGCGGCTTCTTACCACGCCCCTCCTGGCTCTGACCAGGCCCTGTGCACCCAGTACATCCTGTACGACCCCCACGGCCCACACAAGCCTGCTCTGATCCGGAGAGGCAAAGTGTGGTCTGCCCCCTCCTCCTGGGTCATCCAGTCCATCACAGCTTTCAGACTGCTCCCTGTACCAGAGCCTCAGACTTGAACAACTGCAGTCTAATCCTTTATGCACAGTAGTTATCAGAGCAGATTATCATTAGCAGATTATGATGCTTATTTACTCATACTCACTGTGCCTTCTATGTAATCATGCTTTTTAATGCCAATGCAACCACAATTTTAGTCAACAATCATTTCAACCTTTTGTCATGTTATATTGTATGTTTTTACATTCGGTAAATTATTGTACATGCACAAACTGCGTAGGGGATCTACAATATATGGCAAAATATATCGCTTTACCGCTTATGCTAATGTTTCATTCACTGTGTATTTTGTGGCAAGTTGTAATAATTTCCAACCATTACAATAAATAATTTACCATTTGTACTGACTTTTTTTTTTGGTCAAAACCACAGATATTAGCTTAATTTTTACCTGTATCATTGATGTTTAGATGTAATATAACTCTGAGGACAACTCTGAGGATCGACCTACTCTCACTACAGCGTAGCATAGGAAAAACAATGTAATTAATTGTTCCGTCACATCATTGGCACTTACTGGAGCAGGTAGCAAAACTTTCTCTTGTGTCCTAAAGGTGTTCAGGCTTTTCTTCTATTACAACACTGCAGCAGGTGCCTTCTGAGGTCTACCGTTGGCCATCTCCCAAGTTGCCGTTTTCATTTATTCACAGGATTAGTCAGGGTTGCACCTAATTGCTATTGATTGCTATGTGCTGCATAAAATTGCTTCCCTTTTCTCGTCCACAGTGGGAGGTGGGAGAAGGCAATTAGCATCAAGGACAAGATAGAAGCCCGAGTCGACTTTGTAATGAAAGAGAGTGGCTATGTGAACCTGTAAGTTATGCTCTCAACCAACCTGCCATTACCAAGGCTCCTACTGGTACTCACTCAGGCTTTCAATATCACTTGATTTTTACCTGCATTATGCCTATTCAGTATAAGGGGGAAAAAAGTTAGGTTGAAGTGATATTAAGCAAAAAGGCTATGAACAAAATTACGGTATATAAACTTCAAAAGAGCCTTCTTCTATTGGCCTCAGCTGTTTTAGTGCATGCAGGATTCTTTGTTGTTTTCAGTTAGTTGCAACCACTACTATAACCATAATGCCCTAAACCCATTCTCAGTTACAGTGTTTGTTGAAATTCTGAATTTATTCATCTTTTAACTCTTGAGGCAAATAATGTTTTGAAATATATATATACAAATTAGAAGTTGATGTCAGTGAAGAGTGTTTTGTGCTATAGAAAGACTTCAATAGATAGTGCTGCTGAAGCAACCCAGAGCACTGATACTTTCTTGTCCAAACATACAATTTCATCATCTATTTCGTCATATTTGGCTGTAGTTTCCCAAGTGATAAATGACACGAAAAAAGATATCCAGACTTTTTTTGGCGAATAACACTTCTTTTCAAGTCAGCTTAACAAAATAGGGTTTGTCTCAATCAATAATACTCATTTTCTTTCGCATCGACTTTTTTTTTACTCCAACCTCAGAGTTCAGAATACACATTATATGTTTTAAAGATATTTACATATGAACAAGATGGGGAGCACCAAGGGGCCATATTTGGACCCTCATTTTACCTTTTTCAATAATAATTTTATGACAATGTAACTTCATACAATCACGTACATATTTCTATTTGTAGATTTGATTTCACATAATCAGACCCTTGGTGCTCAAAACAATACAATAGCTTTGATTGTATAATAACAGTGTTTTTCTCTCCCATACCATGTTGGTTTTCAGGCACACTTCATGTAACAGTTTGTTGCTGTAAAATACAATAAGAACAAAGGGAAAAACTAACATAATTTTGAGCTACAGTAAGTTAGTGTCTCGTGAAAAGAGCAGATGGCATACCTTTACAAAACGCCCATGTACAAGCCTGTGATGTGTGCAGCACAGATGGATTCATTTGAGTGGACATTCACATGCTTCCTGACCAAACATTCTGAGCAGTTGCTGCTTTGACTTCTCATTTTCAAACTGTTGAAATATGTCTTATCTCTACGTTTTATCCAGGTTTAAAAAGGTGTTCCCAAAACACTACTTCATGTCCTGCTATTCCTTCCAGTTAAAAAAGAAGGTTATAGTTTGTAAAATGTTGTAGCCACTTATGTTACTTCACCCTCTAGGAATTTAGTTTTGTTATTTTGTACTACATTTTTGCATTCATAATCAGATGTCCTCTTTAATCAAGTTTTACAAAATTTTGTCTGTTGCAGAAAATTAAACTGTTATTATAGACAGGACCCCATTGTACCTTTTGTGTAAACACAGCTTTGATGCAGTGGGAGATATATTAACCTTGTTTTGTAATACATCTGTGGGGCAATAATTATTGGCCATTTTCAGTTCATTTGAAGAATTAAACTTCTATCTTTAATGTGAATCATCTCGAGCAATGAGAGCGTGATTGATAAACCATAGCTGTCAGTTTTACTATTATGAGACGCAAGATAGATGAGTTCTGTGTCTATACTGAAAGACACTAAATCACTGCGGCCTAATGATAAAATGAAAGCCTGTTTGACAAGTCTCCGCCCACACTCATTCATTTTTGCAGTTTTTCCTTTCTCTCTGTGTGCTGTCTGCTGCCTGAGACATTGTAGTGGAGTTTATTACACAGCCTTTCCCGAAAGAATTAGTTTTAACGGCGCTACTTTTTTGAGTTCCTTATCCCATGTTCATTTCTGGCTCATTACAGAGTGCTGCGAGCTAGTATTAAGCAGACCATCCATCACAGCCCAGGAGTAGGGTCCAGAAGGTTAACGGGCAAGGCTTTCTGGAAATGGGGAGAAATCTGGTGATGTATAGCAAGAGCTTATTGGAATTCACCTTAGAATTAATGAGTTGTATTTATCATCTATGAAAACACTGGGCTTTGTTCAGGTTCTCTATGTATACTACAGTGCAAAAGTAAGATAAAAGTATTAGGAACAAAAAAAGTAGCACTCAGAAATGTGGTTGGGTGATATGGCAAATGTATATAATTTTCTTGTATACAATCAATTTTTTTTAGCATTTTTATATTGTCTTAATTCCAAATCTGTGTTATGAATGTTAACTATTTCTTTTAAATAGTAAAATTATTGTGTCACTCATTCAGAGCTTTATTTGACCAACAGGAGGAATGGACAGGGGACAACAATAGGGATGCTACAATAAATCAGAATATAATAATGTATCTATTAAGCAACCTCTACTTGGAAAGCAAAGTTGTCTACCAAGGCACTGGTCATGTCTCGTAAGGATGAATTTATAGTCAGATTTGAACTCAAAACTCTTCTAGTTCAGTTGTTCCTGTTCTCTCATTTATTTTGAAATGTATATCAATTTATTTATTTATTTTTTATTTAATTTTTTATAAATATTGGTTCTTTTCAGTGTTTTATTGAGACTGTATCTTCAAAACACTGGATGTAAATGGACTGGATTACTAATCTTATTTGAAATGTTTATCAAATACAAAAATAATCTATTAAAGCAACAGCAGTTCTCCCATTAGATCCTTTGCACAGTACTGTCCTTTGAGGGAACAAGTGGGCACTTATTGGAGTCTAGTGAATGCAATTAGTTGACCTGATTCAATGCTACTATATGAAGAGGGCCAAGTGAATCCCAAATGTGTAATCTCTTGCAGTGGGCTTTTCACGAGTGGGTGCAGCTCAGCATACTGTGCCTATGAGATAAATAACCCACTCTCCTCTCATGGACAATAACCACATTTAGACATATGTGTACTGCCAGTTTCTTTTTCGTTTTTGTTGTTTGCCCAGCATGGCGGCTACTGTATCGCCAAGCAAGCAGCTGGATGATTTATCTCCAAATACTCTTTGATTAAGGGAAATTGAGGCAGGCTGCTCTTGCTTTGCTAATTACTTTGATAACACAAGTTCAAGCAGTTGGTTTGCAGAGGGTATTTTGAAGGGTATGGACCTCTGAGGCAGAGAATTTTCCCAAAGTTGTTTTGATTAAATATTCCAATATTTGTTGCCTGTGTTTCCAAGAATCTTTGTAAATTCAAATCTGCATCGGTAATAATAACCATCTCTTTTCCATCTGTGCATCACAATACTAAGAAGGAAGCATGTTAGGTGAAGCTAAAGAATGCTGTTTATAAAAGACAGTAGTGTTAAGGTGAATTCCTGCCATAGTGATAAAAAAGTAACAAACATGTGAGTGAAGTGCATCTTGTAAACAAGCTCTTAGTGTGAAGTTGTGGAGTGCACTCTGAAAGTGCTCGCAGCAGTAGCCTTACATGACAGAACAAAAGCGCTGTTCAGTGTGCTTACGGTTTGTTTTCCTGCTGCTGCATTTACAACACCTGTGTGAGTGCAGTGATGCTACCACGGCCCGATGAACACATGAGCGATTCAACATGGAGACAGTCGGAGATTACAAACTGTGAGCAGCAAGTCGAGCATGTCAAGTTTCAGAAAATATATAGGATTCAAAGAGCCACAAGACCAGTCCTCTTCTTCGGCTGGTATTCATGTGGCTATGACAACGTCCCTCTGAAACTTCCTGGTGTCAGGTGTTGAGTTGTGCTCCTGCCCTGTCAGTCATACAAAATGGTGCAGAGTGGGCAGGGCCTTGCCTGAGCAGATCTCTCCTGGTGGAGTCCCTATGACAGCGCCTGGCCGTTGAGGCACTCACGTCTCAAACACTGTGCCGGCTTCCACCAGTCCCCGTTATGGCAGCGGCAGATGGTGCAGTCGTCCACCTTCACTTCAATCCCGGCTGGGATGATCGTCGTTCCAGCAAAGCAATTTGGACCTGCCGCATGGGAGAAGAGAGGAGGAGGAGGAAGAGAGAGGGACAAGGGAGGGGGAGGAGGAGGGGGAGGAGAGAAGACAAGAGAAAGGGTGAGGACAGAGTGATGTGTCTCCAGAGGTGGCTCCTGCTGAAGAGAGGGGAGTGAATGCAGACCTACAGATCTTTTCACAGGCACGCACCGATGGGCTTGTTTTTGCAACACTAAAGCGCTTTTGTTAGTCTCCCCATCTCCCTCGACATGGAGCGCTTTGCATCCTAATGCGCCTGGAGCAGAGGAGGCTGCCAGGCAGAGGCTTGGCAGTGCACAGGCTGGAGTACAGAAAGACAGAGAGAGAAAGAGAGAGAGGGAGCAGAGGCAGCCCGAGGACCCTGTTAATCATTTCAGTCTGCATGAAAAGGCCACTGCACTCCTCAGCTATCCTCACACAACCACTCCAACATGCAAATGCACTCCAAAACAATAGGGAGAAATAAAGTCCTGATGAATCTTTACACCACAATACAGTTTATTTCAATTTTTGTAATTCTGATGCATACAAAATAAGTGTAATCGTTGATGATGGACAAATTAGCCAGGGAGATTTTTTTGTTTGATTGTGATTTTACATCGTTTACTGAAGGCATAACATGATAAGATGGTATCCTATGTCTCTCTTGGTGATAGTAAGCTGAACATGATTGGTGACGAAAGGAGCCAGGGATTTGCCCCAGTTTTAATCATTCAAATGAAGCAATCAACAGCTCAATTGGTGTAACGGTGACTTTGACTATCAGTCCATATTCTGCCCTGTGGAACCTGCCAGAGGAGGAATATGTGGGCGAGTGCATATAAAAAAACTCATACGTCTCATAACCCTTTAACACTAACTCTCTTCCCTTCTTTTAGAGTCTCAGTAAATGTGATCTATGTGAGGTAATGTAACCTTATCAGGGCCAATATAAATCAGTACATTTAGCTGACCTGGACAGCCCAATAGCACCCAAGCCGGCCACAACATTACTTCACCGCAATGCGTTATGGGACTTTTACTGTGAACGATCTATTTTAATTATTGGACTTCCTATCCAAAGTTGTCGTGATATTACTCTGGAATTGATTAATATGTCATATTTAGCATGTGCTGTCATTAAAACTAGATCAGATTAGGTCTCTTATGAAGTAAAAAAAATCTTTCACATCCAAACCTGTAGATATTTAGTCGAGCACAATTGCACATTGCAGCACATGAAGAAAAGTGCCCAAAAATAATGTTATGGAAGACTTCAGTTTGGTTACATAGATCAGATGTTTCCTCATCACTCGTTTTTAGTTTAAGTAACTCCTAAGTTTATCCGGTATTAGACAAATAAATCTGTATATTGTTTAGAAATATGTTGTTATTTAGAAGCATTTCATTTTCTAGTTTTCATGGTATTTTTAATGTCTAAAATGTTGTTACACTTACAACAAGAAACAGATTTTTGAAGCTGATATGACATAACAGAAATATAACATTAACATTATAAATGTGAAAGTGTCACTATGGAATATTATAATGATTACGGTCTTGCATTGTTAGGTTTAGGTAATTATACAAATTAACATCAGTTCAGATCTATTTAATATATTAAATGTGGTATATTAGCATTGTATATGTTTATGAGTTCAAACTTTTGAACTGAACTAAAATAAGTTCACATATACGAAATGACATAAGATGGGTACACTTTCACTCTATTTTTAGGGAAAAGTAAGTTTTGCTTTGAAAAAAGTAACACCTAAAACACTGACTTCCACCCAAAATTGCACCCATTTTATCTAACCTCGTGTCATAATAACTACAGTGATTGACAGTTTGTCTGTTTGAAGCGTTTGAAAGACTTAGACCAAAGAAACACAAAGCTTACTCAAAGCATACTCCCCGCAGCTCCAGCCTTCCTTAATGTTTACCGCAAATCTTTTCCAGTTGGCTGTAAATACCAGCTAGCCTCCACTGGTGACAGCAGCAGGACAGCCAATATCCCAGTGCAGAGACGAGTTTCCCTGGACTATACAGGTCTGACGTACACCTTTTGATCTGAGCTTAGAGGTGATGAGAAGAGGAGGGAGAGGAGGAGAGGAGGAGAGGGGGAAGTAAGGAGGGGAGAGCTTGGGCTAAGGCTGTTCCCATTGATCTACCTCTGGACAGTGAACACAGGTTACACCAACTCACTCCAGGTTGACCAAGTAAAAGGGTGAGTGCGTTCAATGTCAGGTCTGTTTATATAGTTCAATAGATCAAGGTTAGGACTTTGGGCCCGTTGTCATTGCCACGGAGACCATTCTGGCCCCTGTCCTGTACTGAACAGTTCACTTAAGGATTGTAAAGAGTTATTTAGGAGATAAAAATATATGTATTGCAGTGATGATGTTATGGCCGTCCATTATTTTTAGTGATTAGCTTTAAGGTGCACTATGTCACCTGCTTGTCTCTGTAAAGCTGTTATTGCTTAGCCTGGAATGTTCCATTGTATGGCATTAAACATCTTCATCTTGCTTTTATTCAGTTACAGGTACTATTGCCAAAAGGAAAACCTTGGAAAACATACATTTTTGCTGTTACTTCTCCACAGATCTGAATTGTAACTTGGCCTGGTACTGTTACCTTCTTGAATTCACGGAGGTAGAGTTTAATGCCAAATAATATTCAAGACAAAGTAATAGCATCTTCATGGAGTCAAGCAAGCAAGCAAGCGGTGCATCCTCCTCCAGGAAAGTTACATAGTTCAAGTGTCAGGGTATAAAAGGATATGACAGCTCACAATGTACTAGTATACTCCCATCTATAGTCCAAAGAGGGCGAATGGGTGGTGGTCATTTGTAAAAAGGCTGGTCTAATGTCAAACTGCCTCGACACATCAATCATCCTTAGATGAGATCTAGAGGAGTGGATGCATGTAACAACTCATTATAATCTATTTGGATCAAGTGTATTTACAGAGCTATAGCCTTGAGGTACCAAATGTCCTATACACATTCATAAACATCTGCTTTCACAAGCACATGCCAATCAAAGCTAAGCAGCTACAGACTGCTCAAATGTGCAATGCAATATATGGCAATCCTGATATTGCCTTCAGCAAAATGTCTTCAAGAATGTATTCATTAATTTAGTCATGCAGGTCCATCCTATTATAACCCCTGATTTGTCCAGGTTTTCAACTGGATCAAATATTATGCTGGTTTGTCTCCTTTATTTCAGACATTGTGGTTTTTGATTGTACAATGAGCCAAATAGTTATGGTCAGAGTCTGACTGGTTCAATGTTTCAAAATATGAACTACTCAGATGTACTTTTCCGCATTGTATTTTATCAGATAATGACTACTGCTACATCGATCTTGCATTCCACTACATTTCAAAATATGTTTATTGCTTATTGCAATAGTAAATAAAAATGATTTTTTTTTGTCTCACTTTGTGTTACAATATTGATTTTGTTTAAAGACAATTTTATTCTTGTAAATCATAACAAAAGTTTCCCGATAGATTATGCTGTAAAAGTTGCATTTTGTCACCAATTTAAACTGCTGTGGGCTGTCTACATTGAATTCATTTACATTTCTGTATAGCAAAACCCAGAATTATGGTTGTGTGGTCCACCCCTGGTCCCCCTTGGCTCGTTTGTGAGAGGAAGTAGTTAAATTTAAATTCCTACTTCCTCCTTTCAAGGTACATCAGCTTTAATACAACAGCAATTCCATAGAAACTAAACATAACCCACTTTACAAACCATATTCCAAATGGTTCCTAATCATTTTCTATTTAACTTAATTAAATACATTGCAGCCCTTGATGCATTGCGAGCCAAAATACACAGTTCCTATTGGAGCTGCATCAGTCAGGCTGCAGAGGACTGTAGCTGGGAGATAAAGCCTCCCAGCGGCTCACTGACTTATTGAGTTGTGCTTCTCTTTGGCCCGTGTTGCCACTGTTTTTTTGTGCGGGGGTTTTTAGGTTGAAATACACAGAAACGGAAAAGCTGACATCTCAATAACCTATAGCTCTAACAACAAAGAATATGCGCCTGGCTAGGTTTTAACAACAACTGGACAGCTGCTAAGATAAATGGAGCCTGGGTGATAGTGCTGTTTCACATCACAAATCTGTTCATAACAGGATTTCTGAACATGTCCGATTATTGAAATGTAAACCGCACAATCTGATGTGAGTGATCTGATTTCGTTCTGACTGTTCACACCCGTGCGTATGCGTGTGGAAAATTGATTAAAATAGGCAATAACAAAGACGATGATTACAGACAAAATGTAAAGATGGATAGATTATTATTGTTTTAAAAATAAACATTTTAAAGCCAAGAAATAATTTAATATTTTAATAATCCAACCACATGTTACAAAACTAGTCTGCCAGCCAGGAAAAGCACTTGACATAAACTTTCACTGAATTGCTATGGAAACCCAGACAGGAAACCTTGAGGAAAATATATTCTACAAGTCTGAAAAAGCATGGACCCTGCTTGTACATTTTCACCTTGCTTCTATGAAAATAACCTGAATGCAGCTGTCCCAACCTATTCCTCTCACCGCAGGTCTAACTACATGGATGTCTTCCTTTCCATAGTCCTTTGGCTGAAAAAGGGATCTACTTCTTCACCAGTCCCCTCCTATCCGCCTGTGTGTATCCACCCAAGCCTGACCAGGGGCCCTTGGGGAGCCAGCGGAGGACCGGGCCTTCCCTGAAATGCCATGGGTGTCACTGTATGCTGTCAGCCAGGATTAGCAGTGTGCTAGCAGCTTGTTAGCGTGGGTTTGTGTAGAGCGCTTGTGTGTATTTGTGAGGAAATACTGTGGAATGAAAGCTGGGAGGTAAACGAGAGAAAGTATGAACGAAAATTTCAGCTGTTGCACTAAAATGCTTTATCAGAGTTGCATAAAGTTCCTCCCTTTTTATAGGTCAGCCGCAGGAGAAGGAATATGTGAGGGTATTTTTGCTGCTTTCTAAAGGCTGTTTCTATTACCGCTCCACTTGTGATGACAATACAACCTATAATCATGTCTGTACGATATTTCCTGCAATTCTTGGCTTCTTGCGTCACCTTTAGCATTTTCAAAGCTGTGATTGGACATTGTGATATTTCAGCTTGGTAGGATAACCTTTTACAAACTATATTGCGCTATTAAAATGTCAATATGTATCAGATGACATGGCAACATATCAAATTTTTGCTTTATTAATAACTAGATTCTCATAGACTCTTTTCCTCAGATTTATCACCAACTCACTAGTAGCTGATTGGCCGGCAATAGATCATAACTGACAAGGAGTTTTGAAGTCTCGCCTTTCTCTGAAGTGTCTGAACATCATCACAGAGCTCCTCCATTTAGGTATTTCTGATCATGAACATAGCTGGTTTAGTGGCACAGCAAGAAGAGTTTGACTCCAGGGTCAGTGGGGCATCTTCTCCCTGTATCTAAGTGGGTTTCCTCTAGGTATTCCAGCTCTTGATTAAGCTCCAAGTTCAAAATCTGGAGATGGGTCCCTCCCTTCTGACAGATTGCCCCAGCAACACTGAGAGATGGGTCAAATGTAGAGAATGAATATTGCATACACAAAATCACCCCCCTTTCCCCGTGAACCTTGATGAACCACGTAATAAAACGTGATAACTAAAAAGCATTTATTTAATACAACTAAACTCCCACACATTTTCCAGTCATTTTTAATCAATTTAATTTGCACAAATAATAGCTTTAAAGAGCTGATCCTCTGACCAGGTAATGCTGTGGGGACCTTCTAAACATCTCGCACACCCCAGTGGGTCCCAGCCCCCCCTCAGGCTAGTTACCACTGCATTAAATGTTTTACACACAAACTTTACTAAATGGTTTACCTGGCCTATAACACCACTGGGCATAAGAGAAAGCCATGCCAGCCATTTTACTATCATGCTGGAGTTATCTGATTTCATATCCCGCAGCCCCACTTTGATTTGACCGCTGTTGATGATTGCAGCAGGCTTACTCTGCAGATGAGCTGTTGGTGTACCGTACTTTGCCTGTCCCTTCGGATAGGCACTGGGGAAGGTAAATCTCACACTCCTCGCCTTGTAAATAGCCAATGAACCATCGGAATCCTATATTTGTAATTTAAGGATTGGCTGTGTGAGACAAGGGCATCAGGGCACCAGGAGATAAAAGACTCTCCTAGGGCCCATTAGTCCTTTCTAGCATGCCTTTAATCAATGGGCTAATGTTTACTCTGCTTAGTATGTCATTTATAATTAAAACTAGTACTGCTCATTAGCGTCCAATAAGCCCAAGGTAATAATTTTAATTCATAAAACATCAATTACTTCCTCATCCTCTGAAGGCACAACAGGCATCCAGTGGTGATATAGCCTAGAAAAAGTCTAATGAAACTTTGAAACAGGGGATGGTGAGTTTCTTACCGTTTTTGCAGATGGGACAGCACTGCTCTGGCTCGTACACAGGGTTGACGCATTCGGGCACAGCGCAGTCTGACACCACGCAGTGCACCTCATTATTTGGTTCACAGCGGCACCACTCGCACGGCGAAGGCTGGGGGGGGCGCAAGAGAGCAGAGGCAAGTGAATATATGCACTGTTTAAAAGTTTGATTGATTTTATGTCACAGGAAACAATCTACCTTCCAGCTACTGGACAGATGTTGCAGATAATTTTTGACCTATGCTACATGCAGCCCTTTGGATGGATTCAGGCTTAGAATGTGGCCTGCACTGTCTTTGTTTAGAATAGGAAAAGCATGTAGTCTGGCTCATCAGGCTAGAGAAGATTGACTCAGCCTCTGAGCCTCCATTGAACTGGTCATTGGAACATATAGATATGTCACAGCAATGTACAATGCCGCAGTGTTATACACATCACAATTTAACAAGTATAAACTATTATTTACAATATGACCAAACATTGATGAAATCCTAGGGCTCATATTACGCTGTTTCCTGATCTATGCACTAATGTTGTTACTTCATCAAAAACATACCTGGAGTTGTTTTTTGTTTCATTCACACCTGTTTAACACACAAACTTTGCATATTTATTTCTCTTTTACAGAATACACTCTGTTTCACCTTGTCATGTCAGATGGTAATGCAGGAAGTGCTCCACTGTTTTTCATCATTTGGATGATTTCAGCCCTGGAATCCCCAATATCCATAGAACCAACCTTAAAAGGTAGCTGTTATCTGGAAAATGAACCAATTCATGACATCACACATTGGAACAGGGCATTTTGGACATGTAGACAGACAATAACAAAGCGTTATTCAAACGTGTGAATGAAACAAAACACAACTCCAGGTATTTTTGAGGCGGTAACAACATTGTAACATGGCTAAAAGTGCACAGGAATCAATGATGTTTGATAATATAGGACCTTTAATTCACTTATCTTCAACATAATCTAATAAATAACCATTCATCTATGTGAACAGCTTTGTGAAATTTGTGAAACTTTCTGAATGATAAAGTCGAGGAACAGTCAGATATACAAATTTTATATTTAGGTTTAATTTTTGGAGTACATATTCTATAACTTATTTTTCTTCAAATAATGTCATGATTATTCTTATTCTTATATTGTGACCTGGTTGATTTAATCCCTTTTTGTCCAGGACTGCTCCATATTAGAAAAGATTTTAAAAACAACTGGACAATGTTTTCAAAATCAAGCCATTTCCACTTCCGTATTGCGACCTGATTAATCATTATTCTTGATTATCTGAACAAGAGAACAGCACATAACATGTAGTTTGATTTTCATGGCTCCATGCAGTAAGTCTTTGCAAACATTTAATTAGCTAGTTTGGTGTGAAGTTGCACTGATGTTTGGTTTCAAAACTTTTTTGTTACTTGATTATGAAAAAGAAACACACAGCACAGTGGGATTACATATAGTAGACAATGCAGCTTGTTAGTTTGAGAAGACAAAAAACATTCAAAACAAACAAGCAAGCTGAACACCAAATTCAGCTTTTGTTAACTTAATTGGCTTTACATCTGCTACTGAAACACTACACTCATTCAGCCATAAAACTTTGTGATGAGTTTCAGAAAAACAATCCTTTAAAAGTATTCATTCAATGTTTAAAGTCTCAAAGACCTTGAAAAAGAGATCAGCTCAAGTTATCCTTAAATGAATAAAGTAAACAAAAACCCAACCATACCCTCGTCATTAATTACTAGACTCTATGAAGATGCCTGAACTCTCCCATCTCCCATTAGTTTTACACACAATTTACATGACCTACTTAGGCATCCATTATCAGACTGTGATCTCATCTCCGTGATGATCTGCTATTTTGATTAAATCTCCATATTGTGATTCAATGTATCTCTGTTTAATGCACCTCGATGCTCAAACTTGTCCCCAACCTCTTCTGCTATTGGTCAGGCTCCAAAAGGCTCTGAATGAGTGTCAGGGGGAATTAATCAGAGTTACAATTTATACTTTAAAGATGTTTACATGGATTGACAGTTTTAATTTATGCATTCTACTTGAAAATCCATGGTCCTTGATACCATTACAAAACAATTACTTTTTGATCCAAAGTCCAAGAGTAAGACAGCAATCCATACTGTATTTTTTGCATTTATTTTTTGTCAGTTTTTTTGTTTATTTGTCTGTTTGTTTGTTCTACTACCTTTAAACACACTTATTTGATTTTTTTTTTTTTTTTTACTATTTTACTGTTATGTTATATATTACTGCTATGACTCATTGTTGTATATCACATTTCCAAAGCACATTTTGTGTTTACTGGCAACAGCAATGTGATTCAGTTATTCAGTACCGTTTATAGTTTCATTTACTTGAGTTGTTACAGGCTATGACAGCAGTTTGAATATTCATATGCCATATGATAATAACACCATTTATTATTTACAGATCACCCCTGACAAATAAAAATTCACTTTGTATTCAGTGGGTTACTGTGAGGCCAGACCAGTGTCTTTGGCTCTTTAGAGAAAAGATTAGCCTTAAACACAGCCTTAAATTCACCTCAGTCTTTAATGTTTCAGCCCCGTTCAGATAAACAAAGAAATCTCTCTATAAATAATTCAGAAATACATTTATTGGGCTGCTCATGTTTTGACACAACAAGCCCTAAGCTATAATTCAATTGCAGTACAAGAAACCACTAATAGGTTTGAGTGTGTTGGTGATATTTAGTCATTCACTGCCTTAAGGAAGTGGTACCTCCTCTGCTCCATGTAAATCAGAGCTGTGCACCTCTCAGGGCCTCCTCCTTTTTGAGTCCGTCTTTGCAGCCTCTTGACCGGAAAATGAACTTTGGTGCAATTACATGAAGCAGAAAAATACAGACTCTTTTCAAATCAGTAAAGGTTGGCAGTTCATAGAAAGGCTGTTTGCCATTTGAATTAAAAGTGGTTTGCAACAATTACACGTGGGTTACACATAGGGAGTGCTCTAAGGACAGCTCCACATGTTAAAAGGAAGTATTTTGAGTTTTTCTGATAGTTGTAGTGCATTGAGTGCTGTATTGCTCATCTGAAGGACATGAAGTCATTTTCAAGTGCAAGTTCCCAGTGTTTGAGCGGACAAATTCACATTCAAAACAAACTGACTAAGGCTTCCAATAATTTGCTTTGCATCTGCTACTGAAAGAAAAGCCATTTATTCGACAGACTGCAAAACTCCGAAAGAATTTCAAAGTTAGTTGCTGTGCACTGCCAAACAGTTTCAGATAAAGCATTCACAAGTCTTGAATTGGATCAAGCTCAAGTGGAAGTCCTTTATCCACAACACTATATCATTTAATTAAAGGTGCACTGTGTAACTTTTCTGGTGGGGGATATGCCATCTCATTGTCTCCATGGAAATGCCAGGAATGCTCCACAGTATGGTATGGTAAATATATATTTTCATGTATTCATTTACAGATTATCATTATTGCTATACCTTTGCCTCCTCTTATGTACTAGGCCTGATAGGTTTACCTGCTTGTCTCCATGGATATAGATGCCTTAATGCCATACTCTGACATCGTAACAACAGATCCAAGGAGGTAAGCAGGTGGTACACCGTCCTCCAGAAAAGTTGCTTAGTACACCTTTAACGCAATCAACTTAATGATCAACTTAAATATGCCTGAATAACTGTGTCTGCATTTTATTTGTACAGCCATATCTTGCAATGATTTGTAATAAAGCTGAGTTACCAATAGAAAATGCTATTATAAAACAAAGCAAGACTCAGAATAATAAGATGCATTTTTTACTTGTGTTGCTTGAGATTTTAAATATTTTATGTGTAGTAACTAGCAAGATCAGATCAAAGGAAGAGGCTGAATTCAAAATATAAAAGTTTTTCCATTTTCTTTATGCGTTAACTATTTCTAACAGAATCTAAAAATACAACTCACATTCTCATTAATTAATTCTTACCATTATCTGCAAACAAGCCTCAAATTAAACAGGCTAGGCCAGTGGTTCTCAAACTGTGGTCAGTGTACTTCTAGTGTATGTAAGCTTGATGGGGTGATATGCAATATCCTTCAGTTCTGATGTTAATTTTATTCACATTTTCCTTGCTTAGAATTTTTATATGGCATAATGCTAGTTTAGACCTGGTATAGTCTTCTTATAGATCTTCTTTAGATCAGGTGGTACTTGAAAGGATAAATATTTTTTCTGATGGTACTTGACTTTTCTAGGCCTATAGTACCACAGTTTGGATGTTAACATTAGCTGTCTTTCTTTTATATCTGTGTGATTGTATCTGATTTATGAAGCAGCCATGTACTTTACACTGTTGAGACAACATGACATTTATTTTTTATGGAAAACCATTCCTTTTATTTTGCGAGAGTTTGTTGTATTTTCAGCACTGGGCTCTTAAACTGTAAAAACACAACTTGAAAGGTCACTAAAGCAGAATATGCCCTATAAACAATATCCCATGGTTAATATGTTTTGTGGGAACTATTTAGTGTGACATTATATTTGGATAAAATCATTGAGCATATACCATTTTCAACTGTGGCTTAAACCTCCATACCATTCACAGCAGCCATGTTAGTACTATATGTATGTCATTGCATTGCATGATACAAAGTACCAACCACCATTAGCAATTAGATAAGTGGTCAAACTAGCAAACACAATACTTGGTCATGTACATGCCACAAGGAAATTCATTTTAAAAATAACAATGAAACATCTTTTTACCAGTGTCAGCATTTGGCAAAGTGTCCTTATTATGAGCAATATTATCTTCAACGCACACCACACAACAGAAGACAACAGATCATTGTAATCCACTACAGGAGCATTGTTTGTGAGGCTCCAATTGTTAAGACTATACGCTGTTTACAAAAGGCATGATTGTGTTAAGTTGGAACTGAGCCCACATGTCCCAAAGACTATTTTTACTGTACTGTGTGCTTCTATTGTGAAGTCAGGTCTGCCTTATAACCATGTATTTGTATGTATTTATTATTACAGAATACTCAATACCCAAATGTGTTTTATAATGTATTCTGATACATGATCATATCAGAGTTCTCTTTTCTGAAT